CCACTCTTGAGATACAATCGAGCTTGATATCAAACAGCATCTTGCTCAGAAGTTGTTCTATCATTGTCACAACAATCAAGACCTCAGTATGTAAATAATTCAAACTGTTTTATGGTAGACATGCGGAGGGAATATTCGATTGCATATGTTGATGACGGGTGTTACCGGTGGAACGCGAACACCTGGTGTCATCACTGTGTTGATAGTGATTCATGAACTCATGCTCTGTCATCGTATCTCATTGAGTCAATCACTTGATTGTCTGGTCCAGAGTGGATTGTTTGAAGACGTACAACTGCAATACCACTGACTGCGCTGTCAGATAAACACACATTCAGATAAACACACATTCATGATACAGTGGCAACTGTACAATCCACTCTGCTGTTAGCAGAGATTTCTTAAGAAAGTAGAACGGGTTTTGTCGTTTCTGTTTATTAAAGTTGATGACAAAAGAGTGGAAGTTAACCTTATTATCAGAAGAGAACTAATGAACAAATCACGCCAGTTTGATTAGCTCCAGTTGTTTCTGACCTAGTCCATCCTTCAGCCTTATCTTCCTTATGTGAGTGTATACCATATTAACAATGCGGCTATTGAGAGTGGTGCACCCAGCATTGAGAAACAAACATAATTACATCTCACGTCGTACACTATATACCAAGCGGCAACCCATAGCTGGTACCCATGCAGACATGCAAGTGATTTTACAATGACATGGCTGCCTTGTGCTCCATGGAATAACACGTTATGTTTTTCAACAGATAGATACATGCACAAACAGGAAAAAAGTGGTATCTCAGGCAAATACAACCAAAACGACAACCAGGATCTCTGGAAACGTAGAACATCTAGGGCATGAAGGACATCTACACATCTAGGGCATGAAGGACATCTACACATCTAGGGCATGAAGGACATCTACACATCTAGGACATGAAGGACATCTACACATCTAGGACATGAAGGACATCTACACATCTAGGACATGAAGGACATCAACACATCTAGGACATGAAGGACATCTACACATCTAGGACATGTGGACATCACATACACATCTAGGACATGAAGGACATCATACACATCTAGGACATGATCTACACATCTAGGACATGAAGGACATCTACACATCTAGGACATGAAGGACATCTACACATCTAGGACATGTAGGACATCTACACATCTAGGACATGAAGGACATCTACACATCTAGGACATGAAGGACATCTACACATCTAGGACATGAAGGACATCTACACATCTAGGACATGAAGGACATCTACACATCTCTAGGACATGAAGGACATCTACACATCTAGGACATGAAGGACATCACATCTAGGACATGACATCTAGGACATCTCTACACATCTAGGACATGAAGGACATCTACACATCTAGGACATGAAGGACATCTACACATCTAGGACATGAAGGACATCTACACATCTAGGACATGAAGGACATCTACACATCTAGGACATGAAGGACATCTACACATCTAGGACATGAAGGACATCTACACATCTAGGACATGAAGGACATCTACACATCTAGGACATGAAGGACATCTACACATCTAGGACATGAAGGACATCTACACATCTAGGACATGAAGGACATCTACACATCTAGGACATGAAGGACATCTACACATCTAGGACATGAAGGACATCTAGGACAACATCTAGGACATGAAGGACATCTACACATCTAGGACATCTACATCTCTACACATCTAGGACATGAAGGACATCTACACATCTAGGACATGAAGGACATCTACACATCTAGGACATGAAGGACATCTACACATCTAGGACATCTACACATGTAGGACATCTACACATCTAGGACATGAAGGACATCTACACATCTAGGACATGAAGGACATCTACACATCTAGGACATGAAGGACATCTACACATCTAGGACATGAAGGACATCAGCACATCTAGGACATGAAGGACATCTACACATCTAGGACATGAAGGACATCTACACATCTAGGACATGAAGGACATCAGCACATCTAGGACATGAAGGACATCTGAACATCTAGGACATGAAGGACATCAGCACAACTAGGACATGAAGGACATCTACACAACTAGGACATGAAGGACATCTAGGACTTGAAGGACATCAACGATATGTGGGACGTTTGAGATCTATGGCACCGAGTCATCTTCATATGACGTTCATCGTATTTACACATCCAGAACATCTCGGGCATCTAGGAACTCTGGGACATCTAAGACACGTCGAAGATAAACATTTATCCATTTAGACAAGAACGTATGACCATCTGGAACCTGTGTCGGGGGTGGTATGCTTCAGTCTTGACGTTGTGTCGTCACTTGAGGGCGGACACAACGGAGACGGGCTATAACCTAATTATTTTGCTGATAACCTCTACATTAGTGCCAAATGATGTTCATTCAGAAGGTTATCAATTAAAAAAGACCATGTCACCATTACTTATGCCTCAGAGTGGGACATTGGATTTAGAGGTCAATGAAGGGGCAGTAAAATCTTCCATAGGCATGGCCTGTGACGTATAAGCATTACACAGCAGCATATGCTAGAGGGTGAGTGGGTGAGACACAGCAGCATATGCTAGAGGGTGAGTGGGTGAGACACAGCAGCATATGCTAGAGGGTGAGTGGGTGAGACACAGCAGCATATCCTAGAGGGTGAGTGGGTGAGACACAGCAGCATATCCTAGAGGGTGAGTGGGTGAGACACAAGCAGCATATCCTAGAGGGGGTGAGTGGGTGAGACACAGCAGCATATCCTAGAGGGTGAGTGGGTGAGACACAGCAGCATATCCTAGAGGGTGAGTGGGGGTGAGTGGGTGAGACACAGCAGCATATCCTAGAGGGTGAGTGGGTGAGACACAGCAGCATATCCTAGAGGGTGAGTGGGTGAGACACAGCAGCATATCCTAGAGGGTGAGTGGGTGAGACACAGCAGCATATCCTAGAGGGTGAGTGGGTGAGACACAGCAGCATATCCTAGAGGGTGAGTGGGTGAGACACAGCAGCATATCCTAGAGGGTGAGTGGGTGAGACACAGCAGCATATGCTAGAGGGTGAGTGGGTGAGACACAGCAGCATATGCTAGAGGGTGAGTGGGTGAGACACAGCAGCATATCCTAGAGGGTGAGTGGGTGAGACACAGCAGCATATTCTAGAGGGTAGTGGGTGAGACACAGCAGCATATCCTAGAGGGTGAGTGGGTGAGACAGACAGCAGCATATTCTAGAGGGTGAGTGGTGAGGCAGCATATTCCCAGCATAGTGAGGGGTGAGACACAGCAGCATATCCTAGAGGGTGAGTGGAGTGAGACACAGCAGCATATCCTAGAGGGGTGAGTGGGTGAGACACAGCAGCATATCCTAGAGGGTGGGTGGGTGAGACACAGCAGCATATCCTAGAGGGTGAGTGGGTGAGACACAGCAGCATATCCTAGAGGGTGAGTGGGTGAGACACAGCAGCATATCCTAGAGGGTGAGTGGGTGAGACACAGCAGCATATGCTAGAGGGTGAGTGGGTGAGACACACAGCAGCATATCCTAGAGGGTGAGTGGGTGAGACACAGCAGCATATCCTAGAGGGTGAGTGGGTGAGACACAGCAGCAGCATATCCTAGAGGGTGAATGGGTGAGACAAAGCAGCATATCCTAGAGGGTGAGTGGGTGAGACACAGCAGCATATCCTAGAGGGTGAGTGGGTGAGACACAGCAGCATATCCTAGAGGGTGAGTGGGTGAGACACAGCAACATATCCTAGAGGGTGAGTGGGTGAGACACAGCAGCATATCCTAGAGGGTGAGTGGGTGAGACACAGCAGCATATCCTAGAGGGTGAGTGGGTGAGACACAGCAGCATATCCTAGAGGGTGAATGGGTGAGACACAGCAGCATATCCTAGAGGGTGAGTGGGTGAGACACAGCAGCATATCCTAGAGGGGAGTGGGGGCATATCCTAGGGTGAGACACAGCAGCATATCCTAGAGGGTGAGTGGGTGAGACACAGCAGCATATCCTAGAGGGTGAGTGGGTGAGACACAGCAGCATATCCTAGAGGGGTGAGTGGGTGAGACACAGCAGCATATCCTAGAGGGTGAGTGGGTGAGACACAGCAGCATATCCTAGAGGGTGAGTGGATGAGACACAGCAGCATATCCTAGAGGGTGAGTGGGTGAGACACAGCAGCATATCCTAGAGGGTGGGTGAGTGAGACACAGCAGCATATCCTAGAGGGTGAGCAGACATGAGGGTGAGCATATATCCTAGAGGGGTGAGTGGGTGAGACACAGAAGCATATCCTAGAGGGTGAATGGGTGAGACACAGAAGCATATCCTAGAGGGTGAATGGGTGAGACACAGCAGCATATCCTAGAGGGTGAATGGGTGAGACACAGCAGCAGCATAATCCTAGAGGGTGGGTGGTGGTGAGACACAGCGGCATATCCAAGAGGGTGGGTGGGTGAGACACAGAAGCATATGCCAGTGGGTGAGCTACATCAGGATATTCTGGAGGGTGAGTGGGTGAGACACAGCAACATATCCCCGAGGGTCAATGGGTGAGCCACAACAGCATATTCTAGAGGGTTGGTGGGTGAGACACAGGAACATATCCTAGAGGGTGTGTGGGGGAGACACATTACCCCTTCACAAACCTTTTCTTTAGGTCGGTTATTGGAACTGATTGCCACTGATCCAGACAGTTGATCAGCAACTACGTGGTAAAGGTGTACACGGAATGTCATAGCTGCGAATAATAGTTTAATGTAAAACAAATACCAGCCACAGTCTTCCAGTTACTGGTGTGTGGGTGTGACTGATTCCGCGTGTTATAAACCATGTGCTCATCAGATCGTGAAGTCGTCACATTCATCGTTAATCTTCCCAGCCCATCAGCGGCCTGTTAGCACAGGGAACAGTGTCACATGTCTTGTAAGTCCGGCAGTACAGTGATCGCTTTGTCTCGGCGTGCTGTACCTCAGTGTATGTGTTTGAATACCACACAGGAATATACTTCACAAGTTTGTTCCCATTGACGGTAAGTTGCTAGTTTTACAGTTTGAGTCACATCTTATTGACAGACCCGAGTACCAATATAATATGTCTGGATAATTATTTCAGTGGTGAATCTACTGTGTGTTGACGTTTAATGTAGTCTAGCCGTAAATCAGTACCTTTATTTAAGTTTATAGAACAGTGCGCATTATGAATGCCTAGATAACAGCTTCTGATCAACAGTTAGATGACCTTAAATGTTAAAACACAGTAGGTTTGTCTCCATTCTAGCTGTCCATAATACTGCATGAAAGCGGTTCAGGGACTCGTGACTTATTCTTGACTGGTTAAAGAAAAATACTTATTTCTTTTAGAATAGAATATCAACGAATTTTAATAAAAATCTATTTTTGCCTCAGAAAATGCTCAAAAACCTTATATTTGCTCAGGTCTGTTGAAGAAAGCATTGCCTGCCATAAAATATATATTGTTGTAAGAAGTAAGATGTAACATATTCAGACTGATAGTTTTGATTAACCACGTATTTGCCTTGGCAGCTGTAACTGACATGAATGCTTTGTCGCCATACACGTTCCGAGCAACGGTGACATTTTGACACAAAACGAGGAGATTGTCCAGATATATTTTCATTTATTGATGGCAACGGGCTTGTGGACACAATCACGGCCAATGGAACCGTTGTGTGGTATGGTGGAGGACCACCGTCTTCACACGAACATACCTGGTACACAGTCGTCAATGTATGAGTTAATTGTGTTCTGAAATATGTTCCATCATGTTTGCTAATCTGCTGTGTGCAGTGTACCAGTTAGTGACAACATCAGGTAATGCCCCAATATCAGATGTACACAGCTCTGATCGGGAAGTTACTTCATATACACCTGTAGGCTATCGGTAGATCGGTGAAATTAACACGCAAGGATTTTGTGAAAAGGTTGGGTTTTTTTAATTTTAAAGTACCAAATGGAATTGGATACAGGTGAACAATATGTTCATGATATTTGCACCAATCAGATTCAAGCGTGTTTCAGTCTGGTGGTAGAATCAGCTTGTAAAGCCTATTTGAAATATTTGGTGTGAGTCTGAAATCGAATTCTGTGAGTGGATTATGATGGATTCCAGGGCGATGACCTAAGGTCAGATTATAACGGACAACTCTCGTGACAGTAATTCATGGATAAATGTCTCGTGCTTCAGTCGAATGCACCAACGTGGTTTTAGCCTGTTGAAGAAGGGTTCTGGCGTCATATTTAGGTATCATCATTACCTTTACAATCTTTAGATGTTTTTTCGAAATCTTTTTGTGGAGGGTCACAACAGGCATGACTAGTAAACACGATGCGAATTGATTAGGTTTTGAAACAACTCGCGATAAGTTAAATGGTATTGAGTATCAATCGGTAAATAGACATACACTGCGTTTACTAACCGAACATTTTGGTCTCACCGTCTAGACAATGGGCATGTTCAGTGTCACCTAAACCATAAACCCAGAATACCGTTATGCCATGTACGTGTTCGACCCCTGTAACCCTGGTGGGAGGATGAAGTTGGGTTTGCCTCATCCTGCTCATGATGACCGCTTGAACTGGTTCATTGTTTGTAATTATAAATCTATAAAGTAATAACGGTCAGAAGGATGATAGTAACAACGACTAGTGGTGATGAAAACTGTTGATCTGAATATAGTTTAGCGTAAGGCCATATTTCGCCACAATAAAAATGTATTGTAAAATAGCCTGAACTTAGAAATCTAGTTTCTTACGAAGATGTATTTCAAAATATGATTTGTCTGTGAAGGCTTACTCTTGACATAAGATATTCGGATTAGAAGGTTTGTTGAAGGAGTCATGCTCTGTCTTCACTTCAGCCCTTGCAAGTACGGAGTGTTTCTTTATTTACTTTCCACTAGAAGCTGCTGAATATAATACAATGAGCCGATTGTTGGAACGCCATCAAACGATTCTAACATCTATCTCTTCAGAATGCTGCTTGTACGACAGATGTGTAGATTCTGTGTATTTCTTTATTCTCATAACATTCCAGATTCCCTGAGACGCCATGGCTGCAGAGCGGGGGAAGATGCTTGCTGAAGATGAGAAGTGCATCCAGACACACATAATGGACATAGAGGTGGAGCTGGACGCCAAGGACATCACTGGGACTCTCTACTCCAAGAATGTCATAGACCTGGACGACATGAAACATATTGACGCTGGCACGACCAGAGTTGAGAGAACTAACCGGTTTCTGGATATCCTTATGGCGAGAGGTACAGAGGCATTCCCTGCCTTCTTGCATGGCCTTGAAGTGATGGGCTACAAGGCCCTTCACAAGAAACTCACCTCTACGAAGGATTCCATGACTCTGTCCCCACCTACAGAAGCACAGTTTAGAAGCCAGTTCAAGGCCCTGCGTCAGCAGATTGACCGGGTTTTGGCAGAAGTGGACACACAGGCTGCCAAGATGGATCTGATATTTGAATCAAAAGGAAAATCTGCTTCGAAAGAAGAACTGAAAGTTTTGAGAAAGGATTTAGCGACCAAGGAGGAACTGATAGTATTTCGGGATGAAGTAGCCGCGTCAGCTGCCAATGTAACAGACAATTTTAACAACATGTATAAAACGTTTGACGAAAATGTAGATCAACCGGTCATCTTGAAGGGTCAGACTGCAGGACGGGATGACCCCCAGGGCAATGCTCAGATACTCATTGATGAGTTGAAGGAACAAGTTTCCTGTTTGGTGGAGGCAAGTAGAAACCTGCAGAAGATCATCAGCCGCTACAACATCGTTAATCGTGAATGAACCACGTTGTGAAACAAACATATACCATGGAGGGTTCAAATGACGAATTGTAAACATTGAAATGAAATAAAAAGAAGAGTTTGAAAAACTCGACAAATTATTGTCGAAGAGATATCTTGACCACGACCAGGTCCCGAAGTAAATGCATTACTTATGTACCGAAAGAGTTGATTAAGTCTATAGTATCTCGCCAGGAGGTGAAACACTGGAACTCCTCCACGGGAGCAACCCTTTGGGTCTTCCTTTGTTTCTGTCTCACGTACAGATAACAGTTACATATGTCCTCTACAGAGGTAATACCATGTTCATTGAAGTAGGCCCCATACATGATTGATATATGATCCACATTTCCATATACTTACATATACATTATACATGTTTATAGCTGTGAATGTTTGCCTCCAATCTCAGTAAGAACCCATACATAAACCATGTGTGTCTTCCACTGGTATAATCTTCAACTTGACATGGAGCAATCGTCGCCCCACACCAGGTCCAGTCAGACCCCTGTGAAGGGTGGTGTAACTTCATTGTGTACCGGGATTAAAGTGATAAAGACTGCATAGTGTAGATTGAATAGTGTTGTAACACAAGCTGCCACCGTTGTTAGGCAGGGTTACTTTATAGGGCAACACGGAACTGGTACAGCCGTGAAGATTTCCTCCTGGACATGGATCTGGCCTGCACTGTGTTTGGGGGTCTCTGTTGTGTGATATATGTGTTTCTGCATGTTTAATGACTGTTGAAGATGGGATGAGGGTATTGATCACAAATACAATTGACTATATACAGTGTTTATGAAAGATATAAGCTTATGTAAGTATAGCGGCCATAAAATTTCCGAGTCCCGTGCTAGGATTCGAACCACGGTCCTTCTAATCCGAAGTCGGATGCCACGTGTACACGACAGGAACTCCAGGAATAACTAAACGTTAGAAGTTCTTCCATTTGTTTCTTTCAAAGAATTCTTCTGTGTTCCAACCAGTATATTACTGAACACCACATATAAGTTCTGTTTATTCTGATAAACAACACATATTGTTATCACGTCAAGGCTATTCCCGAGTAGACTTTTCCGCCAATCATGTCATCAATCCTTCAGCAACTGAAACTGAAAATGGTTGATGTCTACAGACAAAGTCCCTAACAGTAAATGTTTAAGCTACAGTCCTTCTCTAAGAATCAGTTAGTTATGTCAGACTCGGCACCGGCAGTGATTTGCACTAAGGAAAAGCGATCGTAGGGGGACAATTGAGTGAAGTAGTCGTAAAAGTCTTACAGATAAACAATGATACAAATGATAAACAAAACCAGAGCATTACTACCCAGACTGGGAACAGTATCACTGACTGAGGGCGTCAGTGAAGCGTCATGTTACCAACTTGTATACTGTCGTGTGTCACTTCTGTGTGAACGAGGATGCCACACACGGTTGGCTAGTGGATTATACAGGGCGGCCTTCTGATCATAGCTTACAACATGGCTACACATGCATACCACTGCTTAGCTGCCTATAGATGTCGGGATGCACCCCAAGAAGCTGCTTCGGCTGCCTATAGATGTCGGGATGCACCCCAAGAAGCTGCTTCAGCTGCCTATAGATGTCGGGATGCACCCCAAGAAGCTGCTTCAGCTGCCTATAGATGTCGGGATGCACCCCAAGAAGCTGCTTCAGCTGCCTATAGATGTCGGGATGCACCCCAAGAAGCTGCTTCAGCTGCCTATAGATGTCGGGATGCACCCCAAGAAGCTGCTTCAGCTGCCTATAGATGTCAGGATGCACCCCAAAGCTGCTTCAGCTGCCTATAGATGTCGGGATGCACCCCAAGAAGCTCCTTCAGCTGCCTATAGATGTCGGGATGCACCCCAATAGAAGCTGCTTCAGCTGCCTATAGATGTCGGGATGCACCCCAAGAAGCTGCTTCAGCTGCCTATAGATGTCGGGATGCACCCCAAGAAGCTGCCTTCAGCTGCCTATAGATGTCGGGATGCACCCCAAGAAGCTCCTTCCAGCTGCCTATAGATGTCGGGATGCACCCCAAGAAGCTGCTTCAGCTGCCTATAGATGTCGGGATGCACCCCAAGAAGCTCCTTCAGCTGCCTATAGATGTCGGGATGCACCCCAAGAAGCTGCTTCAGCTGCCTATAGATGTCGGGATGCACCCCAAGAAGCTGCTTCAGCTGCCTATAGATGTCGGGATGCACCCCAAGAAGCTCCTTCAGCTGCCTATAGATGTCGGGATGCACCCCAAGAAGCTGCTTCGGCTGCCTATAGATGTCGGGATGCACCCCAAGAAGCTGCTTCAGCTGCCTATAGATGTCGGGATGCACCCCAAGAAGCTCCTTCAGCTGCCTATAGATGTCGGGATGCACCCCAAGAAGCTGCTTCGGCTGCCTATAGATGTCGGGATGCACCCCAAGAAGCTCCTTCAGCTGCCTATAGATGTCGGGATGCACCCCAAGAAGCTGCTTCGGCTGCCTATAGATGTCGGGATGCACCCCAAGAAGCTCCTTCAGCTGCCTATAGATGTCGGGATGCACCCCAAGAAGCTGCTTCAGTTGCCTATAGATGTCGGGATGCACCCCAAGAAGCTCCTTCAGCTGCCTATAGATGTCGGGATGCACCCCTGCCTAAGAAGCTGCTTCGCTGCCTATAGATGTCGGGATGCACCCCAAGAAGCTGCTTCGGCATGTCAGGCTTCCTTCAGCTGCCTATAGATGTCGGGATGCACCCCAAGAAGCTGCTTCGGCTGCCTATAGATGTCGGGATGCACCCCAAGAAGCTCCTTCAGCTGCCTATAGATGTCGGGATGCACCCCAAGAAGCTGCCTCAGCTGCCTATAGATGTCGGGATGCAACCCCAAGAAGCTCCTTCAGCTGCCTATAGATGTCGGGATGCACCCCAAGAAGCTCCTTCAGCTGCCTATAGATGTCGGGATGCACCCCAAGAAGCTGCTTTGCTGCCTATAGATGTCGGGATGCACCCCAAGAAGCTGCTTCAGCTGCCTATAGATGTCGGGATGCACCCCAAGAAGCTGCTTCAGCTGCCTATAGATGTCGGGATGCACCCCAAGAAGCTGCTTCAGCTGCCTATAGATGTCGGGATGCACCCCAAGAAGCTGCTTCAGCTGCCTATAGATGTCGGGATGCACCCAAAGAAGCTGCTTCAGCTGCCTATAGATGTCGGGATGCACCCCAAGAAGCTGCTTCAGCTGCCTATAGATGTCGGGATGCACCCCAAGAAGCTGCTTCAGCTGCCTATAGATGTCGGGATGCACCCCAAGAAGCTGCTTCAGCTGCCTATAGATGTCGGGATGCACCCCAAGAAGCTCCTTCAGCTGCCTATAGATGTTGGGATGCACCCCAAGAAGCTGCTTCAGCTGCCTATAGATGTCGGGATGCACCCCAAGAAGCTCCTTCAGCTGCCTATAGATGTCGGGATGCACCCCAAGAAGCTGCTTCAGCTGCCTATAGATGTCGGGATGCACCTCAAGAAGCTGCTTCGGCTGCCTATAGATGTCGGGATGCACCCCAAGAAGCTGCTTCGGCTGCCTATAGATGTCGGGATGCACCCCAAGAAGCTGCTTCGGCTGCCTATAGATGTCGGGATGCACCCCAAGAAGCTGCTTCGGCTGCCTATAGATGTCAGGATGCACCCCAAGAAGCTGCTTCGGCTGCCTATAGATGTCGGCATGCACCCCAAGAAGCTGCTTCAGCTGCCTATAGATGTCGGGATGCACCCCAAGAAGCTGCTTCGGCTGCCTATAGATGTCGGGATGCACCCCAAGAAGCTGCTTCAGTTGCCTATAGATGTCGGGATGCACCCCAAGAAGCTCCTTCAGCTGCCTATAGATGTCGGGATGCACCCCAAGAAGCTGCTTCGGCTGCCTATAGATGTCGGGATGCACCCCAAGAAGCTCCTTCAGCTGCCTATAGATGTCGGGATGCACCCCAAGAAGCTGCTTCAGTTGCCTATAGATGTCGGGATGCACCCCAAGAAGCTGCTTCAGCTGCCTATAGATGTCGGGATGCACCCCAAGAAGCTGCTTCAGTTGCCTATAGATGTCGGGATGCACCCCAAGAAGCTGCTTCAGCTGCCTATAGATGTCGGGATGCACCTCAAGAAGCTGCTTCAGTTGCCTATAGATGTCGGGATGCACCCCAAGAAGCTCCTTCAGCTGCCTATAGATGTCGGGATGCACCCCAAGAAGCTGCTTCAGCTGCCTATAGATGTCGGGATGCACCCCAAGAAGCTGCTTCAGCTGCCTATAGATGTCGGGATGCACCCCAAGAAGCTCCTTCAGCTGCCTATAGATGTCGGGATGCACCCCAAGAAGCTGCTTCAGCTGCCTATAGATGTCGGGATGCACCCCATGAAGCTGCTTCAGCTGCCTATTGCCTATAGATGTCGGGATGCACCCCAAGAAGCTGCTTCAGCTGCCTATAGATGTCGGGATGCACCCCAAGAAGCTCCTTCAGCTGCCTATAGATGTCGGGATGCACCTCAAGAAGCTGCTTCAGTTGCCTATAGATGTCGGGATGCACCCCAAGAAGCTGCTTCAGCTGCCTATAGATGTCGGGATGCACCCCAAGAAGCTCCTTCAGCTGCCTATAGATGTCGGCATGCACCCCAAGAAGCTCCTTCAGCTGCCTATAGATGTCGGGATGCACCCCAAGCTTCGGCTGCTTCAGCTGCCTATAGCTGCTTCGGCTGCCTGCCTATAGATGTCGGGATGCACCCCAAGAAGCTGCTTCAGCTGCCTATAGATGTCGGGATGCACCCCAAGAAGCTCCTTCAGCTGCCTATAGATGTCGGGATGCACCCCAAGAAGCTGCTTCAGCTGCCTATAGATGTCAGGATGCACCCCAAGAAGCTGCTTCGGCTGCCTATAGATGTCGGCATGCACCCCAAGAAGCTGCTTCAGCTGCCTATAGATGTCGGGATGCACCCCAAGAAGCTGCTTCGAGCTGCCTATAGATGTCGGGATGCACCCCAAGAAGCTGCTTCAGCTGCCTATAGATGTCGGGATGCACCCCAAGAAGCTGCTTCGGCTGCCTATAGATGTCGGGATGCACCCCAAGAAGCTGCTTCAGCTGCCTATAGATGTCGGGATCCAGATGGAGACCTGGTGGTAAACACACCGATGACAGCAGTCTTGCAGCGCCTTACTATAATGGACTTCACACTACTCACAAATCTGTCCGAAACATCTGATCTGAAAATACAAACATTTTGTCCGTCTCTCGTGTCACGATAATATTTTACACCAGTATTCAACACTACGAATATGTTACACACCGTGTTGTCACGTTTGTTTTTAAGAAGTTTTAACTCTATTCAGGAAATTTCCATCCCTGGACTCCTTTAGATTCATGTTCAAAACATATCTAGGTTTCTTATACATCCTAGAACAGTGTATATCTCTGAACAACAATCATCCATCCAGTTTTCACTAGTATGTAATATTGGAACTTTGAGTATACTTCAAAGTATGAGTTATATCGTATCGCAAAATAGCCATCATATCCACGCGTTAATATATAAACGCAGCAAAAATAAAGATAGACATCATGCCATGAAGAGCCAACATAAACACGTCCTCCGATTATAACTGATACATATAACTGATACATATAACTCATAAACGACTGAATGAAGAGCAAGAGTGGTGGGATCTATTGTCTGGCATGATTCTTGGCGAGAAGGCGTTAATACTCCGAATCTCTTGTGTCGTGGAATCAACAACACCAAAAGAATAAGAAAGGACGGAAAGGTCTACATTTCTATTCTGTCCTAAGTTGTCCTATAGTAAATATAAGTGACAATCTGGAGTTTGTCTTTAACCTGCATCCCTCAACTGGCCACGTTTCAAATGAAGGAAGTTGCATTTGTCGAGCCAGAAAGACATGCCTAGGAAAGGTCTCAACAAGGTGAATTTGGTCTTTTTTCAGCCTTAGTAAGAGATGTGGGGATCTGTGCTCAGGAGGTCACGAATAATTACATTCCTATTTCTTATGAAAATGCTAAACAGATTGAGTGACAAACAGAAAAGTAAAGGACAAAGAGAATTGCCCTGAGACATTCCTCGCTAATAGGAATGGTTTCGAAAAGCATCAGGTACCGCTGCCGTATTAGATTTGAACGTTTTAATTACTGTTTTAAGACAATCAAGTGTAATGAAACACACAAATGGCGAACGTATGTTGTTTTGTACATTATCGATGCAATCTACCCAAGGTTCCTGGAGATTGTACGTCCTGGGTATAGACCACAACAACCACAAACCTTTCACTGGAATCCATGGCAGGTATTTTCTCATCTATGACATTGATTGCATTTAACTACCCGAAAACGTGTCAGGGTTGACTTAATTTATCAATTTGATTCTGTGAAAATAACTTGTTGAGGTGAGGTGAAGTGAAATTGGGTTTAACGTCGTGCTTGAGAATATTTCGCTCATATGACGACGTGCATGCGTATGTATGTGTATGTGCGGCTGCTTGTACTAGCCCAGACTTAAGCTGGTTTTATAGTGCTAGCCCAATGATATACCATGTCGCAGTGAAACATGAATACCCCACTCAGACACATTATACTGACTCCGAGCCGACCAGTCCTTGTTGTACCCAGTAATGCCGAGCGCCAGGCAGGGACCAACAAGTACCATATTTTACATCTTTTGGTATGACGCGGTCGGGGATCGAACCCGCGACCTTCCGCTCTCCGGGCGGACGCTCTAACCACTACACCACGGAGGCGGTCAAATAACTTGTTAATTGTTTAGTTGGTCTCCGTTTCGCAATTTGTCTGCAGCTTCGTCCCAGCTACGGACGGACTCTACGGGGCTGGTCTCGCGGAACAAGTAAGACTTTAACAGGCGACGTCTTATAGGGACAAGCTCTGGACTGAGAAACCTGACATTGTTGTATAGATAGAAGACAACTTCCCTACCCTGATCCCACACTTGTAATTCAACATATCATAATAATACAGGGATTGTTCCACCTATGTAAACCTATCGACAACTTTAACTATCACGTTAAACCCTTTCTCGAAAGAAAAAGCAAAAAATATTTTAGTTTCAGAAATGTTCACTAGTAATTCAACGTATTCGAATCAGTTGTTCCTGGGGTCTTGTTAACTGTTTCAGAAATCGTGCCTATAAAAAGTACATGAGACACAGTACCCTTGGTATCCTGGCGTGAGACACTGTAACCCTGGTACCCCTGGTGTGAGACACTAACCCTGGTACCCTTGGTACCCCTGGCGTGAGACACTGTAACCCTGGTACCCCTGGCGTGAGACACTAACCCTGGTACCCTTGGTATCCTGGCGTGAGACACTGTAACCCTGGTACCCCTGGCGTGAGACACTAACCCTGGTACCCTTGGTACCCCTGGCGTGAGACACTGTAACCCTGGTACCCCTGGCGTGAGACACTAACCCTGGTACCCTTGGTACCCCTGGCGTGAGACACTGTAACCCTGGTACCCCTGGCGTGAGACACTAACCCTGGTACCCTTGGTACCCCTGGCGTGAGACACTGTAACCCTGGTACCCTGGCGTGAGACACTGTAACCCTTGGTACTCCCTGGCGTGAGAACTGTAACCCTGGTAACCCTGGTACCCTGGCGTGAGACACTGTAACCCTGGTACCCTTGGTACCCCTGGCGTGAGACACTGTAACCCTAGTACCCCTGCCGTGAGACACTGTAACCCTGGTACCCCTGGCGTGAGACACTAACCCTGGTACCCTTGGTATCCCTGGCGTGAGACACTGTAATCCTTGGTACCCCTGGCGTGAGACACTGTAACCCTTGGTACCCCTGGCGTGAGACACTGTAACCCATGGTACCCTTGGCGTGAGACACTGTAACCCTGGGTACCCTTAGGCGTGAGACACTGTAACCCTTGGTACCCCTGGCGTGAGACACTGTAACCCTGGTACCCCTGGCGTGAGACACTGTAACCCTGGTACCCCTGGCGTGAGACACTGTAACCCTGGTACCCCTGGCGTGAGACACTGTAACCCTTGGTACCCCTGGCGTGAGACACTGTAACCCTGGTACCCCTGGCGTGAGACACTAACCCTGGTGCCCTTGTTACCCCTGGCGTGAGACACTGTAACCCCGGTGCCCTTGTTACCCCTGCCGTGAGACACTGTAACCCTGGTACCCCTGGCGTGAGACACTGTAACGCTGGTACACCATGGTACCCCCGGCATGAGACACAGTACCCCTTGCGTCAGACGGCAGTAGGTAATCAAAGCAATCAGGGCATTATGCTGCTTATAGGCAAAGAAGAAAACATTAAAACATATTTTCCTTAGATGTAGTAATGAGTCTAGATGTTTCGTCACAACAAACACTTCTAGGAATGCCTTCTTCCAATTATCACATGTAGAGAAAACAGTTTTGGGGAAATACTTCCCCTTGCTTTACGCAATTGTTATGTTTATGAAATACTGCTTGTAGTAGCCATTAATATTCACACATGAACGAATTCTTAGATTATTATACATAATTGACAGTAACTTTCCTCTAATGTGTAGCTTTCCTCTGATGTCTGTCGCCGCTTACTTATACCATAGTACATACCATACGATTGATGGTACTTATGAAGTGTACAAATGCTCATTGATGCCAGTGACGTACTAAGCCTTTAAATCCTATTACCTAGCATCTTAGGGACTCTTCGTATACTGATGAAGCCCTATCACTGATATCTGTTCAAGACCAAACACCTTCTGAAGTTTTCTTTTCCTCATAAACCGCTACCTCTTCAAAGTAATGAAGATGCAATATGTTCACCTGCCGTATTGTACGTATTGTAGTGATAACCCCTTGAATCGGCGAGTGTTCCATATCGTGAAGTCAACGGAACGCCGTTTTCGTACCACGGAAAGTTTGCTTATGAAATACGTATCAGGTTTCCAACGCTTTTATGCTTTCAAACCTGTATGCCTCGAGCATTTAATGGGTTTAACTTTTTGTGGTTCTGCTCCCTGAGGAACTTGAAGCAAATACTTTAAAGAAAGGCCCTATGGTTTATAATGAGAGGGTGTCCCGGCACGGCCGATGAATGTTAGGAAGGCAGGGATTATATTCATCAGCTACACCTGTGTGGAGGGCTCGCTCGTGCGTGGTTGACTGACTGGGTATGTCTGTTGACGTCGTCGGGTGGTAGCGGGGTAGCTGCCTGACGTATCATCTTTCAGTTGCTTCTCGCTCGGCGTCCGCTAAATAGACGTGTATTGTTCGGGTAGATGCGGCGAAGGCGGGAGAACAATGCCGGCCTGTTTGGTTATGTATGAGAGAGGGGAGAGCGTGACAATGTACGCGGCAAGACATATGTAGGTATGCACGCTCCACTGGCTGGGCTGAGTGGGATGGGCCCGATCTACTTGTCTGTCTGACTGCCCGGTCAGGACGCTCGCATTCCAGCCGAGCCTGGCTTCTGTCCAAGCTTGACACACACAGGAGCGAGGACATGGGGCGTGGCAGCCACCAGTTACCTTCAGTACCTGTGTCATACCATCACACAATATACACGTGTATTACCCGTCTGGGGAAGCGTCATACCTTTAAAGATGTGCAGTGACCTGGAGGCACGTGACAGTGTTAACAAGGCCTGACCTGTGACCTGAAGGAGGGGTAGTTTATTGCGAAAAAATACAATCATCTGAACACAATTTATAACCTCCTCGTCTAATACTGCTGTGCTGAATACAAGCTATCTGGAAGATGAGAGGGCCCGGGTAGTGTTGACGATGGCGAACTCATGCAGCAGTTGTGGGGATGCATTCACTACCTGAAGCTGCATCATTAACACGCTGCATCTCTCTCGCTGTATCCACAACATCGACATTCATTCTCCTGGATATGTGTGTGTACATCTTCCAAATGACCATTCCAACCTAAATTTATGTGTATATGATCGAATGACAATCTCAAATAGTTGTAGGTGTCTTTTAAATAACCAACCTCACCTGGATGTGTGTGTCTTCTAAAGGATCAACCTCACCTGGATGTGTGTGTCTTCTAAAGGATCAACCTCACCTGGATGTGTGTGTCTTCTAAAGGATCAACCTCACCTGGATGTGTGTGTCTTGGATGTGTGTCTAAAGGATCAACCTCACCTGGATGTGTGTCTTCTAAAGGATCAACCTCACCTGGATGTGTGTGTCTTCTAAAGGATCAACCTCACCTGGATGTGTGTGTCTTCTAAAGGATCAACCTCACCTGGATGTGTGTGTCTTCTAAAGGATCAACCTCACCTGGATGTGTGTCTTCTAAAGGATCAACCTCACCTGGATGTGTGTGTCTTCTAAAGGATCAACCTCACCTGGATGTGTGTGTCTTCTAAAGGATCAACCTCACCTGGATGTGTGTGTCTTCTAAAGGATCAACCTCACCTGGATGTGTGTGTCGTCTAAAGGATCAACCTCACCTGATGTGTGTCTTCTAAAGGATCAACCTCACCTGGATGTGTGTCGTCTAAAGGATCAACCTCACCTGGATGTGTGTGTCGTCTAAAGGATCAACCTCACCTGGATGTGTGTGTCGTCTAAAGGATCAACTTCACCTTGATTTAGTGTTTCTGATGAAAGATTGAAATCATCCATTTGAAGAAATCCATTCATATAAATCAAGAAGCTACCGTTCTAATTTATAGACAGTCGACAAGACGTAAGTTTTTGAAAAGCAGACCGTTTTTTGTTTCTGATTGCATTGCGTGCGTGCGTCTTTTTGTGTGTGCGTGTGCGTATTATGTATGAATGTGTTCTACTTGTAACAACTGCAACAAACGTTTCTATGTCCGAGTAGAGGAGAGTTTACTGTCTATGTCACACACACACACACACACACACACACTGAGACACACAGACACAGACGCACACAGAGACACAGACACATACATGCATGTATATGCAGACACACACATATACATACATGAATAGCCATGTGTGTGTGTGTGTGTGTGTGTGTGTGTGTGTGTGTGAGACTGCAACTGTCTCCGTCTGTCAGAGGGGAGTTAACAGTGATGTGTGTGTGTGTGTGTGAGAGAGAGAGAGAGAGAGAGAGAGAGAGAGAGAGAGAGAGAGAGAGAGAGAGAGAGAGAGAGTCTGAGAGAGAGGAGAGAGACTGCAGTTAACAGTGAGTTAACAGTGATGTGGGTGGATGGAAGTATACAGTTGTAAATACCACATCTCCGCGTGTCATTGCTGTGTTCAATGTGTGTGTGTGTGTGTGTGACTGCAACTGTCTCTGTCTGTCGGAGGGGAGTTAACAGTGATGTGCGTGTGTGTGTGTGTGCGTGTGTGAGACTGTAACTGTCTCAGTCTGTCGGAGAGGAGTTAACAGTGATGTGTGTGTGTGAGACACACACACACACACAGAGACACAGACACATACATGCACGTATACGCAGACACACACATATACATACATGTATAGCCATGTGTGTGTGTGTGTGACTGCAACTGTCTCAGTCTATCGGAGGGGAGTTAACAGTGATGTGTGTGGGTGGATGGAGGTATACAGTTGTAATTACCACATCTCCGCCTGTCATTGCTGTGTTCAATGTGTGTGTTTGTTCAATGTGTGTGTGTGTGTGTTCAATGTGTGCGTGTTCAATGTGTGTGTGTAGTGACTGCAACCATCTCCTTCAGTCAGGGTTTGGTGTGTCAGTGTGTGTTCAATCATCACCGTGTGACTGAGGAGAGAGAGAGAGAAGGGGGGGGGGGGGGTATGAACTGCAACATAACTGGGAAAAACAAAATTGCAACATTCAAAATGAGTGGATGAATACAGTTGTAGAAATGACATTATCTGATTTATCACAGACCTGTACTGATTTTCGTTCACTTACAGCGCGGTACACCATGGCGAGTGTGGAGGATGGCAACGCCGACTCTCAAGAGACCAAGGACCAGGAATCAGAACCACTTGCCAAAAGGCAGAAGAGAGAGAAATACAACCTCCGCCAGAAGACACTGGTGACTCGCATAGAGACTGAGGAAAGGCTGGTTGCTCCTAAACAACCCAAGCCCAAGTCTCGTCCACCACCTCTCAGTAAATACCGCCGGAAAACCGCCAACTCTCGCGAGAGGGGTCGCATGAAGGAAATAAACACTGCGTTCGAGGAGCTGCAGACAGTGCTTCCGAACCAGTGTGTCCAGGCGGCTGACAGTGCCAATCTGACCAAGATCACCACTCTTCGGCTGGCTGTCAACTACATCGCGGCACTCCGGGAGGTCCTCGGAGAGTCATGCAGTGCTGCTGAAGGTGGTCAACAAGAGGCGAGGGATACCTGCGTACAGTCGACTCACGCCGGCGTTACAGACGCTCTGAATCACGTTGCTACAGACGGTACTACTGACGTTGCCACCAACAGCGTCGCTGACGGCGCGACAGACATTACGACCAATACCCTGCATGGCGGGGGGAGGCCTGTTCAGGATGGTGATGCTGGTGCCAGCAATCCTGGCCGTGTAGCGGATAGCAGACAGGATTGTCATGACACCTCCGCGTCTGACCTGGCGACTACTCCGGGTAGTGTACACGGTGCTTACAACAGTAATGTCTGTGACTCCACCGACACAAGTTCCCGCTACAGGTCAAGGCCGTACACTGAAGGTACTGGTAGTGTTCCGAGTATTAATGACGCCAAACAACCCGAGAGTGACCTTGCCCCCGTGGTGAAGCCAACTTCTCCATACAACATACTGTACAACATGCTAACAGTTGTACAGATGGAGACAACTGTAGTCGTCTGGAGCACTGCATCTCGCAGTGTGTGGGAGGAGACCATTTCTGCGAGTCTGTGACGAGACCGGCACCCCCGTACCCCTTCAGTCCTGGAGGAGGGGGTCAGTGTTCTACTGAAGGGCTGGTCTGGAGCTCGCCGCCCTTTAGTCAGCTACCAGCCTACTCGGACATACACCCACTGACAAACGTCTTGTCGGTACACGACGGGGCATTAACTAACAATCATACCATCATCTTTGCCAACGACGATCCAATGGATATGATAACAGATGCCCTCCTCCATGACTAAACCTCATTAGATCCCACCCAGGAAGTGATGAAGAGATGTCTGATCAATGACGATGGCGATGTTATATTAGACATTGGATGTATAAAAATTTGATAAAAATGAAGTATTATGTAGAAATGGCATATTTTATACTGAATGTCTCAATATTCACAACAGTCTACTTCAGTCAGTTGTTACATCTTTCTTACACTTACACATTATCAGAGTATATGGTCGTATAGCGTGTAGGACGTCCACATTAACTAGAGCATAGAACGTAGGACGTCCACATTAACTAGAGCATAGAACGTAGGACGTCCACATTAACTAGAGCATAGAACGTAGGACGTCCACATTAACTAGAGCATAGAACGTAGGACGTCCACATTATCTAGTGATGAACATGTGACACGTGTAGATCTTATATATGATTTGGGGTATAACACGTTTGACACGTGCTTGACGAGTACACTACATGGTAATACACTGTGAATAACGTATACACTATCTAGATGTAATACATGTGTGACGTGTCGTATATACCACTGTGTAGAACAACCAACAGAACATGGGGTGGCCCAGTCTATATTTACCACTGTGTAGAACAACCAACAGAACATGGGGTGGCCCAGTCTATATTTACCACTGTGTAGAACAAACAACAGAACATGGGGTGGCCCAGTCTATATTTACCACTGTGTAGAACAACCAACAGAACATGGGGTGGCCCAGTCTATATTTACCACTGTGTAGAACAACCAACAGAACAACAGAACATGGGGTGGCCCAGTCTATATTTACCACTGTGTAGAACAACCAACAGAACATGAGGTGGCCCAGTCTATATTTACCACTGTGTAGAACAACCAACAGAACATGGGGTGGCCCAGTCTATATTTACCACTGTGTAGAACAACCAACAGAACATGGGGTGGCCCAGTCTATATTTACCACTGTGTAGAACAACCAACAGAACATGGGGTGGCCCAGTCTATATTTACCACTGTGTAGAACAACCAACAGAACATGAGGTGGCCCAGTCTATATTTACCACTGTGTAGAACAACCAACAGAACATGAGGTGGCCCAGTCTATATTTACCACTGTGTAGAACAACCAACAGAACATGGGGTGGCCCAGTCTATATTTACCACTGTATAGAACAACCAACAGAACATGGGGTGGCCCAGTCTATATTTACCACTGTGTAGAACAACCAACAGAACATGGGGTGGCCCAGTCTATATTTACCACTGTGTAGAACAACCAACAGAACATGGGGTGGCCCAGTCTATATTTACCACTGTGTAGAACAACCAACAGAACATGGGGTGGCCCAGTCTATATTTACCACTGTGTAGAACAACCAACAGAACATGGGGTGGCCCAGTCTATATTTACCACTGTGTAGAACAACCAACAGAACATGGGGGCCCAGTCTATATTTACCACTGTATATTTACCACATGTGTAGTCTATAACCACTGTGTAAACAACCAACAGAACATGGGGTGGCCCAGTCTATATTTACCACTGTGTAGAACAACCAACAGAACATGGGGTGGCCCAGTCTATATTTACCACTGTGTAGAACAACCAACAGAACATGGGGTGGCCCAGTCTATATTTACCACTGTGTAGAACAACCAACAGAACATGAGGTGGCCCAGTCTATATTTACCACTGTGTAGAACAACCAACAGAACATGGGGTGGCCCAGTCTATATTTACCACTGTGTAGAACAACTGTGTAGAACAACCAACAGAACATGGGGTGGCCCAGTCTATATTTACCACTGTGTAGAACAACCAACAGAACATGGGGTGGCCCAGTCTATATTTTACCACTGTGTAGAACAACCAACAGAACATGGGGTGGCCCAGTCTATATTTACCACTGTGTAGAACAACCAACAGAACATGGGGTGGCCCAGTCTATATTTACCACTGTGTAGAACAACCAACAGAACATGGGGTGGCCCAGTCTATATTTACCACTGTGTAGAACAACCAACAGAACATGGGGTGGCCCAGTCTATATTTACCACTGTGTAGAACAACCAACAGAACATGGGGTGGCCCAGTCTATATTTACCACTGTGTAGAACAACCAACAGAACATGGGGTGGCCCAGTCTATATTTACCACTGTGTAGAACAACCAACAGAACATGGGGTGGCCCAGTCTATATTTACCACTGTGTAGAACAACCAACAGAACATGGGGTGGCCCAGTCTATATTTACCACTGTCAACCAACAGAACATTTATTTACCACTGTGTAGAACAACCAACAGAACATGGGGTGGCCCAGTCTATATTTACCACTGTGTAGAACAAACCAACAGAACATGGGGTGGCCCAGTCTATATTTACCACTGTGTAGAACAACCAACAGAACATGAGGTGGCCCAGTCTATATTTACCACTGTGTAGAACAACCAACAGAACATGAGGGTGGCCCAGTCTATATTTACCACTGTGTAGAACAACCAACAGAACATGGGGTGGCCCAGTCTATATTTACCACTGTGTAGAACAACCAACAGAACATGGGGTGGCCCAGTCTATATTTACCACTGTGTAGAACAACCAACAGAACATGGGGTGGCCCAGTCTATATTTACCACTGTGTAGAACAACCAACAGAACATGAGGTGGCCCCAGTCTATATTTACCACTGTGTAGAACAACCAACAGAACATGGGTGGCCCAGTCTATATTTACCACTGTGTAAAACATATTTACTATTGTGTAGAACAACCAACATGAACATGTGGCCCAGTCTATATTTACCAACAGAACATGAGGGGTGGCCCAGTCTATATTTACCACTGTGTAGAACAACCAACAGAACATGGGGTGGCCCAGTCTATATTTACCACTGTGTAGAACAACCAACAGAACATGGGGTGGCCCAGTCTATATTTACCACTGTGTAGAACAACCAACAGAACATGGGGTGGCCCAGTCTATATTTACCACTGTGTAGAACAACCAACAGAACATGGGGTGGCCCAGTCTATATTTACCACTGTGTAGAACAACCAACATGAACATGTCTATATTTACCACTGTGTAGAACCCAGTCATGAGGTTTACCACTGTGTAGAACAACCAACAGAACATGGGGTGGCCCAGTCTATATTACCACTGTGTACCACAACCAACAGTCTATATTTACCACTGTGTAGAACAACCAACAGAACATGGGGTGGCCCAGTCTATATTTACCACTGTGTAGAACAACCAACAGAACATGGGGTGGCCCAGTCTATATACCACTGTGTAACCAACCAACAGAACATGGGGTGGCCCAGTCTATATTTACCACTGTGTAGAACAACCAACAGAACATGGGGTGGCCCAGTCTATATTTACCACTGTGTAGAACAACCAACAGAACATGAACATGAGTGGCCCAGTCTATATTTACCACTGTGTAGAACAACCAACAGAACATGAGGTGGCCCAGTCTATATTTACCACTGTGTAGAACAACCAACAGAACATGGGGTGGCCCAGTCTATATTTACCACTGTGTAGAACAACCAACAGAACATGGGGTGGCCCAGTCTATATTTACCACTGTGTGTAGAACAACCAACAGAACATGGGGTGGCCCAGTCTATAGCAATATGTGATGCCTACAAAATACATCAGATAGATCACGTACTGTGCAATATGTGATGCCTACAAGTACACCAGATAGATCACGTGTTGTGCAATATGTGATGCCTACAAGTACACCAGATAGATCACGTGTTGTGCAATATGTGATGCCTACAAGCACGGATAGATCACGTGTTGTGCAATATGTGATGCCTACAAGTACACCAGATAGATCACGTGTTGTGCAATATGTGATGCCTACAAGTACACCACAGATAGATCATGTGTTGTGCAATATGTGATGCCTACAAGTACACCAGATAGATCATGTGTTGTGCAATATGTGATGCCTACAAGTATTACAAGATAGATCACGTGTTGTGCAATATGTGATGCCTACAAGTAGATCACACGTGTTGTGCAATGTAGATAGATCATCACGTGTTGTGCAATATGTGATGCCTACAAGTACACCAGATAGATCACGTGTTGTGCAATATGTGATGCCTACAAGTACACCAGATAGATCATGTGTTGTGCAATGTGATGCCTACAAGTACACCAGATAGATCACGTGTTGTGCAATATGTGATGCCTACAAGTACACCACAGATAGATCACGCGTTTGTGCAATGTGTGATGCCTACAAGTACATCCAGATAGATCATGTGTTGTGCAATTGGTGTGATGCCTACAAGTACACCAGATACATCCCCTCAGTTGACATAGAAACTTGTTTCAGGATAAAATATATTATTCAATGATAAGTATTCAATAGTACACTCCTCTACATGAACATATGCTGTGAAATCTAGCAACACATATATCTATCAGTTGTTTGATCTGCATTGAAACCAGCGTCTTATCGACTCACGGCTGATCCAGTAACAACATGTACGGGCGCCTGGGGGTTCACGTAGGGTGTGTCAATGCTGCCGTTGCAAATCTGAAAAAACAACGTGACATGTAAATAAAAAGTTCCAAAGAAAATAATGAAAGCCATGAGATTCCAAATCAAAACTTGAATTGAGCTGATCACATGCCACTTGTCACTAGAGGGCGCTGTTCAGTGAAATGAGTGAGTGAGTTTAGTTTTACGCCGCACTCAGCAATATTCCGGCTATATGGCGGCGGTCTGTAACTAATCCAGTCTGGACCAGACAACCCAGTGATCAACAGCATGAATATCGATCTACGCAATTGGGATACGTGTGTCAACCAAGTCAGCGAGCTTGACCACTCGATCCCGTTAGTCGCCTCTTACGACAAGCATGGGTTACTGAAAATCAATTCTAACCCCGATCTTCACGGGTTCAGTGAAATGAAGTATATGTGATTGTACGTCAAGGCGTCAAATATACTGAGTCAAAAAAGAAACTTCACATTCTTTCTTCAGGGCACTATAAAAGAACAAGAGATGGTAAGATGGTTACATTGTTATTATTTCATTGCTAAGATCTGTGTGATGTACTCGATACACTGGCAGTGCCATAATCAGTTCCATAAGGCTACACCGCCGTTCCAAAAACATGGGTATACCCTACAAGTACACCAGATAGATCACGTGTTGTGCAATATGTGATGCCTACAAGTACACCAGATAGATCACGTGTTGTGCAATATGTGATGCCTACAAGTACACCAGATAGATCACGTGTTGTGCAATATGTGATGCCTACAAGTACACCAGATAGATCATGTGTTGTGCAATATGTGATGCCTACAAGTACACCAGATAGATCATGTGTTGTGCAATATGTGATGCCTACAAGTACACCAGATAGATCACGTGTTGTGCAATATGTGATGCCTACAAGTACACCAGATAGATCATGTGTTGTGCAATGTGTGATGCCTACAAGTACACTAGATAGATCATGTGTTGTGCAATATGTGATGCCTACAAGTACACCAGATAGATCACGTGTTGTGCAATGTGTGATGCCTACAAGTACACTAGAGAGATCATGTGTTGTGCAATATGTGATGCCTACAAGTACACTAGATAGATCATGTGTTGTGATAGTGATGCACAGATAGATCACGTGTTGTGCAATATGTGATGCCTACAAGTACACTAGATAGATCACGTGTTGTGCAATATGTGATGCCTACAAGTACACCAGATAGATCACGTGTTGTGCAATGTGTGATGCCTACAAGTACACCAGATAGATCACGTGTTGTGCAATATGTGATGCCTACAAGTACACCAGATAGATCACGTGTTGTGCAATGTGTGATACCTACAAGTACACCAGACAGATGACATGACTTCTAGAGGTACAAACCTTATCTACAGACATTTCCTCCATGTACAGATGAGTTGCATTCTGCACTGTCACCCGGGTATATCCGTAATCGTCAGTGTGGAATGCAGTCCAGGGTAAAACTGTATGTAAAAACTTGGTCTGTCCTTCTCTGTCACCCTGTGAAGTAATAGTGTAACATCCCTCAGTTGACATAGAAACTTGTTTCAGGATAAAATATATTATTCAATGATAAGTATTCAATAGTACACTCCACTACATGAACATATGCTGTGAAATCTAGCAACACATATATCTATCAGTTGTTTGATCTGCATTGAAACCAGCGTCTTATCGACTCACGGCTGATCCAGTAACAACATGTACGGGCGCCTGGGGGTTCACGTAGGGTTTGTCAATGCTGCCGTTGCAAATCTGAAAAAACAACAAGGTGACATGTAAATTAAAAGTTCCAAAGAAAGTAATGAAAGCCATGAGATTCCAAATCAAAACTTGAATGGAACTGATCACATGCCACTTGTCACTAGAGGGCGCTGTTCAGTGAAATGGGTGAGTGAATTTAGTTTTACGCCGCACTCAGCAATATTCCAGCTATATGGCGGCGGTCTGTAAATAATCCAGTCTGGACCAGACAACCCAGTGATCAACAGCATGAGCATCGATCTACGCAATTGGGATACGTGTGTCAACCAAGTCAGCGAGCCTGACCACTCGATCCGGTTAGTCGCCTCTTACGACAAGCATGGGTTACTGAAAGCAATTCTAACCCCGATCTTCACGGGTTCAGTGAAATGAAGTATAGGTGATTGTACGTCACGGCGTCAAATATAATCAGGGCGGAAAGTGCGCGTAAAATCTCCAAAATATTATAATAATTGCAATAAAGAAGTTGACTATCCATAGAACTTGGTTTTCCTTCACCTATAAAACTTCTAAAATGCCTATCAAAGAAGCCACCATCAGGGTTGAATAACAGCTTCTGCAGTATGTGGACATGCTAGGTTTCTGCTTGTGAGCATCGGTCGACACAGTCAGTTTGCGTACCTTGGTCTTGTACACCGGCCACAGCCGCTCGTAGGAATGTTCATGAGCAAAGAACTCCAGATCCACGCCATACTTGTAGAACAACTCCTCCAGACTTGCAGGGTAGTACTTGTTGCCGTTTCTAATCTGTGAACAGACATATCTCCAACTAGAACGTCAACATATCCTACAATTTTCTTGTCATCATTCATTGACAAAACTTTCATGGTCGTATAACTTAGTCAATTATTAACAAAGATTGTTACTGTCACACTAACGCCTGGACCATAATGTTAAATCGCTGAATATGAAATTCGATCAGATGCGATGGCATTACCACCAACTTGGTTTCCATGGTGACCACCTACCGGGTTGTCGTCATTGTCACACAGTTCCCTTTGTCACTGTTGGAGCAGTACATGGGTTTGTGGCCCATCACTATGATCCACGGCCGAGCGGCTCTATTGGCTGGGAGGTTGGCCTCCTGCAGGTCCTTCTCCAGCCACTCGTATTGGGCGCGGATACTCTCCGTGCTCACGCCGTAGTAGTACACCTCGGTGGAGAAACTGATGATGTGGGCGGGGCCGATGTTCCAGCTGCAGATGTTTGTAACGTGGATCAGTGTGGCTGTGTGACGCTGTGTGTATCAGGAGTAGTGTATGTGTGAAGCATTAAGTGTGTGGGTTGTGTAGGGGAGCATCACCAGTGTGTGAGAGCATTACTCGGTAATTTGTGTGAGCATTACTAGGGAATGTTTGCGATCATTACTCGGTAATTTGTGTGAGCATTACTAGGGAATGTGTGTGAGCATTACTCGGTAATTTGTGTGAGCATTACTAGGGAATGTGTGTGAGCATTACTAGGGAATGTGTGTGAGCATTACTCGGTAATTTGTGTGAGCATTACTAGGGAATGTGTGTGAGCATTACTAGGGAATGTGTGTGAGTGTGTAATGTACGTAGCGCCGTGAGCAGGCAGTGTGCCTGGATATGAGCGCCATTTAAGCGGACTATTACTATTACTAGGAATGTGTGTGAGCATTACTCGGTAATGTGTTGTGTATATATGTATGACTAAAACACTCATGGTAAATGTTGAACAAAAAGAGAAGCCATTTACGTTAACGTTTGAGGCTTTCATTTTCTGAGATTATTTTAAGGCAATAAGCAGTTTCATTTCTTGTAGGGTGATACTGATGTCCAAATCCTACTACACAACACAGCCACTTCTTGTTTGTAATGGTTGAACATACCTACCTGAAGTACATGCCCTCCCCGTCTCCACCAGGCATCGTGAACCTGTTCCTATAGTTGGAGAAGTTGCTGAAAGAGGAGACATGTGCTGTATGTGAAGATACTGACATTGCCAAGCGTGTTCTATTTGTGTGTGTATGTATGACCTGTGATGATACAACTGGCTACATCATCCGTGGGCTACATGGAAGAAGGAGAAGGTGTGTTTCTGTTATGCATCATGATGGGGGAATGCACGAATTGATGCAAATCTCGGCGCTCGACATGGTACTGTGAAACCTGGAAACATGACCAGGGCAAAACCGAGATTCGAACCTACGATCACAGGCCACCGACATAGCAAAGGGACACAACTCTCCGCAGCGAATTGAGACGTCCGACATAACTCTGTGTGCCAGAAAACGTGCAGATATCAGTTAATAGTTTCCTTTATTTCAAAGACACTGTTTGTTCAAACTTGAAACAATATTTAGAATCAGAAATCTGTGCGAAAAAACCCAAAAACACGGAAATATCTCACAGGTAACAGTTGGCTCTATGTTTTCTAATGAACACATATTGCAGAAAAATAAGAACAATGGTAGAACTTAAACGGCGGCAGTACAACAGCCAGGGGTACAACAATCAGGGGTACAACAGTCAGGGTACAACAGTCAGGAGTCAGGGTACAACAGTCAGGGGTACAACAGTCAGCGGTACAACGGTCAGGGGTACAACAGTCAGGGTACAACAGTCAGGAGTACAACAGTCAGGAGAACAAGAGTCAGGGGTACAACAGTCAGGGGTACAACAGTCAAGGGTAAAACAGTTAGGGTACAACAGTCAGGGTACAACAGTCAGGGGTACAACAGTCAGGGGTACAACAGTCAGGGGTACAACAATCAGGGCTACAACAGTCAGGGGTACAACAGTCAGGGGTACAACAGTCAGGGGTACAACAGTCAGGGTACAACAGTCAGGGGTACAACAGTCAGGGGTACAACAGTCAGGGTACAACAGTCAGGGGGTACAACAGTAGGGTACAACAGTCAGGGTACAACAGTCAGGGGTACAACAGTCAGGGGTACAACAGTCAGGGGTACAACAATCAGGGTACAACAGTCAGGGGTAGTCAGGGTACAACAGTCAGGGGTACAACAGTCAGGGGTACAACAGTCAGGGTCAGGGTACAACAGTCAGGGGTACAACAATCAGGGGTACAACAGTCAGGAGTACAACAGTCAGGGTACAACAGTCAGGGGTACAACAGTCAGGGGTACAACAGTCAGGGGTACAACAGTCAGGGTACAACAGTCAGGGGTACAACAGTCAGGGGTACAACAATCAGGGGTACAACAGTCAGACAATAGTCACAACAGTCAGGGGTACAACAGTCAGGGTACAACAGTCAGGGTACAACAATCAACAACAGTCAACAGGAAGTACAACAGTCAGGGGTACAACAGTCAGGGGTACAACAGTCAGGGGTACAACAGTCAGGGTACAACATTCAGGTACAACAATCAACAGTCAGGGTACAACAGTCAGGGGTACAACACAACATATCAGAGTACAACAGTCAGGGGTACAACAGTCAGGGGTACAACAGTCAGGGTACAACAGTCAGAGTACAACAGTCAGGGTACAACAGTCAGGGGTACAACAACAGGGGTACAACAGGGGTAAAACATTCAGGGATACAACAATCAGGGGTACAACAATCAGGGGTACAACATTCAGGGGTACAACAATCAGGGGTACAATAGTCAGGAGTACAGTGGTACAACAGTCAGGGGTACAACAGTCAGGGGTACAACAGTCAGGAGTACAACAGTCAGGGGTACAACAGTCAGGGGTACAACAGTCAGGAGTACAACAGTCAGGGGTACAACAGTCAGGGGTACTGTGAATACAATGACATTATACAACAGCCACAAGGTCCGTGGTTTAACCAAACCTAGGCTGGATATCCAGGGTGAAAATGCCAATCTTCCCACACTACTGGCCTTGATGAAGACGGAAGAACAAATGTAGAACAGTTGTGTAATTAGGAATCTTTTAGAAGAGCTAATGACTATTCCACCATAGTTTAAAACATTCTGGAAACCATTAAGATTATATAAGGGGCCATGCCCATATCTCATCTCACACGCCATTACGACCAGCTGTTGTGGGAGGACCATATCTTTACAGTGGATATCCAGACGTGGTCTGCCTTCCACCACTGTTGCTGTCTGATGATGAGGATTAATTATTCTTATTATCAATATTATCACTACTATCATACAACCTTTGACTGTTGTACTGCATCTGAACTTTGTGCTTTTACTATAGTTGTACTGCTAAACCGAGTTAGGATACAATTGATAATCTGGTTGTGTTGAAACAAGAAATATATTCAATATGTAATCAGTAAATACAGGAGAACTGGGTTATCGCACAACATAAAGTGTGTCGATTATCAACAGGTTGATAGTGTGACGTCAGTCCTGTGCTAACAGCTAATACCGGAAGTACTCACTATGCGTGTTCGTGGTTGCCAACACACACCATGTAGGGAACCATGGCTGCCACGGGCTCTATCTGACGCATGAACTCATCGCCGAGGCGGGCGTTGTCCTGGCAACAAGACATGGTATCAGTTCTGTCAATAACTCTCCACACCACCCCCATTACCAACAGAAAGGACACCATCTTCCCCCAATATCCACAGAAAGGATACCATCTTCCCCACAATACTTACTTTCTTTTTTTATTCATCTTTTTTAGGTACCAAAACATGACATCACATGACAACCATGTATAAACCCTGCGTTTGTATTCAGAGTTTGGCACATACCCAGGCATATTATAACAAATGACATTGTAGGAAAATAGGCAAGTCGTACGTTAATATCAATCAAACAATTGATGGCAATCAGATCAGAATCCAACAAATTTGGTAAAAGAACCCACAGAAATGACATCATTTTCCCCTACTATCCACGGACAATACTTCAACTTTCCCATTACCCACAGAAATGACACCATCTTCCCCCACTATCCACAGACAATACGTCTTTCTCTCCCTCCAGGTGATACTCACGGTGTCAAAGTCGTAGGCGAAGTCCCCTGTAAAAACAAACATGTACGTGTTTAGGAAATACGCGTGTAACGTGTGTTCACACACGCACGCGCACACACGCACACGCACACGAACGCACTCACTGGGGTACAAACAGGAAAATGTATCGAAGATAAAGACAGGCAATACAAACACAGCTCCATGCAGGTATGGTTAAGCTGGCCAATCACCGACGTCACAGGTTGAAACTTGCGGTTCTGACATCAAGACGTCCTTCCCGAGGAAAGCACCGTGGCACTGAAGCGCTACCGACAACAGTGGACACACCACCAGGTGTCCTGTGAATTGAGGTTATGTTGACGCTGTGCAGGTGGTAGACGGCTTGCTTGGAGACGACGTGCAGGGTGAAAGCAGTCCGTCTGTGGCAGCATCGTGGTTTCAGTTGGCAGTACGTACGACAACAGGCCATGACCCGTCACCATCGTGTGGACCAGGCGTTACCTCCAGCTGTTATAACTGACGTATTCGGTGTCTCAGGCATCAGATGTTATTGTCCTGAGCAGTCAAATATCCAGAGGTGTCATCGACTGAACACCTGTGCAGAGACCATATACAGGTATATGGTCTCTGACCTGTGAGATGTTCTCGGTTGAATTCACGACACCTTTGGGAGGCCCAAATACGACTGGCGAGAGAGGGGAGACAACCCGTCGTTTGATATCCAGTAAGCCCTTTAGGGTGCCTGTATGGAAGCTCAGATATGACTTTGCTTTGAAAACCTGAATTCCGCCTTTCTTTACATATCCTTTCTGACCAAACCATGGGGTTCCCTTAATATCGTCCTGGTATATTCGGAGGAAGTTCGGTGGAGGCCGTGATCCTACACACCTACATGCACGCACGTACATCAACCTATTTATAACATGCACACATGCACACGTTTCAAATGTAATCGTGGAAGATACAAACATCTGTCTGTCAGGCATCTACGTCTCGTGGTCGCCAATATAGGTACCTACGCGACGATATGCCAAAGTTTATCACGTACCTACGTGGAGAATGGCATCAAAGTGTCCAGCCTCAGCCTCTTCTTGTAAATAGGGCAATGCACGTGGGTTCTCATTGCCAAGGTCACCAAAGACAGCAAGTCTGGGACTCCAGTCACTGCCGCCCTGCATCGCCCTGAAGGTCAGGATGGAGCTGTAGCCGGCGTCACTTCCGCATCTGTACGCTGGAACAAGCAGGAGACATTTAACCATTTCAGGTCCACCAGCAGATCTACAAGGTTCAGGCCCGACAGTGTAACGCGGTGTATATGAAGCACACGCCTCTCGGTGCCACCATCATCAGACCTACAGCTACTCACTATATTGGTGTCCAAGATTCAGGCCCGACAGTGTCACACGGTGTATATAGAGCACACGCCTCTCGGTGCCACCGTCACCAGACCTACAGCTACTCACTATATTGGTGTCCAAGGTTCAGGCCCGACAGTGTCACACGGTGTATATAGAGCACACGCCTCTCGGTGCCACCATCATCAGACCTACAGCTACTCACTATATTGGTGTCCAAGGTTCAGGCCCGACAGTGTCACACGGTGTATATAGAGCACACGCCTCTCGGTGCCACCATCATCAGATCTACAGCTACTCACTATATTGGTGTCCAAGGTTCAGGCCCGACAGTGTCACACGGTGTATATAGAGCACACGCCTCTCGGTGCCACCATCACCAGATCTACAGCTACTCACTATATTGGTGTCCAAGGTTCAGGCCCGACAGTGTCACACGGTGTATGTAGAGCACACGCTTCTCAGTGCCACCATCAGTGAAGATGGTGGTGGTTCCATACTGAGTCTGATCGAGTTTCCCCTCCCCGTAGTTGACGGTGGCGGTGCCTGCCTTGCCGAGAGTCACCCACGTCACCACCATCTGGTCGGGGGCGGCTGTAACAACATCATCTACATGAGACAATCTCAGAAAGCCCTTGAATCGGAGAAAGATTTGAAAGTTAAGCTCTCGGAAGGAACAGCTGTGTCCTTGGTTTTTTTTCTAGAATTAAACTCCTTTTTATGTATTTATTGCTGACAATTCTAATGTATGTCTTTAGATTTCATTGTTTTGGAAAGGAAATGGTGGGTTTGGGAAACTTTGGGGCTATTCTGCAACGTTTGCATGAACGTATGAAGACACCCTGAAACCTACTGAAGGTTGAAGCTTAGTTGGACCCTGGTGGGGGATATCTAGCCATCATTGTTTCTCTTGGCGAAGTCAGCTTGGATAACATGACTCAAAATAACTGACATCCAAAGGTTTTGATGTACGTGAATCAATTCAGAGACTGAGATCTGAACAGACCGGTGACGGTACCAGCGACACCTCTTGCACACCACATCTAATGTCGGTCGAAGGGTTAATCTCCTGTCCATCTCTGAGAGACAGCTGTTATCACCGTGATATCGATGCTGCTGACACTGTTATAGATGATGCCCCCTGTTTACAAATACCTCCGATAACATCTGTTCTTACCAGCTATACAATGAGATATTTTCTTGGTGACCCATGTACCTCCACTATCTCAATGTGTAGAGACTTGTTCTTCAGTCATCTGAACCTAATCAAGGGCACACACACTGAACTGACACTGCTCCCATGTACCTCCACTATCTCAATGTGTAGAGACTTGTTCTTCAGTCATCTAACCAAATCAAGGGCACACACACTGACCTGACACTGCTCCAATGTAAAGACACTGCTACTAATTAGAAGTGAACGGGGTACTGGAACACTTGAGCGAAGGGATGGGGGAGAATGAAAATTGAAGAAAGACTTGGCCGGCACCCCTTATTTTATTGCGAGTTACGAATATCTAAGCAGTTTTGAGTCCATTCCGAACGATACCCACATATAACCCCTTACATACACACATACCTCCATATGGCACCTATATGCAGTCCCTTACATACACACACACCTTCATACGGCACCCACGTACACCCCCCTACATACATACACACCCTTACATACACACACACCTTCATACGGCACCCACGTACACCCCCTTACATACACACACATACCTCAGTACGACACTCATGTACAGTCCCGTACATACACACACACCTCCGTACGGCACCCACGTACACCCCTTTACATACACACACACCTCCGTACGGTACCCACGTACACACCCTTACATACACACATACCTCCGTATGGCACCCATATGCACACCTTACATACACACACACCTTCATACGGCACCCACGTACACCCTTTACATACACACACACCTTCACACACCCCTAACATACACACAACCCTTCATACGGCACCCACGTACACCCCTTACATACACTGATACCTCAGTACGACACTCATGTACAGTCCCACATACACACACACCTCCGTACGGCACCCACGTACACCCCTTACATACACACACACACCCTCCGTACGGCACCCACGTACACCTCCTTACATACACACACACACATCTCCGTACGGTGCCCAAGTACACCCCTTACACACACACACACACACACACACCCAGTACGGCACCCACGTAAAACCCCCTACGGTACCCACGTACACCCCCTTACATACACACACACCTCCGTACGGCACCCACGTACACCCCCTTACATACACACATACCTCAGTACGACGCTCATGTACAGTCCCTTACATACACACACACCTTCATACGGCACCCACGTACACCCCTTACATACACACATACCTCTGTACGACGCTCATGTAGAGTCCCTTACATACACAAACACCTCCGTACGGTACCCACGTACACCCCCTCACATACACACACACCTTCCTACGGCACCCACGTACACCCCCTTACATACACACATACCTCCGTACAACGCCCATGTACACCCCTTACATACACAACACACCTCCGTACGGCACCCACGTACACCCCCTTACATACACACACACACCTCCGTACGGCACCCACGTACACCCCCTTACATACACACACACACACACCTCCGTACGGCACCCACGTACACCCCCTTACATACACACACACACCTCCGTACGGCACCCACGTACACCCCTTTACATACACACACACACACACCTCCGTACGGCACCCACGTACACCCTCCTTACATACACACACACACCTCCGTACAGCACCCACGTACACCCCTTACATACACACACACACCTCCGTACGGCACCCACATACACCCTCTTACATACACACACACACACACCCTCCGTACAGCACCCGTACGGCACCCCTTACACCCATACACACACACACACACCTCCGTACGGCACCCACGTACACCCTCTTACATACACAAACACACCTCCGTACGGCACCCACGTACACCCTCTTACATACACACACACACCTCCGTACGGCACCCACGTACACCCTCTTACATACACACACACCTCCGTACGGCACCCACGTACACCTCTCACACACACACCCTCCGTACATACACACACACACTCCGTACGGCACCCACGTACACCCTCTTACACACACACACACCTCCGTACGGCGCCCACGTACACCGCCTTACACACACACACACCTCCGTACGGCACCCACGTACACTCCCTTACACATACACACACACACACGCCTCCGTACGGTACCCACGTACACACACACTCACACACACGTACGGCATCTATGCACAGTCCCTTACATACACACACATCTCCATTCGGCGCCCACGTACACCCCTCTTACATATACACACACCTCCGTACGACACCCATGTAAACCCCTTACGTACGACACCCATGTAAAATCCCTTACATACACACCTCCGTAAGATAGGTGGATCTGCTCCGGCTGTGGATAGATGGTCCTGTGTTCCAGGATCCCCTGTGTGGCGAGGATGAGCGCGGGAAGTACAACCCCGCAGACTACTAACTTCATGTTTGTTGTTCCAGTCACCTCCAGTACTCGCTGACAACTGACGGTCTGTTCGCGGATCAGTAACTCTCTGTCCCTGGGGAGGTCACCTGTCTCGGAGATATAAACACACGTGACCTCAGCGTTCCAATGACAACAACATGTGTGATGTGATAGTTAACATGAGGTATGATGTGGTGCTGACACACCGAATTACAGGCTAAAGTAATCGATTGACCTCATCACCTGATGTGCGTCGTCAGTAGATCAACTGTTTGAGTCAGACATTGAAGTTATGTATTGATAAAGCCCTGAGTGCCACTTCCTCACACGAGCTTGATGCAGGAGTGAATGATCGACCTAGTTACTCTCCATCCTACAACATCCACGCCGGATGTTTGGTGACACAAACAAGTGCAGCCCATGGTTTACTCAAATGTCCCCTGTTGTTTTCGGCGTGTCGGGTGCTCACGAGTATTTGTCTTATTGTTTTCAACCTGGAATCGTCAATTTTGTTGTACTGTATCGATACAAAAGTTGTAACAATTTACGTAGAGGGTGACGTCCGAGTAACTCTCCATTCCTTAAAAATAATGGAGCCGAGGCACATTATTTTTAAGGAATGCAGAGTTACGAGGATATTACCCTACTTAAATTACATTCAAAGTATTGGGAATATTTCTGTTATCAAAATTAAATGTAAAAATGACAATATGAAGTCTTTAATTTGTAATTTGTACACATCGCTCCATTCTTGAAAAGTAATGGAGCGAGCAGACAATGGAATGACGTCACAAATGTAATTTCACTTCCGATACGGCCCAGTGACGGCGCTGGTGATATTATATTCCATTTTCTATTAAATAAATCCATAGATATTTTTCGAACAAATATATTTTTCAATTTGATACACATATTTTAATACTGCTTTATAGATACTAAAACTGGGTTTCAAACCCCAAATGTTCATTACAAATATATGGCGTTTGGCCAATTAAATCATGTGATTGAGTAAGCTGTTGCTAAAAAAACCTTGCTATTGCAGCAACATAAAATATGTTTTGTGGGTATGTTATGCTGAATAGTCTATTAATGAGATTGATGAATTCTTTCCAAAACAGTCTGAGAGTTGGACAATCAATGTACACATGACCGATGTTCTCACAAACTGAACCATATAATGAACCTAACTCATTATCAACTCCCTTTGTGTAAATTGCTTTATATATAAATTTATATTGAAGCTCTAGGAGTTTGAGGAAAATATTTTCACAAATGAATTTATCACAAAATAATCATGAGCTTTTACTAGGTTTCTTCAATCATTCAAAGGGATACATATTGACACTTTGGATTTATTGGGATATTTTGTTGTTGACAGTTTGGTATCCATCCTAAAGATGCCACGTCATGAGTGTTTGTCTTGCTGGAGGTAACGCTGGTGATTGGCAAAACGTGGCATTGCGTACGTGTAATGTGATTTATTAGCACGTGCCAGCTATACAACCAATTTGTGTTGTTCACATTCAAAATAGCAGATGTGTAAGGATCACGCTAACAAAGTAACAAGGTTATCTACGATAACCTAATCATTCAAGATAGAGGCTTAGGTACAGCATCAGCTCCAACCCTCTTGAGCACCTACCCCGGCATCTACGATGTTGTGTTGTGGATACGTTGTGTTTAGACTGTACCCGGAACAATCTCTACCCACACTGGGTGACTCGTCCCGGGTGTGTACACAATAATAAGAAGAGTATATCCTTCTATTGTTGTCCGCTTCAGTGATCCTGGTCCGGGAGAGACCTCCATGGTCACTGGTGTCTGTTGGTGCGGGAGAGCCCTCCGTGGTCACTGGTGTCTGTTGGTGCGGGAGTGTCCTCCGTGGTCACTGGTGTCTGTTGGTGCGGGAGAGTCCTCCGTGTTCACTGGTGTCTGTTGGTGTGGGAGAGCCCTCCGTGGTCACTGGTGTCTGTTGGTCCAGGAGAACCCTCCGTGGTCACTGGTGTCTGTTGGTCCAGGAGAGCCCTCCGTGGTCACTGGTGTCTGTTGGTGTGGGAGAACCCTCCGTGGTCACTGGTGTCTGTTGGTGTGGGAGAGCCCTCCGTGGTCACTGGTGTCTGGTGTCTGTTGGGTCACTGGTGTCTGTTGGTGTGGGAGAACCCTCCGTGGTCACTGGTGTCTGTTGGTGCGGAGAGGAGAATCCTCCGTGGTCACTGGTGTCTGTTGGTGGTGTCCGGGAGAGAGCCCTCCGTGGTCACTGGTGTCTGTTGGTGTCCTCCGTGGTCACTGGTGTCTGTGGTGTGGGAGAGATCCTGGTGGTCACTGGTGTCTGTTGGTGAACCCTCCGTGGTCACTGGTGTCTGTTGGTCACTGGTGTCTGTTGGTGTGGAGAGTGTCCTCCGTGGTCACTGGTGTCTGTTGGTGGGAATCCTCCGTGGAGGTGTCTGTTGGTGTGGAGAACCCTCCGTGGTCACTGGTGTCTGTTGGTGTTGGGAGAACCCTCCGTGGTCACTGGTGTCTGTTGGTGTGTCTGTTCACTCCGTGGTCACTGGTGTCTGTTGGTGTCTGTTGGTCCGGGAGAACCCTCCTCCACTGTGGTCACTGGTGTCTGTTGGTGCGGGGTGAGCCCCTCCGTGGTCACTGGTGTCTGTTGGTGTGGGGAGAGTCCTCCGTGGTCACTGGTGTCTGTTGGTGTGGGAGAACCCTCCGTGGTCACTGGTGTCTGTTGGTGTGGGAGAGCCCTCCGTGGTCACTGGTGTCTGTTGGTCGGGAGAGCCCTCCGTGGTCACTGGTGTCTGTTGGTGTGGGAGAGCCCTCCGTGGTCACTGGTGTCTGTTGGTGCGGGAGAGCCCTCCGTGGTCACTGGTGTCTGTGGGAGTGTCCTCCGTCTGTTGGTGTGGGAGAGCCCCTCCGTGGTCACTGGTGTCTGTTGGTGTGGGAGAGCCCTCCGTGGTCACTGGTGTCTGTTGGTGTGGGAGAGCCCTCCGTGGTCACTGGTGTCTGTTGGGGTGTGGGAGAGTCCTCCGTGGTCACTGGTGTCTGTTGGTCACGGGGAGTGGTCACTGGTGTCCCTCCGTGTGTCACTGGTGTCTGTTGGTGTGGGAGAGCCCTCCGTGGTCACTGGTGTCTGGGTGGAGAGCCCTCTGTCACTGGTGTCTGTTGGTGTGGGAGAATCCTCCGTGAGGTGTCTGTTGGTCAGGAGAACCCTCCGTGGTCACTGTTGTGTCCTCCGTGGTCACTGGTGTCTGTGGGAGAGTCCCTCCGTGGTCACTGGTGTCTGTTGGGGTGTGGGAGTGTCCTCCGTGGTCACTGGTGTCTGTTGGTCCGGAGAATCCTCCGTGGTCACTGGTGTCTGTTGGTCCAGGAGAACCCTCCGTGGTCACTGGTGTCTGTTGGGGTGTGGGAGTGTCCTCCGTGGTCACTGGTGTCTGTTGGTCCGGGAGAACCCTCCGTGGTCACTGGTGTCTTTTCGTGTTTTTTGTAGGGGGTGGGGGTGGGATGTGTGTGTGTTTTGTTGTTATGTTATCACTGGTCGGTTATATGGGATTATATGCAACCTAGAAGGCCCGTTAGACAAGAAATTTGTCTAAGGTTTTGAAGGTTTGAATGTTATTTAGTGGGCCAGAGACCATATACCGTTATGGTCTCCGAGTGGGCTTAGGAGTGTAGTGTTACGTGTGTGTTAGTGTCCAGTGAACTCTGGAGCACCGTTCAGTGTTGTTGGTAGTGTATGCAGTGTAGTAGGACGTGTTCGGGCGTTTCTGTTTCGTTGCAGTGTGTGCATTTGTCTGTTTGGTGTTGGTTTATTTATTTTATGTAGATGGGAAATTAATTTTGTGTGACCTGTGACTAATTTGGACAAACAACTATCCTTATTAACAGTAAATGTAAGATGTCAACGCCAGAGATCCAGCACGCTCGATTTCAATAGGCGCATGATACGATGCGATTATCGCGATATGGTTCAGATTCTGCAATATATTGGGGGCATCCAGAGTTAGCTCCCTTTGAATTATCTGCCCTTGATTTCCATAGCAACAAAATGTGCTCTAAAAGTGCCAAATATACTTTTATTTCTGTTGGTTTCATGTAACATTTTACAAGTGGAAGTATCTTTATAAGAGGCTCAAAAAGTGCCAAATATTCAACCAAAGGCTTTAAGTTTTGTGGGTTTGAATGGTTTCATATGTGACGTTTTGAAGGAATTAAGTGACCTCAAATGGACCAAGCTTGGTTATTTCTCAGTAGAGCAATTCATGTTATTTTGTTATTTTGTTTGTTTCATAATGGGACATATGCTATCAATTTATCAGAAACGCCTTTGCAGTACTGTATAATGACACTCTAGTCAAGGATCTTAGTTATTGGAGGTCACATGAGATTTTAAGCTCGAGTAGTTCACTTAAATCATGTTTTTGCTTCATTTTGCAACGGTTCATGTTAACACGTTTATATTGGAGTTTAATCTAAATGACGCACTGACATACAGTAACGATAATTACAAATTTCATTGAAGTGCATATTCTACTGAAGCAACTGTGACAGCACTGATAATGACATCATGTTATACTATTACCTTCATCATTATGTTCTCAAAACTTTGTTACAATACGTCAATTAAACATTCCACATTGAAGTTCTACATTATTTTATTTATGTGTAAACCACTGTCATACAACCATGCACAATGGGAACGAGGAGCCTGAAAGTATGGTGTAACAGCAGCTAAGAAGATGACAAGACAAGTTTATTTTTCTCAAAAACCACCCACGGTGGTACAAGAGAATACAAATATTAGGGCTGTAACGATGCATCGAACTATCGATGCATTGCAACTGTTGAGTCTCCGATAGTAATTAATTGATGGTAGAAACGAAAAATTATCGATGCATTGATAGTATGTGTGACTATCGATAGTTTAGTAATTGACTTCCGCTGATAAATGTGCAGCGCAAATTACAGGAAGTACCAGATTCGTTCACTTTGATTTAGAGTGCAGACTTTCAGCTTCACTGAGTTTATGTTTTAACTGTTTACCTGATCTGGGTTTCAAGTTTCTTGTTAGCTATTAAATTGACTGAAACTACTTTAACCTGTTTTTATTTCATATAAACTATACGTACATTTGGGAAATGACTTCAAATGAGACACTTCAAGAGAGAAAACTATTGCAATAGTATTGCAATAGTTCGCCGCAATAGACTATCGCTATCGCAATAGTTGTTTCCCCCTCAATAGTCACCCCTAAAATATATATGTATTACAGAAACAGACAAGAATGGTGATATCAGTAGGATAGGTTATTTTAACTTTTCAAAACAAACAGATTCTTTAATTCTGACATTTTTCTTTTGCAGATTAGACTTTTGTATTTGTACATATTTGGCATTTTAAATTAAAATTCATTAATATAAAGACGACGTTCTGTTTCAAAGGCTGTACGTCTAAATAAATGTGTATTTCATCTGCAATGGCTGGAGAATCAGACAGAGGACATATTCTATCCTGACGGAATAGGCCACGCCATCTTCCTGTTTCCACTGGACATTGTGCTTACCGTGTTACGTGGTATATAATGATTTTTCGAGAAGTAAAAATTGTTCGAAAGACGGGCTTTCTTTAGTTCGTAATTAATTCCTTTAGAACCATTAATAACGGAGCTGCGCAAGGTTTGATCGACATGATCTCTTAAGATGATTTCTACTTGTGATGAAACCCATTTGGGGGGATAATTATATGGATTTCTGAACACATCACTCAGTCCGCATCTATTCAATATATCTTCTACATATTTAAGCCAAACATTTTCTTTACCATTTCTTAGTTTATCGTACATGATGTCGCACGCAGAGAGCTATTAGGAATTTATGATGTACGCACTCGGACAGAAACCTTCCATTATCTCTTAAATTATTGCAATATATCGCAATATGAGAAACAGGGCAAGTTGACAGATATACGAGTTTGTATGAATGGATCACTAAAACACTGCATGAGATCGCACTTCTGACATTGTCCCCATTGGTCAGTCGTACAGGCACACAGGGCCATTTTACCCTACAAGTATACTACGTTATAACGAATGGCCACTGATTTTAGTTCGTTATAGCCCTACTTCCTTATGGGCATTTCGACATACAATACAGCAAGTGAGCGGGACCAAGTGGCCGTCAGTTCGTTATATGCTAGTCATACAGCGGTAACACTGTCGAACTTCAGGCTTAGTGGTGTCTGCCTCGGTCAGTTTATACTTACAGTCATACAGCTGTAACACTGTCGTACTTCAGGCTTAGTCTTTTATACTTACAGTCAGTGTACTTCAGGCTTAGTGGTGTCTCCTCGATCAGTTTATACTTACAGTCATACAGCTGTAACACTGTCGTACTTCAGGCTTAGTGGTGTCTGCCTCGATCAGTTTATACTTACAGTCATACAGCTGTAACACTGTCTACTTCAGGCTTAGTGGTGTCTGCCTCGTTTATACTCAGTCATTTAACACTACTTAGGCAGTCATACAGTCATACAGCGTAACACTGTCGTACTTCAGGCTTAGTGGTGTCTGCCTCGATCACTTATACTTACAGTCATACAGCGGTAACACTGTCGTACTTCAGGCTTAGTGGTGTCTGCCTCGATCAGTTTATACTTACAGTCATACAGCTTCAGGCTTAGTGGTGTCTCCTCGATCAGTTTATACTTACAGTCATACAGCTGTAACACTGTCGTACTTCAGGCTTAGTGGTGTCTGCCTCGATCAGTTTATACTTACAGTCATACAGCTGTAACACTGTCGTACTTCAGGCTTAGTGGTGTCTGCCTCGATCAGTTTATACTTACAGTCATACAGCGGTAACACTGTCGTACTTCAGGCTTAGTGGTGTCTGCCTCGATCAGTTTATACTTACAGTCATACAGCTGTAACACTGTCGTACTTCAGGCTTAGTGGTGTCTGCCTCGATCAGTTTATACTTACAGTCATACAGCGGTAACACTGTCGTACTTCAGGCTTAGTGGTGTCTGCCTCGATCAGTTTATACTTACAGTCATACAGCTGTAACACTGTCCTACGATCAGTTTATACTTACAGTCATACAGCGGTAACACTGTCGTGCTTCAGGCTTAGTGGTGTCTGCCTCGATCAGTTTATACTTACAGTCATGCACAGCTGGTAACACTGTCGAACTTCAGGCTTAGTGGTGTTCTGCCTCGATCAGTTTATACTTACAGTCATACAGCTGTAACACTGTCGTGACTTCAGGCTTAGTGGTGTCTCAGTTCCCCGCGGTTTATACTCGATCAGTTTATAAGTACTCAGGCTTAGTGGTGTCTGCCAGGCTCGATCAGTTTATACTTACAGTCATACAGCTGTAACACTGTCGTACTTCAGGCTTAGTGGTGTCTGCCTCGATCAGTTTATACTTACAGTCATACAGCTGTAACACTGTCATACTTCAGGCTTAGTGGTGTCTGCCTCGATCAGTTTATACTTACAGTCATACAGCTGTAACACTGTCGTACTTCAGGCTTAGTGGTGTCTGCCTCGATCAGTTTATACTTACAGTCATACAGCTGTAACACTGTCGTACTTCAGGCTTAGTGGTGTCTGCCTCGATCAGTTTATACTTACAGTCATACAGCTGTAACACTGTCACTGTCCTACTTCAGGGCTTAGTGGTGTCTGCCTCGATCAGTTTATACTTACAGTCATACAGCTGTAACACTGTCGTACTTCAGGCTTAGTGGTGTCTGCCTCGATCAGTTTATACTTACAGTCATACAGCTGTAACACTGTCATCAGGCTTAGTGGTGTCTGCCTCGATCAGTACTTCTGCCTTACAGCCTACTTTCACACTTTCGTCGTGGCTCAGGCTTAGTGGTGTCTGCCTCGATCAGTTTATACTTACAGTCATACAGCTGTAACACTGTCGTACTTCAGGCTTAGTGGTGTCTGCCTCGATCAGTTTATACTTACAGTCATACAGCTGTAACACTGTGTCTGTTCAGGCTTAGTGGTGTCTGCCTTCAGTTTATACTTACAGTCATACAGCTGTAACACTGTCTTCAGGCTTAGTGCTTAGTGGTGTCTGCCTCGATCAGTTTATACTTACAGTCATACAGCTGTAACACTGTCGTACTTCAGGCTTAGTGGTGTCTGCCTCGATCAGTTTATACTTACAGTCATACAGCTGTAACACTGTCGTACTTCAGGCTTAGTGGTGTCTGCCTCGTTCAGCAGATATTCCCTCAGATCTCCTAAGTCAGACAAGAATGCGATTGGTCATTTCCACAACAAATATGGACAAACAAAATGGAAATATTTAGAGCTATAGTACATGTATACAGACACCTATATATTGTATATGTATAATGTTATGCAAACACCTTTTTCGAGAAATTGATCTGTAATATACACATGAGAAAATATTCAATCAATCTACAGGCATGTGCATAGAGAAACGTGTTCCTTGTCACGGCCTTGTAATATTAATTCCTTGTCCAACACTGTTAGATCTAGGTGTTTGATTCGGGGTGGTATACGTTGCGTCTGTTCCTCAACATGCACCTCTGATCACGTAACGTTGGGTGCTTCAGAGAGGTGTAAACATTGCTTGGTCAACAAGGATATCCTGTGTGACAACACTCACCATGTCTTCCTGGTTTGTTCAACAAATCTAACCGAGATAATTAACGACTATACAGTTAATCCTTTCCTTGCTCAAAGCAGAGACCATATAATAATAATTATATGGTCTCTGCTCAAAGTCTTGATGTCGCAAAGCCCTGGACCCTGCTAGCGTGACCGACCTTTTCTAATGGTTTAGAGGAAGTCTCGTAGGACTTATTGTAACAACGGTATCGTGTTAAGGTGATAGAACTCAGTCCCACACTAATGGGTACTTCAGTACTTCAGGATCGCATTTATCAGCATCTCTGTTTACCATACCCTGTTGATGGAGTTCACCCAAGCCGTACACGACTAGTGACCCTTCGTTTGTTCACAACCATCATCTTGACGCAACGTCCATTTCCTTTAGTCATTTCATGAGTAAACATACGTTCTCGGAACAAAAACAATTCGCATAAACGCAAGCAAATAGATAACGATGTAAGGAGTTCTAGCCAGGGGCACGATGTAAACAATATGGCGTCACCTGAAGGTGTGTTTTGAACCAGTAGCCAAATAATCTTGGAAATTTCGATGCGTTACATTTATTGTGATATTATCTTCATGTGTCACCTTGATGGGTGAAATAGATATTGATACAGAAGTAATACTGAAAGGCGGTACATTATATCATCGAGGCATTCTTGTTGAAGCATCATTTGAGTCGAGTAGATCTAAATTAAATATGACCAGACGGCAGACCAGTGTCTCTTCGTGTGAATACCCTAGTTCAGAGATCTGTGTGGCCACTAATGTCGGCCTGCTTCATATACCATTATGTTGGAACCTCGTCACATCTATTACGTCCTGTCATTTTGATATTACAGTATTAATTTTGTTTCTCACGGTGCAAGCGAGTGCGTTTTCAAGATTGTATGACGGATGAATATATTTTCTATCAAGCAAATATACATGTTGTGAAAGGGAAGACATTTCATCATGATGGATGTTGAGGGACATACGGTTGTTATGACAGGCGTGATTTTCTCTACATGTTTAGTATCACCATTAGAAATTGACACAAAACTTAAATTAGCAGTATGAACTTCAGTGATGTGCTTGCCCAAGTCAGTGGATGAACTAACCCTGATTCATGAACTAGCCTTGGTGCATGTGGGGGGAATCAAACCCGTGTCTTCGGCGTGACGAGTGAATGCTTTAACCACTAGGCTAGGCTGCCTCTAGGCTAGCCAAAAGCCGCGATACGGACCTATACAGTCAAGACATGACCCTGCATGTCTTGACTGTATAGGATCGCATCGCTGCTACCCGCTGCATCTAGGCTACCCCACCATGAACTTAGACTGATGCATGATCCATGCACACACCTCAAGCCCTACTACCCATAGTTGAAGTTTGTCCTGGTTCAACCCTGATAATGAGAATATGTGACATCATTGGAAGTTCTAATACAAATCTTTCATTTCAGGAAAACAAATGCGGAAAAGAAAGAATACAGATGTGGATGAAAACAGTACGGTTATCAAAGCCTTCCGAGAGTTTCAAGTCCTGCTTGACACGAGGCATGATAAATATGAACGTTTAGTCAAACTTAGCCGAGATGTCACCATCGAAAGCAAGCGGACTATCTTCATGCTGCACAGAGTGGCAGGGTAGGCTTCATGTATATAGATCTGTTAAAAGTTGTGTTCAGCAGATAGGAGGTGTAGGTTGTAGGTTCTGTAGCAGTCTTGTGCTTAATAATGGTGTCTCTCTCATCCATATATTCTTATCCTTCCTAAGAAACGTCGAAATGTCTCTAAAAAAAGACTCCTAGTTTATCATTGTTTATAGATGGTGTCTTTTCTGTCCACAGAAATGAGGATTCTGAGAGTCTCCTTGCGCAAACACTTGAAAAACTGAACAACATAAAGCTGATAAAGATGATGAAGATATCTGAAGAGTTGGAAGGAGAAGACCCATATCAGTTCTTACGGGCTTACTCCCCAGGTGAGAACAGTCTCTTTGCTGTGAAACTTAACCTGCAAGTACAAAGATACATGTGATATCCTACCCCTGTAGGTAGGTCTATACTATTGACAACCCACACGTGCAGGTAGGTCTGCTCTTGAGATATCCCACCCTTGCAGGTAGGTCTATACTTGATATATACCAGCCCTGCAGGTAGGTCTATACTTAAGATATCCCGGCCCTGCAGGTAGGTCTATACTTGAGATATCCCAGCCCTGCAGGTAGGTCTATATTTGAGATATCCTACCCCTGCAGGTAGGTCTATACTTGGGATATCCCAGCCCTGCAGGTAGGTCTATATTTGAGATATCCCACCCCTGCAGGTAGATCTATACTTGGGATATCCCACCCTGCAGGTAGGTCTATACTTGATATATCCCAGCCCTGCAGGTAGGTCTATACTTGATATATCCCAGCCCTGCAGGTAGGTCTATACTTGAGATATCCCAGCCCTGCAGGTAGGTCTACACTTGAGATATCCCAGCCCTGCAGGTAGGTCTATACATGATATATCCCAGCCCTGCAGGTAGGTCTATACTTAAGATATCCCAGCCCTGCAGGTAGGTCTATACTTGAGATATCCCAGCCCTGCAGGTGGGTCTATATTTGAGATATCCTACCCCTGCAGGTAGGTCTATACTTGATATATCCCAGCCCTGCAGGTAGGTCTATACTTGAGATATCCCAGCCCTGCAGGTAGGTCTACACTTGAGATATCCCAGCCCTGCAGGTAGGTCTATACATGATATATCCCAGCCCTGCAGGTAGGTCTATACTTAAGATATCCCGGCCCTGCAGGTAGGTCTATACTTGAGATATCCCAGCCCTGCAGGTAGGTCTATATTTGAGATATCCTACCCCTGCAGGTAGGTCTATACTTGGGATATCCCAGCCCTGCAGGTAGGTCTATATTTGATATATCCCAGCCCTGCAGGTAGGTCTATACTTGATATATCCCAGCCCTACAGGTAGGTCTATACTTGAGATATCCCAGCCCTGCAGGTAGGTCTACACTTGAGATATCCCAGCTATGCAGGTAGGTCTATACTTGAGATATCCCACCCCTACATTAATTAGATTTGTGATTGTACCTTGAACCTTGGTTACATTATTTTGGTATGTGATTGTATTTAAATGCCTGTTATTGTACCTGGGACCTAGATGACATTACCATGGTATTTAAATCTGTGATGGTACCATGGACATTGATGACATGATTTAGGTCTGATTTAGAAATGGATGTAAACTGTGATTTGTACTGTTTGCAGGTCTTCAGGAGTTCATTGAAGCTGTGACCTTCTATCACTATCTGCACAGTGGGTCCCTGGTGACTCTCCAACAGATTCAAGATGACCTCACCTTCCCCACTCCTCATCCAGCAGTGGAAAATGTAGCAGATATAACTGCTCCAAATGTGAAAAGGGAGGTAACTGTGCAAGTCCTCATACCACCCCTGGAGTACATGCTGGGCGTGGCAGACCTGACCGGTGAACTCATGAGACTGACTATCAACAGTGTGGGAGCTGGGGACTTACAGCTTCCTTTCAAAGTTTGTGCGTTCATGCGACGTATACATGATGCATTTCTGTCCTACGGGAATGTTTCTCGGGAACTGAATCGAAAAATGTCCACGCTCAGACAGAGCTTGCACAAAGTTGAGAATGCGTGTTACACTATCCAAGTGCGTGGCTCTGAGATCCCCAAACACCTGATCGCTGATGTCCTCAGTGGGACTTCCGAGTGCAGCAGCAGGTTTCAGGAAGAACCATGTGATGAATAGGGGCCATTCTGTAATAAATCGGTCAAAAACCAATTATATGTAAATTATGTATGTTTAACACCTCTTTGGTGGTTTAGTGATACATGTAGATTTCTTTTACAAACCTTTTAAAACCAAAAAGGAAAAAAAGATACATGTATGTGACACATTCCACTCATGTTCAAGCTTCTGTTTGAGAACATAAGTAGAACATAATTTGACATTACACACTATGTTCAGCTTGGCAGGTTGAAGAACTACTCGGCCATTGTAGACTGTTCATCTGTTAGGCCATCCATCCTCCTCCATCAATCTGTCAGTCATTCTGCCCATCCCAGCAACCTGCATACATCTTCGTCCCTTTCAATGTCACTCCATCATCTGCTACATTAAACCTTCCTGCCATCAGTGTCTTGAGACCTTCAGTGAGACTGTTATACTTTCCTTTCTTCCATCAATCTGTTAGACCTTCATCCATCAATCTGTCAGACCTTCCATTCATTAATCTTGAATCTCTTTCATTCAGTTTGTTCTTTTATCTACCCATGAGGATCCGGATTTGAATTCATCTTCAGTAACCCATGCTTGTCGTAAGAGATGATTAACGGGATCGGGTGGTCAGACTCGCTGACTTGGTCGACACATGCCATCACATCACAATTGGGTAGACCGATGCTCATGCTGTTGATCACAGGATTGTCTGTTCCAGGCTCGATTATTTACAGACCGCCGCTATATAGCTGGCTGAAATATTGCTGAGTGCAGCATAAAACTAAACTCACTCACTCAATTGTTCTTCATCCTCTTATTAACGATCACATTTTTCACATGTGTAATAAGATCACCAAACATTTACCTACTTCATCACCAGTCTCCTGCCTATGTCAATCTGCTGAAGGTTGAGGTGCAGCAGACACTGACCTTCCCAGGGGCTACTGTCCACGTACAGACTGACTTTGAGTGGTATCCGTGTTGTCAAGACGAGTTCCCTGGCACAGAGGTAAAAGGCTACCAGGCCATTTGGCACGGAAGTCGAAACCTTGGTCTGGCTGTCTAGTACAAGGAAGACCTTGCTGTACAGACTTGGTTCAGAAGAGCTGCCGGACTTGCCCTTCTCCCTGCTGCTGCTGTCCACGATATGTGGGTGGATGCCATGCAGTCAACACCCTAAGTTATGATAGCCATTGGCTTTAACAACTAGTCAACTACATTGTCACCAAGTCGGTAAATGATGATGCAACATTCCCCAAAACAACAGGATCATGGCTGCACAACTTGGAAGGCTTCCACAACTGTTTCAACAAGCCCTGTGACACCAGCACACAAATGTGTTATGTTTCATTGAAATCATAACAAAGACAGCAGACGAGACAAAGATCGCCCAGATCAACTTTAGAGCAGCCCCTACCATGAGGGAAAGGCTCTACAGTTGACCACCCAGCAGAAAACCCTACTCGTATTTCAAGATGGTGTTGGTCACCTGATAATGATTTGATGAGCAATTAACATTTGCTAATTAAGACCAGATATGAGACACGGGTAATGAGGACACTGTTCAGTCTCACAATAAAACATAATGTGCTCTTAATGGTAATTCGTTATTATATGTGCTACAAGACATAATACATCAGCATCATTTCTTAAATGTCCAAACATAATAACATGGTATCATTTCTTACAGATTGTTTTATGTTTTCCCCTGGTTTAGTCCATTCCTCATCTAAGATATACTTTTGTCAATTTAAGCTTTGGGTGAATGCTTCACGTTTAGTTGGGTTGTTCAGGGGTGGAAATAACCCATTGCTCGACGCCGGAGTCCAGTGTGTTTTTTCTGTTGGGCAAGCAAATTTGTATATCACACTGTACCGGTGTCCAGTTGACTTTCCAATATTAATTATGTTGTTTATTTAAAAAATCAACAAGAAAACGGCCGGTATAGTGGGAAAATTATCAGGGCAAGTGGTTTTACATGTGCCACTGTACCGGAGTACACTAGCAATTTTAAAGTTATTTCCATCCCTGTTGTTACATTACCGAGGTGATGAGGCAGGAGATTAGCTGTGCACTGGACCGTATAGTTTGTTGTTTTAGTCCACTCTCCCAGCACGTAGCATGGCAGAGGTTCAGTCGCATGGCATCACGTTTGTTGGATCACACACAACTCAGAAATGATTGTGTTATGGAGAAGTAGGAACTATAGGTGTTCTCCTGCTTGTGGACAGAAACAAGGCACAGTAGATAAGCTGGAATGTTCCTGTTTCTGATGATTGTAGAACTACTCCGCATTAGTGCATCTCCCCTGACTAGTGTAAAATGACTGGTTAATTCACCAACATATTTCAGTGTTGCCCAGTAACACAACACTTGGTATAAGTGACGTATCAAATACTGACAAAGGGCCAGTAAGTTAACTGAGGAAGAAGTCTGCCATAACCATGTATCTATTTATCCAATGTTGACTTTGACTCCGCAACCTTAAGTTTCAAAGTTCCATCAAAACCTGTACACCCAGTATTGCTGGGTGCAGCTGATGTACCACCACCTCCCTGTACACCCAGTATTGCTGGGTGCAGCTGATGTACCACCACGTCCCTGTACACCCAGTATTGCTGGGTGCAGCTGATGTACCACCACGTCCCTGTACACCCAGTATTGCTGGGTGCAGCTGATGTACCACCACGTCCCTGTACACCCAGTATTGCTGGGTGCAGCTGATGTACCACCAAGTCCCTGTACACCCAGTATTGCTGGGTGCAGCTGATGTACCACCACGTCCCTGCACACCCAGTATTCCTGGGTGCAGCTGATGTACCACCACATCCCTGTACACCCAGTATTGCTGGGTGCAGCTGATGTACCACCACCTCCCTGTACACCCAGTATTGCTGGGTGCAGCTGATGTACCATCACCTCCCTGTACACCCAGTATTGCTGGGTGCAGCTGATGTACCACCACGTCCCTGTACACCCAGTATTGCTGGGTGCAGCTGATGTACCACCATCGCCCTGTACACCCAGTATTGCTGGGTGCAGCTGATGTACCACCAAGTCCCTGTACACCCAGTATTGCTGGGTGCAGCTGATGTACCACCACGTCCCTGTACACCCAGTATTGCTGGGTGCAGCTGATGTACCACCACCTGGGTGGTGTAATGATCCCTGCAGCTGATGTACCACCACATCCCTGTACACCCAGTATTGCTGGGTGCAGCTGATGTACCACCACGTCCCTGTACACCCAGTATTGCTGGGTGCAGCTGATGTACCACCACCAGCCCCTGTACACCCAGTATTGCTGGGTGCAGCTGATGTACCACCACGTCCCACCCATCGTCCCTGTACACCCAGTATTGCTGGGTGCAGCTGATGTACCACCACAGCTCCCTGTACACCCAGTATTGCTGGGTGCAGCTGATGTACCACCACGTCCCTGTACACCCAGTATTGCTGGGTGCAGCTGATGTACCACCACCTCCCTGTACACCCAGTATTGCTGGGTGCAGCTGATGTACCACCATGTCCCTGTACACCCAGTATTGCTGGGTGCAGCTGATACCACCATCTCCCTGTACACCCAGTATTGCTGGGTGTACACTGGGTGCAGCTATTGCTGATGATACCACCACCGTCCCTGTACACCCAGTATTGCTGGGTGCAGCTGATGTACCACCACGTCCTGTACACCCAGTATTGCTGGGTGCAGCTGATGTACCACCACCCCTGTACACTCACCAGATAATCCTGTACCACCCAGTATTGCTGGGTGCAGCTGATGTACCACCCTCGCCACCTGTATCCTGTGTGTTCTTACCCCAGTATTGCTGGGTGCAGTATTTGTGTTCCTAAAACACACCAGATACTTATGATCATTACATCGAATCCCAGCAGTTGCGTTCCTAAAACACACCAGATACTTATGATCATTACATTGAATCCCAGCAGTTGTGTTTTCCTAAATCACACCAGATACTTATGATCATTACATTGAATCCCAGCAGTTGTGTTCCTAAAACACACCAGATACTTATGATCATTACATCGAATCCCAGCAGTTGTGTTCCTAAGACACACCAGATACTTATGATCATTACATCGAATCCCAGCAGTTGTGTTCCTAAGACACACCAGATACTTATGATCATTACATTGAATCCTAGTTTCTGTATGCTTGTCAGTCCTTACCATACCTACACTTTGAGTTTCAACAATGAGGTAAATGTCACCGAACTTTCCATTTAGTGAGTGAGTGAGTTTGGTTTTACGCCGCTTTTAGCAATATTCCAGCAACATCAATCCAGTGCAGTGGGGACACCAGAAATGGGCTTCACATATTGTACCCATGTGGGGATTCGAACCCGGGTCTTCGGCGTGACGAGCCAACACTTTAACCATTAAGCTACCCCACCGCCCCCTTTCCATTTAGCTGACACTGGAAAACTCTTGAAAGTTGAATAAAACCCTTGTGTCATATTCATCGACACTTGTGTGTGACACAGTTACGACGTCTTTAAACAATACTCTGGTCATATTCCTGTACTGTCAGTATAATGTGGGACACCTACAAGTAGAACTTACAAGTGGCACGATATTGTCAGCATTCTGTCTCTTAGGTTTCTATACCATATGTATATATGTATTTAATCGATCCCAGTTACAATGAAAGATTTTACTTATGTTAAATATTTGTCTAAAGTATTGTACAAGAAACATTTCAACATGTTTAATAACAAATAGTACAGTAGAGTTCAAACTTCTTAAATTAAACTGAGACAAATGCAGTAAGATCCTTATCAAGGAGCTCCATCATTTAAATCATGCACCCTACATCCATAACAGAACCTCCGTGTTTCACGGTAGGTATACACACGTGATCACTTCCCTGAATCTTTCAGTCACCATGGTCGAAGTCCTGACTTGTCCACAGAAACCGGGACAATCATACAGTCACGTTTCACTCTCCAGAACAACAATATTTTTGTCAACCAAGTGTATCTGTGCGAGATAGCCATAACATGTAGCGTGTAATTAATGTATTGCAGATTGTTTCACCGAGTCATTTATATACATTCGGACACAGTGAATGCATGTAAAAGTAGTTCATCACACCGACTAGTCGAACTGCTAGTTGTTGAGTGCTTGCTCGTTAGAAACAGATCCAAATGCCCAAATAGTTCATCTTAGAAACACACCAATATGGTTCAAATTGTGGGTTGTAGGAATTCTGACATGACATGTTTTTCATTGAAGAAAGAGGGTAACAGAACAGTTCATTGTAGAGAAACGAAGTGCTAGGGGATATCCAGCCTCTTGACGCGCACTTTCTGCTTGTAATGATAGTACTTGAGATACTCCTTGAGGGAGGACGGCAGTGGCAGCACATTTACATCATCGTACGAGATATTGTTGCATATCTGTGAACGACAGAGATGCTTCAGTGGGAAGCAAGAAGTGCGATTCAAGGGAAGCGTTAACATAGGCTCAAAAAACATGCAACATTCAGGGTCTTTGTAGTGTTCAATCAAACCAACTACACTGTCACAGGCAAACACGGCAGGATCATGGGCATCAAAACTGAACAAGTGGTTCCACTGTTCAATACGAGCATGAAGTGAACGGTTGTAGCGTCTAAAGCTGACTGAAAACAGGAAGTCTTCTTGTGCACTATCTCTCAGTAGGAAGGTTCCCTCTGGCTTATTCTCCAACAGTGCTTCAGCCTCATAGCGGTCCATCACTCCCCAGTAGAAGCTGCAGCAGCTGATCTTGATGAGGTCGGGGACAAGGCAGTGAATGTACTCCACCTGACTGTGGGCGGCTGGCTGCAACGGCTGCTGACAGAGTGGAGCTGGAGGCTGCAGGACTGCGGGAAGATGGTGGGCGAGTGCCTGCAGACACAGCACAGAACTGTCACCATACACTGACTCCTCGTAATCTGATGAGGACGGTGTCAGACTTGCAAATGGAGGGAACGATACAGAGCTAAGTGAATGATGGCGGGTTGAGACATTCATCCTCCCTCTGTGCTGATTGGGGCCTGAACGTGTAACAACACTGAACAAACTTGCTGGCCAGTGTTGGGGACTTATTTCAATTCCATGTTCGATTTCTTTTGCTCTCTCTTCTCGGCGAATCTCATCCATGTCTTGAGTGGGGTACAAAGCGTCAAAATTAACCCTAGCAATGTCAATTAGGGGTACAGCAGCATTCTGCCCTACTCTTAATCCAGACAACATGGCTCCCAGATGCCCGGAGGTACGCAGCGTACCTTGAGATGCCAAGTCTTCATGACCCAGGCATGGCATAGTCCCTCGTTTCCTGTGAGCTGAACACAGACAACTCATCTGATGTTGGCACACATCATTTCGAGCATGTTGCCCGACAAACCTGCTTCCAAGTTTTCCACGTAAACTCCAGAATCTTTTCTTGGATTTATTTGGTTGTAATTTCTCAGACCTTTTCCCTCTCAGACTTGTCCTTCTGCAGCCACTGGAGCTGCCATCTGTCTTTGTTCCTGCTGATGCAGAAGGTGGCAGCATGGTATCAGATGTCAGACATGATGACGAAGTAGAAGGACCAAGATCAAGCGAGTCTACAAGGCTAACAAGGGAGACCTCGCTCCCACAACAAAAGAATGGCCGGACTGTTGAGCGGTGAAGGCGATGTCTGACAGGGGCGACAGCCTCATCAATGTTCACGATTCCTCGGCACTGGTTGTCCTCCATGATGACGGAGTCCAGGTGCTGGATAGCATCAGGGTCAGTATCTGCAACCACACATACAAATCAATGAACATTTTCTTAAATACAGAATATGCACCTATTCCCAGACTAACTATAAAGTGAATGAAGAATGCACAGCACACAGACTGAAAGTTCAGAAATGAACTTCTCATTTCTCTTGTCCACAAACATGATCTGACAGAGTTTAGCTAATGGCATCAGTGACAGCCCAATGGAAATGTCACTAGTGCTGACTAGACTCAAAACAACAGACTAACTGTAATGTTAAGTCCAGAAAGGGAGTGTTGTTTACTATCATAATAGTAATATTCCAACTACATTACAATAACCAAGACATTTTATGGATTTAAGCTTCTTTATCCTTTAATCCATAAAATATCTTGGTCATCTATAACAACTTCTAAATGCCGCTAAAAGACATCATACATTACAATAGCTAGGAAATAATGGAGTCAGACACGTGCAAACCAGTAGTTCAGCCAGCTAAACATTGTGTTCCTACCAAGGTATACACTGGCTGACCTAGCAAACAGTAGTTGAAAAAGCATAAGAAACCTCGCTCACAATCAGAGCATGACAAGCTAAGAGCCTGGTCCATTTTAGTCAACTCCTACAAGATTAAGTTCTGGGGGTCTTATCCAACCCAGAATCACTAGAAGGGTGCAGAACACGGACCAAGGGCTGGCCACTCTACATCACAGAAACTGGGGAATTTCATCCTTGAGTCACACGTACAACCTTGGGAAAGACTTCTGCCCGTATCCCCCTTTAAATTTCATTCTAGTCAAATTATATCACCTGAATATATATTCCTCATCTGATAAGGATGAGTTTTAACATATTTCTTTAAATGTATCTGAACATACTGAAAGACATATCCAACTTCTAAAAAATGCCACTCAAAGAAACTTTTCCTCATGGTTAAAATTTAGGGGGGATACGGGCGGAAGTCTTGCCAGTACAAAAATCAGAACTTTTCATTCCTGAGATTTATGAAAAACAACATTTATTAAGATTTCCTCACTAAATATTACACTAGTTAGATTGGACAACCGATTACTAAGATTTTATCAGCACGGTAAGTATATGGTATACAATGACAAGCAGTTCCGGAGAATGGTCAATCCCAGATCTCAACTTTTCACATCCTGCCCCAATCCAAAACAGTGACACTCATTGACTCAATGAGTCAACATCACTTAATTTTAACTTGGTAAGTAAGTCTGATAGATTTGTGTTTCTTTTGATGTAATGATAAGATAGAGACAGTTTTCACCAGTTGGAAGAACAAATAACATTTGACCGACACACGTCAGACTAGACAATATCCTACCTGACTCCATTCTGTACAGTGTCTCGCCTGATGGTGTACGCTATGACTGACTGACAGCCTCACCCAGGAACTTCCGGCAACAGGAAATGTTACATTGGTGTATTTGTGCGACTCGTTTCGAGAATGGTTTGTTAATAGATATGTCCCTGAAACGACATTATATGTCTGCACACATGAGTAAGTTAAATATCTTCTGCCCCTGAAGTTAAATGTAAGAACAATTCCTCCATATCGTTTGACTGAAACTGTATAAACAATATTCGGCGCGATCCTCGGTAATATGACAATGATCGGTTACAAACTTTTTCTCCCGAAATTGCAGATGTTGAGCAGTCTTTAAAAAACCCACTAATAAATGCAATTAGCACTTACATGATCAACAAGACTGTCTGTCAATCTGTTTGTGGTTAAATAAACAAACCATGTGCATAATGATCGATAATGTGTGTGATTTTGAGTTTCTGAAATTCTTCCAGCTGGATTCTTTTGGAGAATTCTGATAAAATACACATGGAAAAGTACATTACATATAGTGATGTAGGTCTCTTGCGTTCCGTAGTAACAGTAAATTAATAGTTTTGAACATCATAGACAGTGTTCTTGCAGTTGTCATAACTGTTCTCGGAATCACGAACATGTTACAGAACGCAGCCGCGTAGGCGTAATAACACAATTAAAATTTGTAACAATCTTACGCAGGTTTTACTTAACGTTGTATAAGAAACAAACAAAATATTCAAAATTGGTAGTAATATGATTTTTTTAGATTCTAAAAGAAAAGAAAATAGTTTATTTATTTGCCGCGAGATTACTTTAACCGCGGGAAATTCAATATTATTGCGGGAAACTTTTGGCGTTGACGATAGTGTCAAGACGAGAACAACATTGAGTGTTTAATATAACTTTTCTTTCCGGAAATGAAACCTATGAGATATGCTCACAGCGATGGGCACACAGTCCTGTGTTTTGAAGATTCTGGAAGGTAGATTCCTCAGATTTTAACTAAACGCTAGATCCACTAAGATTGTTGTCACTTGTATGTCAGCTTCCTTACCTTTAATTAGAAGTCATAGCACATCTTGAGACGCCCCTGCACACCTGATACCCGCATATTAACTCGAGCAAGGGGAGTAATTTACCACATTAATTAAGTTTCAGATACCAACATGCAAGGATTCTTTGTCAATAACACTTTCTGTGTAATCGCTCGTGTGTTTTGAGTTTTCGTTTTCACCGCGTCATGGTTGAAGGAATGTCACTAACGGTATGATGAGACTTGATCGGACGTGTTGTTTTATTTCTAAATATCTGTAAACATATGAAAACAGGGCTAGAATGAACTTTACCCGGCGCAGCCCTCGCTGCTCCCTTTACGTTCCTTAGGGTTGGGGTATGCCACCCTTTACGATCCTTAGAGTTAGGCACCCTTTACGATCCTTAGTGTTAGGGGTTAGGGTTAGGGAACCCCAGCAACGCTAATTAATCTTAAAAAGTGCGCCCGGTAAAGTCCAGTACACCCGAAAACAGAATAAAATTGTTTTTGTACAATGCAAATTATAATAAAATCCGCCTAAAATGGCATCCAAGTCGGGAGGTAATGGCAAACAGAGCAAAACTCATTAGACTTGTGTGTCCACTACTTTAACATGTTGTGCCTAACTTTGCAGTATTAATTACTATCTTTAATAGGGAAGCTTCATCAATCCCAATCTGAGCCTGCTAGTGCAGGGGTGGAAATAACTTTAAAATTTCTAGTGTACCACGGTACAGTGGCACATGTAAAATCACTTGCCCTGATAATTTTTCCACTATACTGTCCGTTTTCTTGTTATTTTTTTAAATAAACAACATTATTAATATTGGAAAGTCAACTGGACACCGGTACAGTGTGATATACAAATTTGCTTGCCCGACAGAAAAAAGCACTGGACTCGGACGTCGGGCAATGGGTTATTTTCATCCCTGTAGTGCGGCTTAGTGTGTTAATATCAGATTTGAAATTGTCTCTCTATTGCGAACTATTGCCTATACTACCTGTAACCAATATTCCATCTATGTATACATCCACCTTCGGTTGGGATCCATGTAACCTGATTTTCCTGGAATGAAAAAAACAACAACAAAACTCATTAGCCAGTCTCAAACATCTAATGTTGTCTCTTTGTATCATTTGTTTCAACTGTAATCAATACACTTGAAACATATATTTTTCTTATGTGTGAACGTAAATATTCACATGACAGTCACTCAAACATTCAGTGACTTTGAAGCTGTCCATGGGTGTACTAAATGCAGATGTAGGGGTGATCCTGGAGATACTGATGTGTTTCAGATACATGGGTGTACTAAATGCAGATGTACGGGTGATCATGGAGGTACTGATGTGTTTCAGATACATGGGTGTACTAAATGCAGATGTAAGGGTGATCCTGGAGATACTGATGTGTTTCAGATACATGGGTGTACTAAATGCAGATGTACGGGTGATCATGGAGGTACTGATGTGTTTCAGATACATGGTGATCATGGAGATACTGATGTGTTTCAGATACATGGGTGTACTAAATGCAGATGTAATGGGTGATCATGGAGATACTAATGTGTTTCAGATACATGGGTGTACTAAATGCAGATGTACGGGTGATCATGGAGATACTGATGTGTTTCAGATACATGGGTGTACTAAATGCAGATGTACGGGTGATCATGGAGATACTGATGTGTTTCAGATACATGGGTGTACTAAATGCAGATGTACGGGTGATCCTGGAGATACTGATGTGTTTCAGATACATGGGTGTACTAAATGCAGATGTACGGGTGATCCTGGAGATACTGATGTGTTTCAGAAACATGGGTGTACTAAATGCAGATGTACGGGTGATCATGGAGATACTGATGTGTTTCAGATACATGCTGACTGGTGGTACAGATGGAGATGTCAGAGTGTGGCAGGGTATCGAGGATGATGATGCTGTCTCTCACAGAGTTGGAGAGAAAGTTTATGCTGTTGCCTTTAAGGTGAAATAAAATGCTTTCAAGAACTTTTCAAGAGACAACCTTTAATTTCTCAGTTTATGAAGAATTCCCCCAATTCAGACTTGGAAACACAGTATAGTATTTAGTTATCATTTTTGTTCTGTCTCATACTAGTCATAGGTATCTGCAATGTTTTTGTAAGGATATGCTGGCATTTCCAGCAGAAATATTCTTACCATAAGCCATCCCTCCATTATCCTGGCACACAGCGTGGAGGGACAGAAAGTTGTGTGTTTCATGCCTCCAACTGTGTTATTAGTGCAGTATCAAATATCTGCAAACAAATTATGAAAATAAAAGTGCATTACAATATAAGAGTTATAGAGATATGAACATTAAGCATTTCGGCCTGTTAACAGATTCATGTAGGCATATCATCGTTAAGGTTCTGTATATCAGAGTCTAGCCCAATATAACACACCACAGCAGTGATGTCAGATGGAATGAAGATTAAATGATTGTATTACATTGTGTTTGCAGAATAATCGTTTCTACACTGCATCTGAGTCCAACTCCATACAGACTCATACCTTCCCTGATGGTTCCCCTGATGGCATCGTGACCCGCTTCACCGGTGCCGTGTCACACATGTGCTTCAACAAGTCTGGCAGCGTAATGGTGGCTGCATCAAGGTATGTAGCATGTGACATGTAACTCCATCAGTGTCACAACATCAGGTGTGAAATAAATTTCAGTTGACATTTGTTGAATTCATATAAATGCAGATTGTCTGTTTCAGTGACTTCACTGTGAAGCATGTTGAGGTTGAGAGCAGTAACCAGAAGGTGTTCCATGGTCACCAGGCTCCAGTGCTCAGCGTGGCTCTCCACCCCCAAGAGGAACTATTGGTAGGTGTCCAACATGTATCTCAGCGTGGCTCTCCACCCCCAGGAGGAACTATTGGTAGGTGTTCAACATGTATCTCAGCGTGGCTCTCCACCCCCAGGAGGAACTATTGGTAGGTGTCCAACATGTAACTTAGTGTGGCTCTCCACCCTCAGGAGGAACTATTGGTACGTGTCCAACATGTATCTTAGTGTGGCACTCCACCCTCAGGAGGAACTATTGGTACGTGTCCAACATGTATCTTAGTGTGGCTCTCCACCCTCAGGAGGAACTATTGGTAGGTGTCCAACATGTATCTTAGTGTGGCTCTCCACCCTCAGGAGGAACTATTGGTAGGTGTCCAACATGTATCTTAGTGTGGCTCTCCACCCCCAGGAGGAACTATTGGTAGGTGTCCAACATGTATCTTAGTGTGGCTCTCCACCCCTCAGGAGGAACTATTGGTAGGTGTCCAACATGTATCTCCAGTGTGGGCTCTCCACCCCAGGAGGAACTATTGGTAGGTGTCCAACATGTATCTTAGTGTGGCTCTCCACCCCTCAGGAGGAACTATTGGTAGGTGTCCAACATGTATCTTAGTGTGGCTCTCCACCCCAGGAGGAACTATTGGTAGGTGTCCAACATGTATCTTAGTGTGGCTCTCCACCCCCAGGAGGAGGAACTATTGGTAGGTGTCCAACATGTATCTTAGTGTGGCTCTCCACCCCAGGAGGAACTATTGGTAGGTGTCCAACATGTATCTTAGTGTGGCTCTCCACCCCCAGGAGGAACTATTGGTAGGTGTCCAACATGTATCTTAGTGTGGCTCTCCACCCTCAGGAGGAACTATTGGTAGGTGTCCAACATGTATCTTAGTGTGGCTCTCCACCCTCAGGAGGAACTATTGGTAGGTGTCCAACATGTATCTTAGTGTGGCTCTCCACCCCCAGGAGGAACTATTGGTAGGTGTCCAACATGTATCTTAGTGTGGCTCTCCACCCCAGGAGGAACTATTGGTAGGTGTCCAACATGTATCTTAGTGTGGCTCTCCACCCTCAGGAGGAACTATTGGTAGGTGTCCAACATGTATCTTAGTGTGGCTCTCCACCCCCAGGAGGAACTATTGGTAGGTGTCCAACATGTATCTTAGTGTGGCTCTCCACCCTCAGGAGGAACTATTGGTAGGTGTCCAACATGTATCTTAGTGTGGCTCTCCACCCTCAGGAGGAACTATTGGTAGGTGTCCAACATGTAACTTAGTGTGGCTCTCCACCCTCAGGAGGAACTATTGGTAGGTGTCCAACATGTATCTTAGTGTGGCTCTCCACCCTCAGGAGGAACTATTGGTAGGTGTCCAACATGTATCTTAGTGTGGCTCTCCACCCCAGGAGGAGGAACTATTGGTAGGTGTCCAACATGTATCTTAGTGTGGCTCTCCACCCTCAGGAGGAACTATTGGTAGGTGTCCAACATGTATCTTAGTGTGGCTCTCTTAGTGTGCACCCTCAGGAGGAACTATTGGTAGGTGTCCAACATGTATCTTAGTGTGGCTCTCTCACCCTCAAGGAGGAACTATTGGTAGGTGTCCAACATGTATCTTAGTGTGGCTCTCCACCCCAGGAGGAGGTAGGTGTCTATTGGTAGGTGTCCAACATGTATCTTAGTGTGGCTCTCCACCCTCAGGAGGAACTATTGGTAGGTGTCCAACATGTATCTTAGTGTGGCTCTCCACCCTCAGGAGGAACTATTGGTAGGTGTCCAACATGTATCTTAGTGTGGCTCTCCACCCTCAGGAGGAACTATTGGTAGGTGTCCAACATGTATCTTAGTGTGGCTCTCCACCCTCAGGAGGAACTATTGGTAGGTGTCCAACATGTATCTTAGTGTGGCTCTCCACCCTCAGGAGGAACTATTGGTAGGTGTCCAACATGTATCTTAGTGTGGCTCTCCACCCTCAGGAGGAACTATTGGTAGGTGTCCAACATGTATCTTAGTGTGGCTCTCCACCCCAGGAGGAACTATTGGTAGGTGTCCAACATGTATCTTAGTGTGGCTCTCCACCCAGGAGGAACTCAGGAGGAACTATTGGTAGGGTGTCCAACATGTATCTTAGTGTGGCTCTCCACCCTCAGGAGGAACTATTGGTAGGTGTCCAACATGTATCTTAGTGTGGCTCTCCACCCTCAGGAGGAACTATTGGTAGGTGTCCAACATGTATCTTAGTGTGGCTCTCCACCCCTCAGGAGGAACTATTGGTAGGTGTCCAACATGTATCTTAGTGTGGCTCTCCACCCTCAGGAGGAACTATTGGTAGGTGTCCAACATGTATCTTAGTGTGGCTCTCCCACCCCTCAGGAGGAACTATTGGTAGGTGTCCAACATGTATCTTAGTGTGGCTCTCCACCCCCCAGGAGGAACTATTGGTAGGTGTCCAACATGTATCTTAGTGTGGCTCTCCACCCCCACCCTCAGGAGGAACTATTGGTAGGTGTCCAACATGTGTCTTAGTGTGGCTCTCCACCCCAGGAGGAACTAGGAGGAACTATTGGTAGGTGTCCAACATGTATCTTAGTGTGGCTCTCCACCCTCAGGAGGAACTATTGGTAGGTGTCCAACATGTATCTTAGTGTGGCTCTCCACCCCCTGAGGAGGAACCATCAGGAGGAACTATTGGTAGGTGTCCAACATGTATCTTAGTGTGGCTCTCCACCCTCAGGAGGAACTATTGGTAGGTGTCCAACATGTATCTTAGTGTGGCTCTCCACCCTCAGGAGGAACTATTGGTAGGTGTCCAACATGTATCTTAGTGTGGCTCTCCACCCTCAGGAGGAACTATTGGTAGGTGTCCAACATGTATCTTAGTGTGGCTCTCCACCCTCAGGAGGAACTATTGGTAGGTGTCCAACATGTATCTTAGTGTGGCTCTCCACCCTCAGGAGGAACTATTGGTAGGTGTCCAACATGTATCTTAGTGTGGCTCTCCACCCTCAGGAGGAACTATTGGTAGGTGTCCAACATGTATCTTAGTGTGGCTCTCCACCCTCAAGAGGAACTATAGGTAGGTGTCCAACATGTATCTCACATGGCTCTCTACCCCCAGCAGGAACTATTAGTAGGTGTCCAACATGTATCTTAGTGTGGCTCTCCACCCTCAAGAGGAACTATTGGTAGGTGTCCAACATGTATCTTAGTGTGACTCTCCACCCTCAAGAGGAACTATTGGTACGTGCCCAACATGTATCTTAGCGTGGCTCTCCACCCTCAAGAGGAACTATTGGTACGTGCCCAACATGTATCTTAGTGTGGCTCTCTACCCTCAAGAGGAACTATTGGTACGTGTCCAACATGCTGACATTTTGTGATGTAACTGTAATATTGCTCAATATTCACCCCAACTCACTCATACAATGGAGGAGACCCTGGGATTTCCTGATGAGTTGTATCCGACTGTGAATGTCCCGACTGTGAAAGTCCCGTCTGTGAATGTCCCGTCCATTCCAGGCTTCCTCCAGCTGTGATGGCAGTGTCAAAGTGTGGACGGTGGCCGACCAATCCTGTGTCAAGTCTTTGGAGGAAAGCATACCAAAGTGTTCAGACATAAGGTGAGATCACGTGGAAGTGTCCCGACAGGTGCATTCACACCCACAGTCCAGACAGGCGCATTCACACCCACAGTCCAGACAGGCGCATTCACACCCACAGTCCTGACAGGTGCATTCACACCCACAGTCCAGACAGGCGCATTCACACCCACAGTCCAGACAGGCGTATTCACACCCACAGTCCAGACAGGCACATTCACACCCACAGTCCTGACAGGTGCATTCACACCCACAGTCAAGACAGGCGCATTCACACCCACAGTCCAGACTGGCACATTCACACCCACAGTCCCGACAGGCACATTCACACCCACAGTCCTGACAGGCACATTCACACCCACAGTCCTGACAGGTGCATTCACACCCACAGTCCCGACAGGTGCATTCACACCCACAGTCCCGACAGGCACATTCACACCCACAGTCCCGACAGGCACATTCACACCCACAGTCCAGACTGGCACATTCACACCCACAGTCCCGACAGGCACATTCACACCCACAGTCCAGACAGGCACATTCACACCCACAGTCCTGACAGGTGCATTCACACCCACAGTCCAGACAGGTGCATTCACACCCACAGTCCAGACTGGCACATTCACACACCACAGTTCAGACAGAGCCACACCCACAGTCAAGACAGGTGCATTCACACCCACAGTCCAGACAGGCGCATTCACACCCACAGTCAAGACAGGCGCATTCACACCCACAGTCAAGACAGGTGCATTCACACCCACAGTCCAGACAGGTGCATTCACACCCACAGTCCAGACTGGTGCATTCACACCCACAGTCCAGACAGGTGCATTCACACCCACAGTCCTGACAGGTGCATTCACACCCACAGTCAAGACAGGTGCATTCACACCCACAGTCCAGACAGGTGCATTCACACCCACAGTCCTGACAGGTGCATTCACACCCACAGTCAAGACAGGTGCATTCACACCCACAGTCAAGACAGGTGCATTCACACCCACAGTCCAGACAGGCGCATTCACACCCACAGTCAAGACAGGCGCATTCACACCACAGTCAAGACAGGCGATTCATTCACACCCCACAGTCCAGACAGGCGCATTCACACCCACAGTCCCGACAGGCGCATTCCACACCCACAGTCCAGACAGGCATTCACACCCACAGTCCAGACTGGCGCATTCACACCAACAGTCAAGACAGGCATTCACACCCACAGTCCAGACAGGCATTCACACCCACAGTCAAGACAGGTGCATTCACACCCACAGTCCTGACAGGTGCATTCACACCCACAGTCAAGACAGGCGCATTCACACCCACAGTCCAGACTGGCAGCATTCACACCCACAGTCAAGACAGGTGCATTCACACCCACAGTCAAGACAGGTGCATTCACACCCACAGTCAAGACAGGTGCATTCACACCCACAGTCAAGACAGGCACATTCACACCCACAGTCCTGACAGGTGCATTCACACCCACAGTCAAGACAGGCATTCACACCCACAGTCAAGACAGGCATTCACACCCACAGTCCAGACAGGTGCATTCACACCCACAGTCAAGACAGGGCATTCACACCCACAGTCCAGACTGGCACATTCACACCCACAGTCCAGACTGGCTCATTCACACCCACAGTCCAGACAGGCATTCACACCCACAGTCAAGACAGGCATTCACACCCACAGTCCAGACAGGTGCATTCACACCCACAGTCTACAGACAGGTGCATTCACACCCAGTCCAGAGGGTACATTCACACCCACAGTCCAGACAGGCATTCACACCCACAGTCCAGACAGGCACATTCACACCCACAGTCCAGACAGGTGCATTCACACCCACAGTCCAGACAGGCGCATTCACACCCACAGTCCAGACAGTACATTCACACCCACAGTCCAGACAGGCATTCACACCCACAGTCCAGACAGGCGCATTCACACCCACAGTCCTGACAGGTGCATTCACACCCACAGTCCCACAGGTGGTGCATTCACACCCACAGTCCAGACAGGCGCATTCACACCCACAGTCCAGACAGGCGCATTCACACCCACAGTCCAGACAGATGCATTCGCACCCACACTACACACAGGTGCATTCACACCCAAAGTCCAGAGAGGTGCATTCACACCCACAGTCCAGAGAGGTGCATTCACATCCACAGTCCAGACAGGTGCATTCACACCCACAGTCCTGACAAGCCCGTCACACCCACACTCCAGACAGGGGATGATGCTACCTATGATTCTTACGGGCTGAATACATTTGGATACGTTGAAATATACAATCAGTGGGCGGACTCAAAGGCTACAACTTGACTGACTTTATCTGCTTCTCCTTCAGTCTCTCCAAGACGCTGTGTCGCTTGACGTGGTCGCCAGACGGCAAGGTGAGTGAGTGTGTGCACACCATATGTGGTGCAGGCCATGTATTCTGTATAGGTGATTGTATAGCCAGTGTTTGAATAAATACTGACATTTTCACAAGAATTTCTTTGAGTTTTGTGATAATTATTCAAACAAAACACAATTCATTTTCTCCAAATCATTTACCATATTTCTAAACTCCCCAGAACCTGCTGGTGCCAAGAGAAAAGGAAATAGCTGTCTATGAACACAACTCATGGCAGAAAAGTGTCATCACTCACGAGTCCTTCACTGGGGTATGTACACTATTCTCCTCTTATCCTTCAGGCGGTGTCCATCCAAACCTTCTCCTCTTGTCCTTCAAGCAGTGTCCATCCAAACCTTCTCCTTTTGTCCTTCAAGCAGTGTCCATCCAAGCCTTCTCCTCTTGTCCTTCAGACAGTGTCCATCCAAACCTTCTCCTCTTGTCCTTCAAGCAGTGTCCATCCTAACATTCTCCTCTTGTCCTTCAAGCAGTCTCCATGAAAACCTTCACTTGTCCTTCAAGCAGTGTCCATCCAAACCTTCTCCTCTTGTCCTTCAGGCAGTGTCCATCCAAACCTTCTCCTCTTGTCCTTCAGGCAGTGTCCATCCTAATATTCTCCTCTTCTTCTTCAGGCGATGTCCATCCAAACCTTCTCTTGTCCTTCAAGCAGTGTCCATTAACATTCTCCTCTTGTCCTTCAGGCAGTGTCCATCCTAACATTCTCCTCTTGTCCTTCAGGAGGTGTCCATCCAAACCTTCTCCTCTTGTCCTTCAGACAGTGTCCATCCAAACCTTCTCCTCTTGTCCTTCAGGCAGTGTCCATCCTAACATTCTCCTCTTGTCCTTCAGGCAGTGTCCATCCACACCTTCTCCTCTTGTCCTTCAGGCAGTGTCCATCCAAACCTTCTCTTGTCCTTCAGGCAGTGTCCATTAACATTGTCCTTCAGGCAGTGTCCATCAAACAGTGTCCTTCCAAGTGTCCTTCATTCTCCTCTTGTCCTTCAGGCAGTGTCCATCCAAACCTTCTCCTCTTGTCCTTCAGGCAGTGTCCATCCAAACCTTCTCCTCTTGTCCTTCAGGCAGTGTCCATCCAAGCCTTCTCCTCTTGTCCTTCAGGCAGTGTCCATCCAAGCCTTCTCCTCTTGTCCTTCAAGCAGTGTCCATCCAAACCTTCTCCTCTTGTCCTTCAGGCAGTGTCCATCCAAGCCTTCTCCTCTTGTCCTTCAGGCAGTGTCCATCCAAACCTTCTCCTCTTGTCCTTCAGGCAGTGTCCATCCAAACCTTCTCCTCTTGTCCTTCAGGCAGTGTCCATCCAAACCTTCTCCTCTTGTCCTTCAGGCGGTGTCCATCCTAACCTTCTCCTCTTGTCCTTCAAGCAGTGTCCATCCAAACATTCTCCTCTTGTCCTTCAGGCAGTGTCCAACCAAACCTTCTCCTCTTGTCCTTCAGGCAGTGTCCATCTAAACCTTCTCCTCTTGTCCTTCAGGCAGTGTCCATTAACATTCTCCTCTTGTCCTTCAGGCAGTGTCCATCCAAACCTTCTCCTCTTGTCCTTCAGGCGGTGTCCATCCTAACCTTCTCTCCTGATAAGAAGCTGCTTGCTGCAACATGCTGTGATGGCACTATTGTTGTCTTTGACTGGAACACACGCAAGTGTGTAGACAAGTGAGTTTATGGCAGTTATTTAGATGGTGCTATATATTATCTCCAGGAATATTCTTCATTGAAACAGGGCCATTCATGTCAGGGCCAACTGTATTAACCCAAGTGTGTTAACTGTATTGACCCAAGTATGTTAACTGTGTTGACCCAAGTATGTTAACTGTATTGACCCAAGTATCTTAACTGTATTGACCCAAGTATGTTAACTGTATTGACCCAAGTGTGTCAACTGTGTTGACCCAAGTATGTGAACTGTTTGACTGACCCAAACTGTGTTAACCTGTATTGACCTGTAGTTGATGTTAACTGTATTGACCCAAGTATGTTAACTGTGTTGACCCAAGTATGTTAACTGTATTGACCCAAGTATGTTAACTGTATTGACCCAAGTATGGTAACTGTATTGACCCAAGTGTGTCAACTGTGTTGACCCAAGTATGTTAAGTGTATTGACCCGAGTATGTTAACTGTATTGACCCAAGTATCTTAACTGTATTGACCCAAGTGTGTCAACTGTGTTGACCCAAGTAAGTTAACTGTCTTGACCCAAGTATGTCAACTGTATTGACCCAAGTATGTCAACTGTGTTGACCCAAGTATGTTAAGTATGTCAACTGTGTTGACCCAAGTATGTCAACTGTGTTGACCCAAGTATATCAACTGTATTGACCCAAGTATGTCAACTGTGTTGACCCAAGTATGTTAAGTGTGTTGACCCAAGTATGTCAACTGTATTGACCCAAGTATGTCAACTGTGTTGACCCAAGTATGTTAAGTATGTTAAGTGTGTTGACCCAAGTATGTGTCAACTTAACTGTGTTGATAAAGTATGTTAAGTGTGTTGACCCAAGTATGTTAAGTGTGTTGACCCAAGTATGTTAAGTGTGTTGACCCAAGTATGTTAAGTGTGTTGATTCAAGTATGTTAACTGTATTGATCCAAGTATGTTAAGTGTGTTGACCCAAGTATGTTAAGTGTGTTGACCCAAGTATGTTAAGTGTGTTGACCCAAGTATGTTAAGTGTGTTGATCCAAGTATGTTAACTGTATTGATCCAAGTATGTTAAGTGTGTTGATCCAAGTATGTTAAAGTGTGTTGAGTGTGTTGAGTATGTTAAGTGTGTTGACCAAAGTATGTTAAGTGTGTTGACCCAAGTATGTTAAGTGTGTTGACCCAAGTATGTTAAGTGTGTTGACCCAAGTATGTTAACTGTATTGATCCAAGTATGTTAAGTGTGTTGACCCAAGTATGTTAAGTGTGTTGACCCAAGTATGTTAACTGTATTGACCCAAGTATGTTAAGTGTGTTGACCCAAGTATGTTAAGTGTATTGACCCAAGTATGTTAACTGTATTGATCCAAGTATGTTAAGTGTGTTGACCCAAGTATGTTAAGTGTGTTGACCCAAGTATGTTAACTGTATTGACCCAAGTATGTTAAGTGTGTTGACCCAAGTATGTTAAGTGTGTTGACCCAAGTATGTTAAGTGTGTTGACCCAAGTATGTTAAGTGTATTGACCCAAGTATGTTAACTGTATTGACCCAAGTATGTTAAGTGTGTTGACCCAAGTATGTTAAGTGTGTTGACCCAAGTATGTTAAGTGTGTTGACCCAAGTATGTTAAGTGTGTTGACCCAAGTATGTTAAGTGTATTGACCCAAGTATGTTAACTGTATTGACCCAAGTATGTTAACTGTGTTGACCCAAGTATGTTAAGTGTGTTGATCCAAGTATGTTAAGTGTGTTGACCCAAGTATGTTAACTGTATTGACCCAAGTATGTTAACTGTATTGATCCAAGTATGTTAAGTGTGTTGACCCAAGTATGTTAAGTGTGTTGACCCAAGTATGTTAAGTGTGTTGATCCAAGTATGTTAACTGTATTGATCCAAGTATGTTAAGTGTGTTGACCCAAGTATGTTAACTGTATTGATCAAAGTATGTTAAGTGTGTTGACCCAAGTATGTTAAGTGTGTTGACCCAAGTATGTTAAGTGTGTTGACCCAAGTATGTTAACTGTATTGACCCAAGTGTGTTAACTGTATTGACCCAAGTATGTTAACTGTATTGATCCAAGTATCTTAACTGTATTGACCCAAGTATGTCATCTGTGTTGACCCAAGTGTGTCAACTGTGTTGACCCAAGTATGTTAACTGTGTTGACATGTTAACTGTTGACCCAAGTTAGCCCAATGTTAAGTTAACTGTTGACCCAATGTTAAGTGTGTTGGCCCAAATATGTTAACTGTTAATATAAGGGACAACTGTGTTGACCACATTATTTTCTATTGTGTAGGGCTGACTGTTATTTTGTATTACCTTACTATACTGACAGCGTTAACAGTGAGCTGTGTAGATTGTGTTGACCAAGTCATGCTCTTACGAGAAGCTGTTGTTAATTAATGTTTCAGTAGAGTGCGTGATTGTCAGATTCAGCACATTCATCTGTCTAGCCAGTTCTTTGCCCATGTTCTTCCAGACAGCGACATGACAAGGGTCTAAACATCAGTGCTTTAGCATGGAACCCAAGCAATTCTTCCCAGCTCGCGCTCTGTGACACTGAGGTAGGTACCTCTGACAATACATCTGTTTGAGATGTCTCAGTTATCTATACAGCATATTTCCATGGCAGTTGACCAAGACTCAGATATAACTGATTGAGCTCAATGAATGTGCCGTCTGATGTCATTCATGAGATTATAAGAACTGGTCTGCAGTTGGAAATAGTAAAAGATCCTGTTTAACCTTTCTTGTTCTATCTGTTTATTCTAAATAACATTATTTTTTTCTTATCCTGACTCATGCTACTTGCTTGTCTTCTTCTTCTTGCGAACACAGTGGAACACTTGTATCTCCCAATTGAAGTTCCCTTCAATGTAAAATCACTAATTAGTACTCACCACGAGTTATCTGTTCCCTCAAAAGCGCGGGAACGAGGGCGCCACCTCCTGCCATGTGCCTCACTCTCTCCTTCTTCGCCCAGTGAGCAGGACGTGAGAGCGCCTGTGTCTCCCTACACATTATATCCTTTATTTATATTTAGTTGTTTACCTCTTATAATCATCTACAGAGGTGTAACTAGTATCCTTATACATGATGCATTGATATTTATTCGTGTTTCTACTGTTTTATTCACGGTTCGCCGTGTTTGCTCAGTAGATTGCGTTAATGAAAATCTGCACTGTTTGTAAATTACGCTTTCTCTGCTGCTGATCCGCATTTAATATGCCCTAGTTGTATTACGCCGTGCTCTACTGTTTCACGTTGCAATCATTGTATTAAATTATCTAATTCTGCCTTTGATAAATATTTATTTTGCGTCTTGAGACGCGCAGCAGATAGATTACGGAAACAGTCTTCAGTTATGGCTAATAGATCAGAGTCTGATATACCATGTCAACTGTTGGCGGATTACCCCCTACCGTCTGGTGTTCTGCTTGAGTTGTCCTCGGGGGAGAAGCGTGGGACGCAGTCCGCTATCTCCAAGAAGCGACCTGCATCCCAGGACATCCCGTCGTCCCAGTCTAAGACCAGGAGAGCTTCTACGTCGTCACAACGTACACTCCGCACCCCCAGGGCTACATCTTCGTCGAAAGTGAAACCTACGAAGACTACTAACAATTTTTCATCTGACATTCTTCCTGTTTCAGAATTGGGCTTATATGATGACGATCTACCGATCATCATTCCAGATATACGGCATAAGAAGCGACCTGTATCGGCTACCGTCACCTCAGCGCAGATCAACACGCAGCTAGAGATGCCTACACTGATGGCAGAGAATCCACCTGAGGGTCCCGTCGCTACCATACAGAGGGCATCGTCTACATCAGCGCAGACGACCTGGTCACCCAAATTATGATGTTGATGGAAGATCGATACGGTTTACAGAGGCCTCAGAGCCGCGGGTCCCAGAGCCCAACCCACTCACAGTCTTGTAGGGCCCCAGAGCCCGTTTGTTTGACTTCGCGTAGGGCCCCAGAGCCCACAGACGCGCCTCCACGAAGGCAACCCAGCCCGTATCGAAGCCTTCGCGAAGGACGTCCCAGTCCGCCTCCATGAAGGACCCAGATCCTCACCATTCGCAAAAGGGTTCACGGAGGAGGAGTGCTTCACCGAGCTCAGACCCTGAAGAACACGGAGGTCGGTCGCGAAGCAAGCTCCTATCTAATGATTCGGACTCTGACTCAACACCTTCACGAAGGTTAAGTGGCTCCAAGTCATCTTCAGCTAGAAGATCTATAAGGGATTCACAGAGAGCTTCACAAAGCCTCCAGCGTTCGCCAAGGAAGTCTCCACAAAGGTCTCCCTATACAAGCCACTCGTCAGTCCGTTCACCACATTCTTCTCATCGATCCTCATATAGATCTAGGACTCCACCTCGGAGTCTATTATCGGTGATCCGACGTCAGAAGAGGAAGGGGGTATCATATTCTCGGATGCAGAAATTAGATACTGGATGGTGAATGGTTTGGAACTTTCCTCCCCGTCTAAGAACGAGAACTCAGCCCATACTTATTTGATGAAGGAAGATGATGCTGACACTATCTCCTTACCTCCTATTGACCCGACAGCAGCGGTTCCAGCTAATCTGGATGCAGCTTTTACCAAATCTACGAAGTCTCAGACAGCACATTTCCCGGTTTTCAACGCTAAGAAGTTTGCAGGCCACAATATGGACTCCTTTTTCAAGGCTCAAGATATTGATGAGAACTTTAAGTTAATCAATGAGAACAAGTCCAGGAATTACAGAATAGACGACCGCAAGCTAGCTCAGTTGGATACCATTTCTAGGAGAATGTTTTTTGGACTGAATAGATCTAGAACTGTCAATGAAACTCTTCTCACCAAGTTCAAAGACTCTACAGATGAAGAAGATAGAATGATCTACTCGGCTCTACTCATGCAGAAAAGAGACCAACAATTCCTAACAGATCATTTGTCAGCGCTTTCGGGAGCTACTACTATGGCTCGTCGTCAAGGTCTCCTAGCCTCCTGTAATTGGGGTAAACAATTTACCGAATCCCTCTACGCTGCCCCGTGGTCATCTCCATATCTCTTTGGTGGTAACATAGACAAGGTCTCCAAAGAAGTGTCTAAGGACTCTAGAGAGGTGCTTATGATTAAGTCCATGGATATGTTAGCTAATGTCATTAAGCAAACATCTATGAGATACTCTGGCAAGTCGAAATTCTCTGGACTACAGAAAGCACGGGACAAGCTATTGGCTGCAGCAAAAGGTTCTAAGGAGTCTTTTCGTCGCCCATACAGCAATTTCAGAGGAGGATCAGCAAGAGGCAGGTCATCCAGAGGTTCCCGCACTTATAAACGATGAAGTACAGGTTCGGAATGACTGGAGTCTTCCACCCCCAGCCGTTCCAGTACAACCGTCTCAAGTGGTTGGACGCCTTCATCTGCACTGGGAAAACTGGGGATTCCTACAAGATCCTTATGTATCCAACATCCTACAGCACGGATATCAAATACAACTCAAGGCCAAACCTCCGTTGACAGTCATCCCTCCAAGGTTCGACTTCCATCCATTACAACTACCAATGTTAAGAGAGGCAGTAGCTACACTATTAAACAAGCAGGCCTTAGAAGTTCTGGATCAAGTAAACATCGTACCAGGTTTCTACTCCCCAGTTTTCCTAGTGCCCAAGAAAAATTTCAGGGAAAAGTTTCGTCTCATATACAATATGAGCATCTTCAACAGAGACTATCTAAGCAAACCGCCAGCGTTTCGCCATGATACACCTACCGCAACTACGACACTTAATTCGTCCCAGAGACTACATGGCCAGCATAGATCTGCAAGACGCATATCTACACATTCCGATTCATCCCGATTCAAGGAAATATCTCCGATTTATCCTAGACGGAATACATTACCAATGGAAAGTGCTCCCTTTTGGAATCTTATCGGCCCCCTGGTTATTCACAAGAGTGACGAAACCTATCATCTCATACCTACATCGTCAAGGTCTTCGCAGATCGTTTTACCTAGACGACGGGATACAAGTGGATCCAGATCCACAGCGTCTCAGACTACAGCTGAACTTTATAATCAAGTTACTAACTCAACTAGGATGGTTAGTAAATCTACTCAAGTCAGACCTAGAGCCAACGCAAGATCTGCAATTTCTAGGTATACGATTTCTAACAGCCCAGAATCATATAGTAGTACCGGAGGACAGATGGATCAAGATCCAACAGTCAATCCCACAAGCCTTTACGTCCGTTGCAAGTCCTCATCAATTCGCATCTCAACGACTCTCTACCGTTCAGTCTACCGGATCAGGTCAAACCTCACCTACTATGGTGGACCAAGAGATCGAATGTTTGCGTAGGCGTCTCCTTAATAGAGCCGGAATCGAAAACACATCTCTACATAGACGCGTCACTACAAGGTTGGGGAGCCCATCTCGCCAACAGGACAGCGTCAGGCCTATGGAGCAATCAAGAGAGCAAATTACACAGAAATCTGCTAGAGATGCAAGCAGTGATAAACACCATAAGTCACTGGAGCAACTTTCTACAGAATGCTCAGTTGATGATTCACACAGACAATTCGACAGTGGCGTTTTATGTGAACAAACAAGGCTCAACAAGGTCCCCGAACCTATTGACTCTATGTTTTCAATTGTTCGATTTACTCGACAATCTCAACATACATGTCAGAGCATGTCACATTCCAGGAGCAAAGAATGTAATAGCAGACGCTCTCTCTCGTCCACTCCAACCATCACCGACGGAATGGATGCTCCATACAGAGATATTCAATCAAATTATCAAGGAAATAGGAACTCCACTAATAGACCTATTTGCCACTCGATTCAACAAACAACTGACAACTTTCGTATCGCTAGTTCCAGACCCACTAGCATGGGCAACGGACGACTAAGCATATCGTGGGAAGGACTCAACGCGCACGCTGCTCCATCACCAGCGTTAATCCCACAAGTGTTACTCAAAATCAAACAAACTCAGAGCCTCCATCTGATTTTGGTCGCCCCCTACTGGCCAGCAAGAACGTGGTTTCCAACTCTTATTCAAGAAATCGGACAACCAAAACTACAACTTCAAAAGTGCGCGAATCTGTTAATACATCCGCACACCAAACAAGCACACGGAAAGCCAGAAACATTCCAACTTCACGTATGGACTGTATCAAGGCGTGTCTAAATAAGAGAGGTTATTCAGCCAGAGCGGCAAAAGCAGTCACGCTTGCCTTGCGTAACTCCACTCGCAACTTATACGATGACAAATGGCACAGTTTTGTCAATTATGCTGCAAAGAAAGGATTTACAGCCAGATATTCTACTCATCCTCAAGTGGCTGACTACTTATGTTATCTACGTCAGACCAGAAATCTAAAAGGCTCAACCTTATCCACTTATCTTGCAGCAATAAGCTCTGTCATAACTATGAGAACGGGTGTCAAGTTAACCAAGACCCCAGAGTTACTCGCCTTACTACGAGGGTTCTGATTGGAGGATCAAAAACGCAGATTTCACGCTCCGGCTTGGGATCTAAATATAGTGCTCCAACACCTCACAAGTGAGGCATATGAGCCGTTACAATCTACATCCTTCGAATTTCTGACACAGAAAACATTGTTCCTGTTATCTCTAGCTACGGCTGCCAGGATGTCAGAGATTCACGCATTGGATTATGAGAGAATACGCTTTGATGATATTCATAACATCGTGCATATGGGACTACGTTGGGATTTTTTTGCCAAGAACCAATTACCAGGCCAACCAGACAGGTTATTCCACGTCCCAGCTCTCTCATCTATACTTGGACCTCATGATACGATGGATCTATCACTATGCCCAGTAAGAGCACTGAAAATATATTTCCAACGATCCAAACAGAGGAGACAAAAATTCAAGAGATTATTTATTCCTCTATCAACAGCTACGCAGACTGAAGTCTCACGTATTACTACCATCTCCATTTGGATCAGAACTGTCATACTACGTGCCTACAAGGCTGCAGGACTCGACCCTCCAAGAGCATCTAATCCTCATGAAATTAGAGCGTTAGCATCGACACTGGCTCTGCACGGCAACTGCTCTTTGAATACCATAATGGAGGGTTGTTTCTGGAGATCCGATATGGTGTTTGCCAACCATTATCTGAGAGATATCACCACAGAGGACGTCTCAGGTATTCACCATTTCGGTCCCATGGTCCTCGCACAACAGTTGACAGTTCCTCGGAGAAGATAAGTCAATCTTATAGATTTTACTACTTATCTTATAACAGTACTAAATAGCTATATGCTATATATATTTTGCTAAAGTTCATTTATTATCTTAAGCACAGTACTATTATGGTTATATCATAACAGTATATTAGCTAACAAACCCTATGAAGTTTTTGCTATTATATATTTAGCTTAAGTTAATCATATCTTAAGCTCAGTACTATGGATATAACATAAAAGTATATTAGCTAACAAACTCTATGAAGTTTATGCATATTGTCAAGCTTAAGTCTATTAGTCTTAAGCATAGTATGCATGTTGTATATACTTTTATCTTAATATTATATTGTAATAACCCATATAGGGCAGCTGATAAGTTAGCAGCAGGAATTCATCAATCAGTACCTTTATGAAGTTCCCATAAGGGTTATTACAGTCATTACAGAAATCACTAATTATCTAAAATCCAAAGTATTCTGTATTCCCACCTCCGCTTCCGTCGGATTCTACAAGCAAGTAGCATGAGTCAGGATAAGGAAAAATATGTAATTTTCTGATTAAAATTGATATTTTATACTTATCCTGACTCATGAGGTAAGCCCTCCCGTCCTCCCCACATAACACTTTGGATTTCCCTGAAAATTCAAGTGTTGGGCTCGCTATATAAGGAGAGAGTGAGGCACATGGCAGGAGGTGGCGCCCTCGTTCCCGCGCTTTTGAGGGAACAGATAACTCGTGGTGAGTACTAATTAGTGATTTTACATTGAAGGGAACTTCAATTGGGAGATACAAGTGTTCCACTGTGTTCGCAAGAAGAAGAAGACAAGCAAGTAGCATGAGTCAGGATAAGTATAAAATATCAATTTTAATCAGAAAATTACATATTTTGAAAAAAACATCAACTATGCCTATCCATGGATTCCTGCCATTGAAATTGGCAAGTACATCTGCACTGATATTCTCAACAATAAGGCATAAGCATATGTACAATGGCATATCTGTGTAAGTTTACTGAAATCTGTAGAGTGTATCAGTATCAGCTGGTGTGTATGGCCAGTGCTGACTGTTGGTGTGGCATGAAGTAGCACTCTCTCACATACTGATGTTTTCTGTTACACAGGGACAGCTTGGGGTGCTTGACCTGACAACAACCCGAGATGAGGTGAGCCTTCGTCAGGGGATGCAGTCAACATGATTAGTCATCATGATAGAATAGAGTAATGTAGACTTTAATTCTGAGTGTCATGTGAGTCAAATCAGATCCAGAGTATTTTTCAGACACATTCGAGCCAGTCTGCAAGCCAAAATCTACTAAATTGTGCTGAAGACAATAGAACGTAAAATAACATTTTAGGGCTACAGTTCTGAAACAGTTCTCTGAGACTGTAGATGTCATACACTGACTGTAGCCTGTCTCGCCTTCCACAGCCTGCTGGGAATGACCAGATGAATGCGGAGCAGTTTGCTGGAGTTTTTGATGACGATGATGATCTGCTCCTGGAAGCCAGCAATGCAGGCCCTGGGGACGATGATGATGACAGAGAAGCAACAGATGCTGCACAAGGAGATGTACCTAGCACAAAGAAGAGCAAGCCACTGCTAGATGATGATGATGATGATGACGATGATGGAGGTACGGATAGTCCTGACTCGTGAACTCACCTCCTCCCTTTGTTGCCCATCTGTCAGCACCAGTTGTATTCCTGTCACTGTTACATGTAATAACCCAGCTGCACCTGCTCCAATACCACAACGTGTCATGGGTGGGTTGTAGGTAGTCCCTGTGGCCACTCATCATGTCTAGAATCTGCTAACTTACTAACAACAAGCCTTGCAATTGGTATTTGATAGTTGAGTGAGCCAGCTATTGAACCTCTGCTTATGTTTAGATTTTCTGAAAGACATCAAGCTCTTACCCAAGGAGGATGATGCAAGCAGCATTGCGGACAGCTTACCTCCACCTGCCTCCATAATACCGGCCAATACCTTCAAGCCAACCCCCTTGCAGAGGCCTTTCCAGCCTGGATCCACACCATCACACCTGTCAAACAGATACATGGTAGGTTGGCACACCTGTCAAACATGTACATTGAAGGTAGTTTTTCTCCTAGGCAACTTTAGGAGGCACAGCACCCTGCCCTTTTTATTTGGTGCCCTGCCCTTTTTGTGCCCCGCAACAACGAAGTTGCGGGGTATATAGAAACGAGTTCCATCCATCCGTACATCCGTCACACTTTGTCCGAAGCAGATCTCCTAAACTATTGGTGATAGCTTAACCAAACTTGGTATACATGTCAACCATGATCCCTAGATGTGCCTTTTGGGGGTTAGACCCAAATGTGTATTTTGTTTTTTGCTGTTTCCATGGAAACGTGACTTTGGCTGTGGCAATGAGGATGTCATCTTGTCCGGAGCAGATCTCCTAAACTATACATGCTAGCTTCATAAAACTTGGTACACATATCAAGCATGATCCATAGATGTGCCATTTGATGGTTAGACCAAGATACAAATTTATTTTTTGTGATTTCTGTAGACTTAGGCTGTGACTATGAGGATGTCATCTTGTTGCATGTCCATGGCAACAAGTTAGGCTTCAACTGAATTTGGTGGTAGTGCTCCTTTCTGGAGCAGATCTTAAAAACCTTTCGATACTCTCCTTTTGCTTTGCTATATACACTCCAAAACATTCGACATAATCATAACTAAACTAGCGTCCAAAAGAAACACCACCAAGCAGTTTTCTTCACTAAAACTCAACAAAAGCAAATTATGGTAACAAGAAGTGTTGTATTGTAAAACACAATCATTCAGCAAAAGTTCTTGAAACTTTTCAGTTAGAAAAACGAAACAGTTCGTATTCTGAAAGCACATGGATGACACAGGGGTGCAGAGTCCAGTATTCGATCCCCAACGCTGATTCGTTTTTAAGGTCTTAAACTGTCCTGAACAACACAGATGATTCAGTATCGTGTGGCCACCCCTAGCAGTGATGCAGGCTCTAACGCGGTGTCGAACTGAGTGTGAGCCTTCTGACGTCATCATTAGGGATTCGGCGCCATTCCTCCAGCTGGCCACTGTAGCAGGTTGACGTTAGTGTTGAGGAAGTCATTAGTGATTAGAGCTGTGTGAGTTGTGGCGTTGTCCTGTTGAAACAGAGTCCTTGGGTGACGTTGCAGGTAAGGCAGCACCACAGGCCGTAAAATTTCGTCGATGTAACGACGTGCGGTGAGATTACCGTTGATGATGACGAGATCTGTCTTCTGGTCCCCACAAATTCCGCCCCAGAACATAACGCTTCCACCGCCATAATGCTCCACTTCTTGGATGCAAGCAGGTGCCGTCCGTTTGCCCCGACATCAGCAGATTCGAACACGACCATCAGATTTGAAGAGCTGGAACCTGCTCTCGTCACTGAAGAGCACTCTTCACCAGTTTCGCTGCTGCCACTGCATTACGGTCCTGGCCCACCTCAATCTGGCACGTCGGTGTCGGAGCTGCTAACGCCATGCCCTTGAAAGGTCGATAGGCACGAATACCATGCTGACGGAGTCGTCTTGCTACGGTCTGTCTGCTGACTGCATGTCCAAGGCTATTGGCGCTTGATGACGTCACAGTGAGGTAGCGTTTTCTCAGATGAAGCACCCGTAAAAAGCAATCTTCCTGTGGGGTCGTGACCTTGGGTCTGCCACTCCTGGGTCTGTCAGCAGTACTGCCAGTCTGTCTGTGACGTGTGACAAGTCTGGCGATGGTGGACTTGCAGCATCCCATGATCCTGGCCACGTGCTCCTGTGTTGCGCCCATCTGTAGCATACCAATTGCTCTTTCCCTCTGTTCTTTGATCAATCGAGGCATGTTGGCTGCTTTCATCGTGTCACATGATGAGAGAGAACAAATCTAGTAAGGTTTTATACCCTCATGTCATACGGGTAACTTTGTGCACAATTTCCATTTTTCATTTAACTCACCAATCATCAAAATCTCGTGCACTTGTTCACTGGGAATAGACAGGTTGTGTTCGAGGGATGTGTTTTCAGCCGTTTTTCAGCAGATTGGCAATTATTTTGACAATTTATGATACATTTTTTTTGGGTGGTGTTTCTTTTGGATGCTAGTTTAGTAGACATATTCATGAAGAGTATTTTGTCATTGCGGGGGATATTGATGACTTTGTCTTCTTGTTGATATTAACACTTGGTGGTTTTTAGTTTCTATTTCATGTTAAAGTTAAGTGATAACTGTGCTGCTTGAGTCTTTAAGAATCACATGCACATAACTTAACATAATACTGTCATTGCATGCACTTTTTGGAATAGAGGTGCCCCTTCAGAAATTCCCTAGCCTTGCCCTCTTTGGATCCTGGGGGAAAACGCTAGTAGATTGTCCCACCTGTCAAACAGGTACCTGGTAGATTGTCCCATCTGTCAAACAGGTACCTGGTAGATTGTCCCACCTGTCAAACAGGTACCTGGTAGATTGTCCCACCTGTCAAACAGGTACCTGGTAGATTGTCCCACCTGTCAAACAGGTACCTGGTAGATTGTCTCACCTGTCAAACAGGTACCTGGTAGATTGTCACACCTGTCAAACAGGTACCTGGTAGATTGTCACACCTGTCAAACAGGTACCTGGTAGATTGTCCCATCTGTCAAACAGGTACCTGGTAGATTGTCACACCTGTCAAACAGGTACCTGGTAGATTGTCACACCTGTCAAACAGGTACCTGGTAGATTGTCACACCTGTCAAACAGGTACCTGGTAGATTGTCACACCTGTCAAACAGGTACCTGGTAGATTGTCACCTGTCAAACAGGTACCTGGTAGATTGTCACACCTGTCAAACAGGTACCTGGCAGATTGTCACACCTGTCAAACAGGTACCTGGTAGATTGTCACACCTGTCAAACAGGTACCTGGTAGATTGTCACACCTGTCACATCTGTGTTGATAAGTATGAAAAGCCCTGTGTTGATATACCAGAAAGGCACAATGTTGATATACCAGAAAGGCACAATGTTGATATACCAGAAAGGCACAATGTTGATATACCAGAAAGGCACAATGTTGATATACCAGAAGGGCTCAATGATGATATACCAGAAAGGCACAATGTTGATATACCAGAAAGGCTCTATGTTGATATACCAGAAAGGCACAATGTTGATATACCAGAAAGGCTCAATGATGATATACCAGAAAGGCACAATGTTGATATACCAGAAAGGCTCTATGATGATATACCAGAAAGGCACAATGTTGATATACCAGAAAGGCACAATGTTGATATACCAGAAAGGCTCTATGTTGATATACCAGAAAGGCACAATGTTGATATACCAGAAAGGCTCAATGTTGATATACCAGAAAGGCACAATGTTGATATACCAGAAAGGCTCTATGTTGATATACCAGAAAGGCTCTATGTTGATATACCAGAAAGGCACAATGTTGATATACCAGAAAGGCTCTATGTTGATATACCAGAAAGGCACAATGTTGATATACCAGAAAGGCTCTATGTTGATATACCAGAAAGGCACAATGTTGATATACCAGAAAGGCTCTATGTTGATGTACATGAAAGGTGTCTGTCGGCAGGTATGGAATGACGTGGGCATCGTGAAGCAGTATGTAAGTGATGAGGAGAACTCTATTGATGTGGAGTTCCACAGTACGGCCACACACCATGCCATGCACCTGACCAACAGCCTGGACTGTCACCTGGCCAGCCTCAGCTCCACAGCTCTCGTGCTGGCCTGCCCTGCAGAAGATGACACCCCCAGGTACGTGGTAAACACTGTTTCACTCAACTTGGCTTTAAGACAAATAACACTCCGCCTCAACTTTGTACTGTGGTGTTTATTCAACATATCCATTAGGTTATGTGTTTCAGTAAGGTGCTATGTTGTTTTATTCCATGTTTCAGTAAGGTGCTATGTTGTTTTATTCCATGTTTCAGTAAGGTGCTATCCTGTTATATTCCATGTTTCAGTAAGATGATGTGCTGTTTATTCCATGTTTCAGTAAAGTGATGTGCTGTTTATTCCATGTTTCAGTAAGGTGATGTGCTGTTTATTCCATGTTTCAGTAAGGTGATGTTCTCTTTATTCCATGTTTCAGTAAAGTGATGTGCTGTTTATTCCATGTTTCAGTAAGATGATGTGCTGTTTATTCCATGTTTCAGTAAGGTGATGTGCATGCATTTTGGGTCATGGGACAGCAGCAAGGAGTGGACGATATGTTTGCCTGAGGGTGAAGAAGCCCAGGTCAGTGTTCCCTAGTCAATAAGCTGACATTGATTAATCCTAGAATTGATTCAGTTAGTCTCAGTGTGGCTGTTCAGTATTGACTGTACCATTACTGCCTCACAGTGTGGCTGTTCAGTATTGACTGTACCATTACTGCCTCACAGTGTGGCTGTTCAGTACTGACTACCATTACTGCCTCACATTGTGGCTGTTCAGTATTGGCTGTACCATTACTGCCTCACAGAGTGGCTGTTCAGTATTGACTGTACCATTACTGCCTCACAGTGTGGCTGTTCAGTACTGACTACCATTACTGCCTCACAGTGTGGCTGTTCAGTATTGGCTGTACCATTACTGCCTCACAGTGTGGCTATTCAGTATTGGCTGTACCATTACTGCCTCATAGTGTGGCTGTTCAGTATTGGCTGTACCATTACTGCCTCACAGTGTGGCTGTTCAGTATTGACTGTACCATTACTGCCTCACAGTGTGGCTGTTCAGTATTGGCTGTACCATTACTGCCTCACAGTGTGGCTGTTCAGTACTGACTACCATTACTGCCTCACAGTGTGGCTGTTCAGTATTGACTGTACCATTACTGCCTCACAGTGTGGCTGTTCAGTATTGACTGTACCATTACTGCCTCATAGTGTGGCTGTTCAGTATTGACTGTACCATTACTGCCTCACAGTGTGGCTGTTCAGTATTGACTGTACCATTACTGCCTCACAGTGTGGCTGTTCAGTATTGACTGTACCATTACTGCCTCACAGTGTGGCTGTTCAGTATTGACTGTACCATTACTGCCTCACAGTGTGGCTGTTCAGTATTGACTGTACCATTACTGTCTCACAGTGTGGCTGTTCAGTATTGGCTGTACCATTACTGCCTCACAGTGTGGCTGTTCAGTATTGGCTGTACCATTACTGCCTCACAGAGTGGCTGTTCAGTATTGACTGTACCATTACTGCCTCACAGTGTGGCTGTTCAGTATTGACTGTACCATTACTGCCTCACAGTGTGGCTGTTCAGTATTGACTGTACCATTACTGCCTCACAGAGTGGCTGTTCAGTATTGACTGTACCATTACAGTATTGACTGTACCATTACTGCCTCACAGTGTGGCTGTTCAGTATTGACTGTACCATTACTGCCTCACAGTGTGGCTGTTCAGTATTGACTGTACCATTACTGCCTCACAGTGTGGCTGTTCAGTATTGACTGTACCATTACTGTCTCACAGTGTGGCTGTTCAGTATTGACTGTACCATTACTGCCTCACAGTGTGGCTGTTCAGTATTGACTGTACCATTACTGCCTCACAGTGTGGCTGTTCAGTATTGACTACCATTACTGCCTCACAGTGTGGCTGTTCAGTATTGACTGTACCATTACTGCCTCACAGTGTGGCTGTTCAGTATTGACTGTACCATTACTGCCTCACAGTGTGTTCAGCTGTTCAGTATTGGCTGTCACGGTGTGGCTGTTCAGTATTGACTACCATTACTGCCTCACAGTGTGGCTGTTCGGTATTGATTGTTCACCGATTCCTATGTGGCTGTTCAGTATTGACTACCATTACTGCCTCACAGTGTGGCTGTTCAGTATTGGCCATGACTTACTGCCTCACAGTGTGGCTGTTCAGTATTGACTGTACCATTACTGCCTCACAGTGTGGCTGTTCAGTATTGACTACCATTGACCTCACAGTGTGGCTGTTCAGTATTGACTGTACCATTACTGCCTCACAGTGTGGCTGTTCAGTATTGACTGTACCATTACTGCCTCACAGTGTGGCTGTTCAGTATTGACTGTACCATTACTGCCTCACAGTGTGGCTGTTCAGTATTGACTATACCATTACTGCCTCACTGTGGCTGTTCGGTATTGACCCATTACTGCCTCACAGTGTGGCTGTTCAGTATTGACTACCATTACTGCCTCACAGTGTGGCTGTTCAGTATTGACTACCATTACTGCCTCACGGTGTGGCTGTTCAGTATTGACTGTACCATTACTGCCTCACAGTGTGGCTGTTCAGTATTGACTGTACCATTACTGCCTACTGCCTCACAGTGTGGCTGTTCAGTATTGACTGTACCATTACTGCCTCACAGTGTGGCTGTTCAGTACTGACTACCATTACTGCCTCACAGTGTGGCTGTTCCAGGTATTGACTGTACCATTACTGCCTCACGGTGTGGCTGTTCAGTATTGACTGTACCATTACTGCCTCACAGTGTGGCTGTTCAGTATTGACTGTGGCCATTACTGCCTCACAGTGTGGCTGTTCAGTATTGACTGTACCATTACTGCCTCACAGTGTGGCTGTTCAGTATTGACTGTACCATTACTGCCTCACAGTGTGGCTGTTCAGTACTGACTGTACCATTACTGCCTCACAGTGTGGCTGTTCAGTATTGACTGTACCATTACTGCCTCACAGTGTGGCTGTTCAGTATTGACTGTACCATTACTGCCTCACAGTGTGGCTGTTCAGTATTGACTGTACCATTACTGCCTCACAGTGTGGCTGTTCAGTATTGACTGTACCATTACTGCCTCACCATGGCTACTGCCTCACAGTGTGGCTGTTCAGTATTGACTACCATTACTGCTCACAGTGTACCATTACTGTACCATTACTGCCTCACAGTGTGGCTGTTCAGTATTGGCTGTAATGTATGTGTAAGTGTTTGATACAGCTGTACTTTTACTGGAAACATGTCTTCTGTAGGCTGTGACGGCTGGCGCTGGCTGGATTGCTGTGGCTACTGATGCCCGTAATCTGAGGATATTCAGCGGAGCTGGCGTCCAGCAGGATGTCTTCTCCATCCCAGGCCCCGTTGTGTGTCTTGCAGCCCATGACAATAAACTGATGATAACATACCACGCTGGCATGGGTAAGTTGCTGAACATATGTATGATAACATACCACGCTGGCATGGGTAAGTTGCTGAACATATGTATGATAAGATACTACGCTGGCATGGGTAAGTTGCTGAACGTATGTATGATAACATACCACGCTGGCATGGGTAAGTTGCTGAACATATGTATGATAACGTACCATGCTGGCATGGGTAAGTTGCTGAACATATGTATGATAACGTACCACGCTGGCATGGGTAAGTCGCTGAACATATGTATGATAACATACCACGCTGGCATGGGTAAGTCGCTGAACATATGTATGATAACATACCACGCTGGCATGGGTAAGTCGCTGAACATATGTATGATAACATACCACGCTGGCATGGGTAAGTCACTGAACTTATGTATGATAACGTACCACGCTGGCATGGGTAAGTCGCTGAATGTATGTGAGAATTATGAATACACCACTGTTTCATGACCTTTGACTCAATATTAGGTATCTGGTTTCTTTTTTGGTAGTTGTTTGGGTGGTAATGACGGAATGGTCTTTTGTAGGAATCCCTGGAGACCAGTTTCTAGGAGTTATTCTCACAACAGTCGGGCGTCAGAAGAAAACTTTGCTGAATGGAGGCCCACTCTCCATATCCCCCAAATCGACACTGCAGTGGCTAGGGTGAGTACGGATGTAAGGCTGTCAGGTGAACATTGCAATGGCTAGGGTGAGTACGGATGTAAGGCTGTCAGGTCAACATTGCAGTGGCAAGGCTGAGTATGGTTAAAAGGCCTTGCTCTCATTTTTATAACTAGTTGCTGAAGTAAGTTGTTGATGACGTTGCAGATTCTCCTCTGAGGGAACACCCTTCTCCATGGACTCGGCTGGCATCGTGCGGAGACTGAGCTCTACAGGGGTTCTCACGTGGGTCCAGGTGGCGGACACAAGCGAACATGTGAGTATGTCAGTTCAGTGTGGGGCTCTCCCCGGGACCAACATGGGTACAGGGGGAGGGAATATGTCAGCTCAGTGTGGGGCTCTCCCCGGGACCAACATGGGTCCAGGGAAGGGAATATGTCAGCTCAGTGTGGGGCTCTCCCCGGGTCCAACATGGGTCCAGGGAAGGGAATATGTCAGCTCAGTGTGGGGCTCTCCCACGGGAACAACATGGGTCCAGGGAAGGGAATATGTCAGCTCAGTGTGGGTCTCTCCCACGGGACCAACATGGGTCCAGGGGGAGGGAACATGTCAGCTCAGTGTGGGGCTCTCCCACGGGACCAACATGGGTACAGGGGGAGGGAATATGTCAGCTCAGTGTGGGGCTCTCCCACAGGACCAACATGGGTCCAGGGAAGGGAATATGTCAGCTCAGTGTGGGGCTCTCCCACGGGACCAACATGGGTCCAGGGGGAGGGAACATGTCAGCTCAGTGTGGGGCTCTCCCCGGGACCAACATGGGTCCAGGGAAGGGAACATGTCAGCTCAGTGTGGGGCTCTCCCACAGGTCCAACATCGGTCCAGGGGGAGGGAACATGTGAGTATGGCAGTTCAGTGTGGGGCTCTCCCACGGGTCCAACATGGATCCGTTTGACCCCTAGTGTCTGATCACAATATGTACCGTACCATGGTAAGAGCGTACCGTTCCACCCCTAGTGTCTGATCACAATATGTACCGTACCGTGGTAAGAGCGTACCATTTCACCCCTAGTGTCTGATCACAATATGTACCGTACCATGGTAAGAGCGTACCGTTTCACCCCTAGTGTCTGATCACAATATGTACCTACCGTGGTAAGAGCGTACCATTTCACCCCTAGTGTCTGATCACAATATGTACCGTACCGTGGTAAGAGCGTCCCGTTTCACCGCTAGGTTCTGATCACAATATGTACCGTACCGTGGTAAGAGCTTACCGATCCACCCCTAATGTCTGATCACAATATGTACTGTGCCGTGGTAAGAGCGTACTGTTTCACCCCTAGTGTCTGATCACAATATGAGGCAATGGCAAGGAGCTTACATGGGAACATCAGACAATTGTTTTCTGACTCGAACATTGTGATATTTTGCAATTCTGATAATCACTCATCGGAAGTGTTAATACTAAACAGGTATCTGAAGCTGTGTGTATGTGAAGGAGTTGGATATGTTGCCAGGTGAGCTATGATACCTGTGAGCCTCCTTCACTCTTGTGGATCAGCCTATATATACCCATGTGTTGTTGTAGGCCAAGGGCAAGTCAGACCACTACTGGATTGTGGGAGTCGGGGAACACCCACAGCAACTCAGGTAATTCTCCCTCTTGTCTGTCAACTGGGAATAGTGCTTCAGGTAATTTTCCCTCCTGCCTGTCACCTGGGAATAGTGCTTCAGGTAATTCTCCCTCCTGCCTGTCACCTGGGAATAGTGCTTCAGGTAATTCTCCCTCCTGTCTGTCACCTGGGAATAGTGCTCCAGGTAATTCTCCCTTCTGTCTGTCACCTGGGAATAGTGCTTCAGGTAATTCTCCCTCCTGCCTGTCACCTGGGAATAGTGCTTCAGGTAATTCTCCCTCCTGCCTGTCACCTGGGAATAGTGCTTCAGGTAATTCTCCCTCCTGCCTGTCACCTGGGAATAGTGCTTCAGGTAATTCTCCCTCCTGCCTGTCACCTGGGAATAGTGCTTCAGGTAATTCTCCCTCCTGCCTGTCACCTGGGAATAGTGCTTCAGGTAATTCTCCCTCCTGCCTGTCACCTGGGAATAGTCCCTCCTGCCCGTCACCTGGGAATAGTGTAATTCTCCTCCTGCCTGTCACCTGGGAATAGTGCTTCAGGTAATTCTCCCTTCTGTCTGTCACCTGGGAATAGTGCTTCAGGTAATTCTCCCTCCTGCCTGTCACCTGGGAATAGTGCTTCAGGTAATTCTCCCTCCTGTCTGTCACCTGGGAATAGTGCTTCAGGTAATTCTCCCTCCTGCCTGTCACCTGGGAATAGTGCTCCAGGTAATTCTCCCTTCTGTCTGTCACCTGGGAATAGTGCTTCAGGTAATTCTCCCTCCTGCCTGTCACCTTGGAATAGTGCTTCAGGTAATTCTCCCTCCTGCCTGTCACCTGGGATTAGTGCTTCGGGTAATTCTCCCTCCTGTCTGTCACTTGGGAATAGTGCTTCAGGGTGTGTTGATGTGCTTGCTGTTGTCAGGGTGTATTGATGTGCTTGCTGTTGTCAGGGTGTATTGATGTACTTGCTGTTGTCAGGGTGTATTTATGTACTTGCTGTTGTCAGGGTGTATTGATGTGCTTGCTGTTGTCAGGGTGTATTGATGTGCTTGCTGTTGTCAGGGTGTATTGATGTACTTTGCTGGGTGTTGTCAGGTTGTATTGATGTACATGCTTGCTGTTGTCAGGGTGTATTGATGTGCTTGCTGTTGTCAGGGTGTATTGATGTACTTGCTGTTGTCAGGGTGTATTGATGTACTTGCTGTTGTCAGGGTGTATTGATGTACTTGCTGTTGTCAGGGTGTATTTATGTACTTGCTGTTGTCAGGGTGTATTGATGTGCTTGCTGTTGTCAGGGTGTATTGATGTACATGCTGTTGTCAGGGTGTATTTATGTACTTGCTGTTGTCAGGGTGTATTGATGCTTGCTTGTTGTCAGGGGTGTATTGATGTACTTGCTGTTGTCAGGGTGTATTGATGTACTTGCTGTTGTCAGGGTGTATTGATGTATTGTTGTCAGGGTACATTGCTGTTGTCAGGGTGTCAGGTGTATTGTGTGCTTGCTGTTGTCAGGGTGTATTGATGTGCTTGCTGTTGTCAGGGTGTACTTGATGTACTGCTGTTGTCAGGGTGTATTGATGTACTTGCTGTTGTCAGGGTGTATTGATGTACTTGCTGTTGTCAGGGTGTATTGATGTGCTTGCTGTTGTCAGGGTGTATTGATGTACTTGCTGTTGTCAGGGTGTATTGATGTACTTGCTGTTGTCAGGGTGTATTGATGTACTTGCTGTTGTCAGAGTGTATTGATGTACTTGCTGTACTTGCTGTTGTCGGTGTATTGATGTGCTTGCTGTTGTCAGGTTGTATTGATGTACTTGCTGTACTTGCTGTACTTGCTGTTGTCGGTGTATTGATGTAGTTGCTGTTGTCAGGGTGTATTGATGTACATGCTGTTGTCAGGGTGTATTGATGTACTTGCTGTTGTCAGGGTGTATTGATGTGCTTGCTGTTGTCAGGATGTATTGATGTGCTTGCTGTTGTCGGTGTATTGATGCACTTGCTGTTGTCTGGGTGTACTAATGTACTGCTGTTGTCAGGGTGTATTGATGTACTTGCTGTTGTCAGAGTGTATTGATGTACATGCTGTTGTCAGGGTGTATTTATGTACTTGCTGTTGTCAGGGTGTATTGATGTGCTTGCTGTTGTCAGGGTGTATTGATGTGCTTGCTGTTGTCAGGGTGTATTGATGTACTTGCTGTTGTCAGGGTGTATTTATGTACTTGCTGTTGTCAGGGTGTATTGATGTGCTTGCTGTTGTCAGGATGTATTGATGTACTTGCTGTACTTGCTGTTGTCAGGGTGTATTGATGTACATGCTGTTGTCAGAGTGTATTGATGTACTTGCTGTTGTCAGGGTGTATTTATGTACTTGCTGTTGTCAGAGTGTATTGATGTGCTTGCTGTTGTCAGGGTGTATTGATGTACTTGCTGTTGTCAGAGTGTATTGATGTACATGCTGTTGTCAGGGTGTATTTATGTACTTGCTGTTGTCAGGGTGTATTGATGTGCTTGCTGTTGTCAGGGTGTATTGATGTACATGCTGTTGTCAGGGTGTATTTATGTACTTGCTGTTGTCAAGGTGTATTGATGTGCTTGCTGTTGTCAGGGTGTATTGATGTGCTTGCTGTTGTCAGGTTGTATTGATGTACTTGCTGTTGTCAGGGTGTATTGATGTACTTGCTGTTGTCAGGGTGTATTGATGTACATGCTGTTGTCAGGGTGTATTGATGCACTTGCTGTTGTCTGGGTGTACTAATGTACTGCTGTTGTCAGGGTGTATTGATGCACTTGCTGTTGTCTGGGTGTACTAATGTACATGCTGTTGTCAGGGTGTATTGATGTACTTGCTGTTGTCAGGGTGTATTGATGTGCTTGCTGTTGTCAGGGTGTATTGATGTGCTTGCTGTTGTCAGGGTGTATTGATGTGCTTGCTGTTGTCAGGGTGTATTGATGTGCTTGCTGTTGTCAGGGTGTATTGATGTGCTTGCTGTTGTCAGGGTGTATTGATGTACATGCTGTTGTCAGGTTGTATTGATGTACTCTCTGTACCTGCTGTTGTCGGTGTATTGATGTAGTTGCTGTTGTCAGGGTGTATTGATGTACTTGCTGTTGTCAGGGTGTATTGATGTACTTGCTGTTGTCAGGGTGTATTGATGTGCTTGCTGTTGTCAGGGTGTATTGATGTGCTTGCTGTTGTCAGGGTGTATTGATGTGCTTGCTGTTGTCAGGGGTGTATTGATGTACTTGCTGTTGTCGGTGTATTGATGTAGTTGCTGTTGTCAGGGTGTATTGATGTACATGCTGTTGTCAGGGTGTATTGATGTACTTGCTGTTGTCAGGGTGTATTGATGTACTTGCTGTACTTGCTGTTGTCGGTGTATTGATGTGCTTGCTGTTGTCAGGTTGTATTGATGTACTTGCTGTACTTGCTGTTGTCGGTGTATTGATGTAGTTGCTGTTGTCAGGGTGTATTGATGTACATGCTGTTGTCAGGGTGTATTGATGTACTTGCTGTTGTCAGGGTGTATTGATGTGCTTGCTGTTGTCAGGGTGTATTGATGTGCTTGCTGTTGTCAGGGTGTATTGATGTACTTGCTGTACTTGCTGTTGTCAGGGTGTATTGATGTACTTGCTGTTGTCAGGGTGTATTGATGTACTTGCTGTTGTCAGGGTGTATTGATGTACTGCTGTTGTCAGTGATAACTACTGTACTACTGTGTTGTAGGTGTATCCCCTGCAAGGGAGCCCGATATCCCCCCACACTGCCACGCCCAGCTGTGTCGGTCATCCCGTTCAAGCTGCCCATGTGTGAGATGAACACAGAGAAAAGCCAATATGAGGTATACATGTGACATAAAGCCAAATCGTCATTTATGTCAAACATTGTCAGTCCTGAAAAAAAAGTTATTTTACCTATCTTGACTGGTGAATCTCATGTCATGAGTCTTTATAAAAGATAAAAAAGACCAGTCAGTATGTTGTAAGTTGTGACATGGACAAGATTAACCAGTGTCCTTCACCTTAGTCGTTCATGTTTCGCAGGAAACTTTCCTAAGGACTTGCCTGTTTGCTGCTTCACTGAGGGTGCCAGGGGCAGACAACTCTGACCTGCAGGAGGCTCTGCGCCCAGCACAGGAAGCTCTCATCAAGCTGTTTGCAGTAAGTTCATTCTTCCTGGTACTGCATCTGATACAGCTGTCTCTTATAGACTATTACACATCATGTCTACTTTCTGCATGTGATGATATTGTATACATGTTTCACAGCTGTAGTGCAGGCTCTGGAAGTGTGTGAGATGTTTCACGTTGTTTTACATTGCAGCTGTCTGCCAGGTCGGACCGGGAACCCCGGGCGCTGGAAGTGTGTGTGATCATTTACATACACATTTTACATTGCAGCTGTCTGCCAGGTCGGACCGGGAACCCCGGGCGCTGGAAGTGTGTGTGATCATTTACATACACATTTCACATTGCAGCTGTCTGCCAGGTCGGACCAGGAAGCGCGGACGCTGGAAGTGTGTGAGATGTTTCACATTGCAGCTGTCCGCCAGGTCGGACCGGGAAGCTCGGGCGCTGGAAGTGTGTGAGATGTTTCACGTTGTTTCACATTGCAGCTGTCTGCCAGGTCGGACCGGGAAGCGCGGGCACTGGAAGTGTGTGAGATGTTTCACGTTGTTTCACATTGCAGCTGTCTGCCAGGTCGGACCGGGAAGCGCGGGCGCTGGAAGTGTGTGAGATGTTTCACGTTGTTTCACATTGCAGCTGTCTGCCAGGTCGGACCGGGAAGCGCGGGCGCTGGAAGTGTGTGAGATGATGCAGGAGGAGCACACCATGCAGCTGGCCATCAAGTACGCCAGTCGACTCAAACATATGCAGCTTGCCCAACGCATCAGTGAACTGGCACAGAGAAGGGCAGAAGAAGAGGAAGAGGAGGAGATAGTAGAAGAAAGGTAGAGTAGAATCATGTAGCTAGGTGATGTCACAGGAAGACCTCTAGTACAAGGTACAAATGGGGAAATATATCTCGTTAGTGGGACTCCGCTGAATGTATTCACTTGTTTAGTTGTTTGTTACTTCCTTGGCACAAGCTGGGAATTCCATGCTGGAAATGGTTGCTAGATCCAGGCTTGATTATACACTGCCTGCTGCGGTATAGCTGGAATGTTAAAGACTTGCTATGTTGTGTAGTGAGGACATTGCCTGCTCTCGAAGGAACGGAACTTTGGCGCAGCACGAGGAGAACATGGAGGATGAAGAGGAAGAGAAGGCTGATATGGTGGAGGAAGATGACACAGAAGAAGGTCACAGTACTGGTTAGTATAGTCACAGTTTAGTACTGAATGCTGTTACAGTTTTACTCATATTGTTACAACTGTCAGCTGATATACTAACAATAGATTTTCCAAGCAAGACTTCGTGTGTTGTCAAAACATTATATATACTTTCTCTTAAACGTGTAATTCAGCTCAGCTGCATGAGAAGACTATAGGGAGGTGCTATTCTCTGTTAGTGAAAGTTCTCATGTATAAGTCAGTACTGGTCATCTTGCAGGACCCAAACTGAACCTGCAGCCTAGAGAAGTTCCGGGCAAACCAACCAGCAAGTCCATACTAGCTCGTTCTAACCCATTCAAGGTATGTTTTGTCTCACTCTCACACACATACATGAAAGTTGTCTAAAAGTATAGATACAGTGACACTGCCTGTAGGTACAGTGTTGAACATGACACTGCCTGTAGGTACAGTGTTGAACATGACACTGCCTGTAGGTACAGTGTTGAACATGACACTGCCTGTAGGTACAGTGTTGAACATGACACTGCCTGTAGGTACAGTGTTGAACATGACACTGCCTGTAGGTACAGTGTTGAACATGACACTGCCTGTAGGTACAGTGTTGAACATGACACTGCCTGTAGGTACAGTGTTGGAACATGACACTGCCTGTAGGTACAGTGTTGAACATGACACTGCCTGTAGGTACAGTGTTGAACATGACACTGCCTGTAGGTACAGTGTTGAACATGAACTGCCTGTAGGTACAGTGTTGAACATGACCCTGTAGGTACAGTGTTGAACATGACACTGCCTGTAGGTACAGTGTTGAACATGACACTGCCTGTAGGTACAGTGTTGAACATGACACTGCCTGTAGGTACAGTGTTGAACATGACACTGCCTGTAGGTACAGTGTTGGAACATGACACTGCCTGTAGGTACAGTGTTGAACATGACACTGCCTGTAGGTACAGTGTTGAACATGACACTGCCTGTAGGTACAGTGTTGAACATGACACTGCCTGTAGGTACAGTGTTAAACATGACACTGCCTGTAGGTACAGTGTTGAACATGACACTGCCTGTAGGTACAGTGTTGAACATGACACTGTCTGTAGGTACAGTGTTAAACATGACACTGCCTGTAGGTACAGTGTTGAACATGACACTGCCTGTAGGTACAGTGTTGAACATGACACTGCCTGTAGGTACAGTGTTGAACATGACACTGCCTGTAGGTACAGTGTTGAACATGACACTGCATGTAGGTAGTGTTGAACAGGACACTGCATGTAGGTACAGTGTTGAACATGACACTGCCTGTAGGTACAGTGTTAAACATGACACTGCCTGTAGGTACAGTGTTAAACATGACACTGCCTGTAGGTACAGTGTTGAACATGACACTGCCTGTAGGTACAGTGTTGAACATGACACTGCCTGTAGGTACAGTGTTGAACATGACACTGCCTGTAGGTACAGTGTTGAACATGACACTGCCTGTAGGTACAGTGTTGAACATGACACTGCATGTAGGTACAGTGTTGAACATGACACTGCATGTAGGTACAGTGTTGAACATGACACTGCATGTAGGTACAGTGTTGAACATGACACTGCATGTAGGTACAGTGTTGAACATGACACTGCCTGTAGGTACAGTGTTGAACATGACACTGCCTGTAGGTACAGTGTTGAACATGACACTGCCTGTAGGTACAGTGTTGAACATGACACTGCCTGTAGGTACAGTGTTGAACATGACACTGCCTGTAGGTACAGTGTTGAACAGGACACTGCATGTAGGTACAGTGTTGAACATGACACTGCGTGTAGGTACAGTGTTGGACATGACACTGCCTGTAGGTACAGTGTTGAACATGGCATGGTAGATATTCATGAATTGAACATTCCACACACAAAGTGTTGACAACAGGGTGTTGTTGCAGGTCTCTAGTCAGCGTTCTTCTGCTCATCCAATCAAGGGGAGTCAAGTGTTTGACAAACTCTCCACGAAGACTGACAAGTCGGACAAACTGATCGTGCCTCTTCCTGTCAGCATCCGAACCAGCAAGTCAGGCGTCAACAAGAAGGTATGCCAAGACATGGAAAGGCCGACACACAACTCACAACTCATATATCACATTACACAACACACACATAACAGCTCACAACACACATTTAAACAACACAGTCATCATATTTCACAACTCACAACACAAACATCACATTACACATCTTACTCAACATATCTACAAGTGATGTCACCAAATACAAGCAGAAGTCTTTGAATCGTCTAGCATCATGTAAAGGTTGGATATTCTGTGAAACCCCAGGTCAGAACCACAGTGAAATCCAGGTGTCATCTACATATTTCCTTCTTCCGTGTGTTTCAGACAAAGACGATATCCAACATGTTCAGCAAGAACAGAAGTGGTGACAGCAAGGTGTCCAGCCACTCTGCGGAACCCGTCAAGGAAGACTCCGAAACCCAGAACAGCAAGCCGTAAGTACAGTCTGATAGTTCCTGAACACCATCAACAGATTGCAAGCCATAACCATAATTGTGTGGATCAGCAAGCTGTTAGGCCTAACCCTGAATTGGACAAAAGCAATATGTAATTCTTTTTTATATATTCCTCCTTGGGGTACTTATAAGCATTTAAATGTCCATTTAAATTCCCTACGACAGTTGTAACAATATTTGAATAAAATATTTACAAAACAAAAACTACGTTTTGTCTTGTGAGACCACCCTTACAGGGCCTTCCGGCCCCCTACAGCCAAGAGCAGGTAACTCTAGACCGTAACCTCGTACCTCACTTTCCATGCTGTCGTTGTACCGACAAGACGTGGGTCCATACCAGAAGGTTTTTCCTTGCGACTAAGAGAGTTATGAGTGTTTCAGAAACTGCAACTGTATGTATGGTTCTCTTTTTTTTCCCTGCATGGGCGAATTGGAGGCTTTTCTGAATTTTTCATTCATAATTTCTCGTTGTAACTTGGTACCTGTCGCGGTCGGCTCGCTAGTGCGTGTCAAGATGGCGGACAGGTCCCTTAAACTTAGCCTTCCTGTTCATTGGTTTCCCATGTGGTTTTCAATGTTACAGGTGGTTTTAGTGGTTTTTATTTGTATCTTTGTAATGCGTGTAGGCGTATGTCTACTGCTCGCATTTTCTATATTACGCTAAAACCCGTGAATTGTTAGTTATGCTGCAGTGTGTACTAGGTTGTCAACTGCATGCTACGTTTGTCGTGATTAGTTGTGTCGCCCATCGCGCCTTTTACATGTATTTGTATTTGGGTATAGGGTAGATTGCTGCACAGGTTTTACTTGTTGCAGTTTAAACCCTGTACCGTGCCTTGCTGCAATTCCCGTGTATGGGATTCCCACGAGTCTGCTTTACGCTGTTTAGTGCAGAAGGAACATGAGGAAGAGGGTGTGCGGCATGTGCCATGTTCTCCCCCAAATCCATTCGGCGAGGCGGATAGACACGCTGTTCTACAGCAACCTGCTTCGGGCGGGGTGATCTCTGGGCACAGGATCCCCGTCCAAAGCGCTCCATAGTAAAAAAAGGGGTCCACGGGAGCCGCTTCTCCTGAGCCGGCTCCCAAAAAGCTAAAGGCGACCAAGGCGGCTTCGTCTTCACGCGACTCATGCCTTCTGCATCTCCTACTGCTTCCGTCTCTGTACCCGCCACCCCCTCTTGATTCAGCACCTGTAAAAGCGTTCCTGTTGATTCGTTAACCGTTTTTCCAGGAGCAGATGTCGCCAGTCAAGTCCCTGATTGATACAGCGTTAGCGGGTTCCGTAAGGAGCTCAGCGCCGCCCGGTCGTCGGGGCGGAGCTGACATCTGGGGGTTACGCGCCCGAAGCTCGCTCGAGAACGCCTCCCCGGCGACTTGATCCTGGCTTCGCCGTGGTGATAGCATGCCCTCGGCGTCTGGTGGCGACCTGGCTTTATGCGCTGGTCTGTCACAGGTGCCTGGTGCCCGGCGATACAGGTTTGCCCTGTCATTGCCTGGTGTCCCGACTGGCGGTCGCCTGGCGCCGACCAGTTCGGGGATACCTCGGCCTGGCAGCCAGTCTGGGTGCCGGGAAGCCTGTTGCGGCAGGTTCCTCTCGGGCGACTTCGGCGACCTGGCGCTGGTTCCTCCGGCAGGGCGATGCTTTTCCCCTGGCTCCTCTTGACCTTATGAGTTTTTCTGGTCCTGCCTCTGGCGTCTCCTCGGCGTTCTCTCAGGAGTCTGAGATTATGGTGGCCGAGGATTCTGCCGAGGTCGATATGGAGGAGGAGGAAGGGACGGAGGAATCGGAGGCGGGAGTGCCGTACTCCTTTGCCTCGTCCCTGCGGCAGGTTCGGGATAAGATCGCGAAGTCCTGCCGCGGGTGGCTGTTCCCGTCCCCGCACCCGACCCCTCGGGAGTTTCGCCCCGGGAGGCGTTCGCACCTAACCGGTCGCAGAGGCACTTCGCATTCTCCCATCACTGGTCAGTGAGGTGGTGAATCCGCTCCTGGCTGGTACTGCTTCGTGTTTGATTTGCCTGACGCCGGCAGGCGGTACCAGTTAGGTGAGGAGGCGCTCTTCGAACCACCAGTGGTGGACGAGTGCGTCTTTGCCTCAGTCACGTTAGGAGGGTCGTCTTCGTCTTCCCTGGCCTCGGCCAGGCAGGGCAGGCGCCTCCCCCCTTTTCCGGCTAGTACGTCACTGCCGCTGAAGTCTGCCTACCGGTCATTCGAAGAATGTTGCGGTCTTGCTGCCCAACAACTTAAAGTAGCCGTCCATTCAGCCTACCTGTCTGCATTGCAGGGACAGCTGGTGGCCCACAGCTTGCGGTGCCGATTCATCGAGTCGGTGCTCGCGCGACGCACACTTTCGCATCTGGCTCGGGACAGCATTCGATTGCTGTGCCAGCCAGATGATGGGTGCCGTCATGGGCTTGCGCCGCCTGTGGCTGTCTGTGGCGCGGTATTCGCCGGCCACACAGCAAGCTCTACTGTCATTGCCCTATACCATGGGATCTTCCCTGTTCCCTGGGGCCTTGCAGGTGGTAAGGGAGGCCGCGGAGGCTGTCTCTACCTTTAAGGACTCAAAGCCTTTGTTGGAGCAGCCCTCCGGCTCTCGCCATCGCCCTCCCCTCGCTTCGCGTCCGCTTACCCTTCTGCCTCGGCGAAGGATGTTGTTAAGTGGACTGCCCTTTGCAGTCCAAAGCGAGCAGCGCGACGAGAGGCAAGGGCAAGCCTGCTCCAGCGCAGCAGTCTTTTTCGGGGCAAGGGGAAGCCATCCCGGCTTCCCACTGATTCATTCCCCAGAGCCCTTGTTGCCCCCACTCACGCATAGCGGAGACTTGCCGGCGGTGGGGTGCACTGCCTCTTACCACACGTCCCTGTCGGCGACGGCTGTCCCTATTCCTCCGGGAGTGGGAGGCAGCCACCTCAAATCCCTGGGTCCTGTCCACACTCAGGGATGGCCATTTGCCACAGTGGGAGGCGCCGATCCTCCGTCCTTCTCGGGTTTGCACTGCGCCTGTGCCGACCCCCGCCGACAAGGCGGAAGTCCTCCATGCCGAGGTTCAGTCTTTACTGACCAAGGCGACCATCGAGGTGGTTCCTGTGTGTCAGCGAGAAGAGGGGTTTTATTCCACCTACTTTCTCGCGTGGCCGAAAGGACGGAGGGTTCAGACCCATTCTGAATCTCAGAGGGCTGAACAAATTACTGGAGGTGCCGCTTTCAGGATGGAGACACTCAGGTCAGTGATCTCCTCCGTCGAGACAGGGGATTGGCTTACGTCAATCGATCTCAAAGACGATACCTCCATGTTCCAATGCACCCGAATTCCAAGAAGTACCTCCGGTTCTCTTCTTCGACGGGGCGTGCTACCAGTTTCACAGGCTCCCCTTCGGCATCTCCACGGCCCAAGGGTGTTAACCAAACTTATGCTAATCCCAGCTCAGTTAGCCAGGTCTCAGGGCAGGTGTTGTCACCCATACCTGGACGATTGGCTTCTACGGGCCTTAGGGCCTCAGTTAAGCAGAGCCTCCACACTGTGCGTGCTGGATACTCTGGTGTCACTGGGCTGGATTATCAATCTCAAGAAATCAGACCTCGTTCCGGCGCAGGATCTGATATTCTTGGGAGCCAGATTCAACACGGCGCTAGGGATTGTTTCCCTTGCTCGGACCGCATCGTCAAAGTCCGGGGACTGTGTTACAGTTCCTCCAGTCCCCGTTAAAACCGGCCCGAACATGGCTTTGCTGCCGGCAACATGGCGACAGTGGGCGTGGTTTGGCGTCGCTGCTTGAGGATGCAACCAATTCAGCAAGCATTAGCTCAGCTGTGGTCCCACTTTCGCAGGGCTACGAGATTATGCTCATAACGCCAGAGTGGTTAATCCCTCACTTGCGATGGTGGGCGGACGTCGGGAATTTGTCCAGGGGATCCCCTCGACACCCGACACCTTCCCTCTCAGTTCAGACGGACGCCTCCCTCACAGGTTGGGGGTCCTGGGCGAAAGCACTCAGCCTCCGGCCTCTGGTCGGAGCGGGAGGTCAGCCTACACATCAATGTGTTAGAACTGAGAGCAGTCCGCAAGGTGTTCGAGTGCTTCCGGTGTTGGTGCAGGGCCGTGTGGTTCGCCTAGAAATGGACAATCAAACGGCCATGTCTTACATTCTCCAGCAAGGCGGCACAGTGTCTCCGTCGCTCCTTCAGGAGGCGTGGCAGTTTCTACTGTGGTGCGATCAGTTCAACATTCGGGTTTTGCCTGTTTATCTCCCGGGGGTAGACAACGTCCGTGCAGATGCTCTCTCACGGCGATACTAGCCCCACACGAGTGGATGCTCGACCGGGATATATTCGGGATTATCTCCCAGTTGTTCGGGTCGTTCCAGGTGGATCTGTTTGCGTCTGGGGTGACGAACCAGATTCCTGTGTTTTGCTCCCGGATTCGTTAGCCAACGACGCCTTTCAGCTAGATTGGACGGACAGGGTACTGTGGGCGTTCCCCCCGATACCACTGATTTCCAGGGTCCTGTCGCAGCTGACCGCACAACCAGCTCGGCTACTTGTGCTTCTGGCACCCCTTTGGTCGGCACAAAGCTGGTTTCCGGTAATTCTCAGGTTTCTGGCTCAGCCTCCTGTTCTATTACCTTTTCGACCGGACCTCCTATCCCAGAACGGAGCGCCCCACCCGAATCCCAGGATTCAGTGGGTGGCTTGGACCCTATCAGGGATCGCCTCCATGCGAGCGGAATTCCTGCACCAGTTGCAGACACAATTCTGGCTTCGGAGGAGGGATTCGACAAACGTTCAATATGAGGATAGATGGGCCTGTTATTCGCTGGTGTGTCAACAGGGGATTCTTGATCCCTTTCTACAGATTTAGTCTGTGTGTTAGAATTCCTCCAGTCGGTTGGAAGCCGGTCTAGCGGCTTCCACTGTTCGGGATATTCTACGGCTATTTCTGCTTTCATATTCCTGTTGACGGTGCTCTCTTGGGGCAGCACCCTCTTGTACAGCTTTTAGCAGGTGTGGACAGAATCCGTCCGGTTGTCCGACGGATTAGTCCCCGTGGGACTTGTCAATCGTTCTTGATTGGCTGTCCGGTCCACTGTTTCACAATCTGTCGGCTCTTTCCCTCCAGCTGTTGGCGTGGAAGACGGCGCTTCTTGTGGCGGTGACTTCTGGCAGGTGGGTTGGCGATATTCACGCAATGTCGGCCCGATCCCGCGCTTACTGTTTTCACAAAGACAGAGTTAGCATTCGGCTGCCTGAGACTTACCGTCCCTAAGAAGGATAGTCCCTTCCATGTGACGGCGCCTATTGAGCTCCCAGCTTTCACTCAGCCTTCCCTGTCCGGTACCTCTCACGACGTGCTCACGCCTTAGATGTCCGTGAAGACACTTCAGGCTTATATCAAACGAACAAGGGGTACCCGTAAGGGTTACCAATTGTTTTGTTGTTATGGCGGGGAGTTCAGGCTGGTCTTCCGGCCACCAAGCAGACCATTTCTCGGTGGCTTGTCTCTGCCATACATATGAGTTATACTCAAACAGGGCGTATCCCGCCTGTTGGGTTGAAAGCTCATTCGGTTAGGGCAGTAGCTACATCGACAGCTTACGCTGCAGCCCTGCCCATTGAGGAGATCTGCTCATGCGGCTATTTGGAGCCGTCCGAGCACGCTCATCCGTCATTACCAACTTGACAGACTCTCCAGTGAGCGTGCTCGGTTCGGTCAGTCAGTTCTCTCCAGTGGGCATGGTTCCACCTCTCTAGCCGATTGAGCTTTCGAGGTTTTTTATTGTGTGAACCATTATCTGCCAATTTTTAACACTGGTGTTGGGTTTTACAAATCTTGTTACATTTTCCTTGGTGATGGGTTTTATGTGGTGCTGGTTTTTATTCCCATGTCTCTGCTTTCTAACCGAGAAGCTCTAGACTAAACTGCCCTTGGAAACTTTGCTGTTCATATTCCGCATTTCGCTTCTGGGTTTATTATGGGACCCTTATCTTCACTTCCGAGTAGATTACGGGAAGGAGGGAGGGTGTGTCTCGCTCGTTGCATTAGCGAGGTTTCGCTGGACAAATTTGCATCACGCGTTAACCCTGACCCTGGCTCATGCCCCCGCCTGATTGGCTTTGGTGGACACGTGACCGGGTAAGTGTGCCTTTTCTGCTATAATTAGCTTGGGAAATTCCACTTCTTGTCGGGGTGTTTAAGCAGACAGAATGCCGCTCCTGAGATCCGTCTTTAGGAGTCTGACTTATGCTTATAAGTACCCCAAGGAGGAATATATAAAAAGAATCGAACTAACCTGTAGAGGTTTCAGATTCTTTGAATATATTCCTCCTTAGGTACCACCACCTCCCCAAGATTCTGTCTGACTTAGCTCAGCATGGAAAGTGAGGTACGAGGTTACGGTCTAGAGTTACCTGCTCTTGGCTGTAGGGGGCCGGAAGGCCCTGTAAGGGTGGTCTCACAAGACAAAACGTAGTTTTTGTTTTGTAAATATTTTATTCAAATATTGTTACAACTGTCGTAGGGAATTTAAATGGACATTTAAATGCTTATAAGTACCCCAAGGAGGAATATATTCAAAGAATCTGAAACCTCTACAGGTTAGTTCGAGTTTTATGGAATGTTTATCTGACCTGATGCTTCAGGGCATGGTTGTCAGTTTATAACAGGTGAATCAACTTACTGTCTAGAGTTGAATGCAATGTATTGTTGGCACAAATTTGATTGCACTAATTGGACCAGCCTTTGGTTTGTTTGTACCATGCCAGGGGCGTAATGGTGTGTGAATCCACCTTAAAGTGACACACTTTGTTGACCTTTGTCGCTCAGAGCTCTTTTGCAACATGAAGCTGCTGATTGTTGCTGCATTGTGATCACCCGTCTGATCACCTGTTGTCAGGTCTGTGAGTGGCTTCCAGTTGTGGCTTGAAGAGAACCGAGAGGAACTGGAGGAAGAGAGACCAGACCTTTCCCAGGAGGACTTGAGTCAGGTTGCAGCTGAGAGGTTCCGTGCCCTTCCTAAGGAAGAGAGACAGGTATGACATCTACATGTATACATAGTTAGGGAGGACTTGGGGCAGGTGTGTACCCATACACTCGGGGAGGACTTGGGACAGATGTATATACATAGACTTGGGGAGGACTAGGGACAGGTGTGTATACATAGACACAGGGAGGACTAGGGACAGGTGTGTATACATAGACACAGGGAGGACTTGGGACAGGTGTGTATACATAGACTCAGGGAGGACTAGGGACAGATGTATATACATAGACTTGGGGAGGACTAGGGACAGGTGTGTATACATAGACACAGGGAGGACTAGGGACAGGTGTGTATACATAGACACAGGGAGACTTGGGACAGGTGTGTATACATAGACTCAGGGAGGACTAGGGACAGATGTATATACATAGACTTGGGGAGGACTAGGGACAGGTGTGTATACATAGACACAGGGAGGACTTGGGACAGGTGTGTATACATAGACACAGGGAGGACTTGGGACAGGTGTGTATACATAGACACAGGGAGGACTAGGGACAGGTGTGTATACATAGACACAGGGAGGACTTGGGACAGGCGTATATACATAGACTCAGGGAGGACTTGGGACAGGTGTATATACATAGACACAGGGAGGACTTGGGACAGGTGTGTATACATAGATACAGGGAGGACTTGGGACAGATGTATATACATAGACTTGGGGAGGACTAGGGACAGGTGTGTATACATAGACACAGGGAGGACTTGGGACAGATGTATATACATAGACACAGGGAGGACTAGGGACAGGTGTGTATACATAGACACAGGGAGGACTAGGGACAGGTGTGTATACATAGACACAGGGAGGACTTGGGACAGGTGTGTATACATAGACTCAGGGAGGACTAGGGACAGATGTATATACATAGACTTGGGGAGGACTAGGGACAGGTGTGTATACATAGACACAGGGAGGACTTGGGACAGATGTATATACATAGACTTGGGGAGGACTAGGGACAGGTGTGTATACATAGACACAGGGAGGACTAGGGACAGGTGTGTATACATAGACACAGGGAGGACTTGGGACAGGTGTGTATACATAGACTCAGGGAGGACTAGGGACAGATGTATATACATAGACTTGGGGAGGACTAGGGACAGGTGTGTATACATAGACTTGGGAGGACTAGGGACAGGTGTGTATACATAGACACAGGGAGGACTTGGGACAGGTGTGTATACATAGACACAGGGAGGACTAGGGACAGGTGTGTATACATAGACACAGGGAGGACTTGGGACAGGCGTATATACATAGACTCAGGGAGGACTTGGGACAGGTGTGTATACATAGATACAGGGAGGACTTGGGACAGGTGTGTATACATAGACTCAGGGAGGACTTGGGACAGGTGTGTATACATAGACACAGGGAGGACTTGGGACAGGTGTGTATACATAGACTCAGGGAGGACTAGGGACAGGTGTATATACATAGACACAGGGAGGACTTGGGACAGGTGTGTATACATAGACACAGGGAGGACTAGGGACAGGTGTGTATACATAGACACAGGGAGGACTAGGGACAGGTGTGTATACATAGACACAGGGAGGACTTGGGACAGGTGTGTATACATAGACACAGGGAGGACTAGGGACAGGTGTGTATACATAGACTCAGGGAGGACTAGGGACAGGTGTGTATACATAGACACAGGGAGGACTAGGGACAGGTGTGTATACATAGACACAGGGAGGACTTGGGACAGGTGTGTATACATAGACACAGGGAGGACTAGGGACAGGTGTGTATACATAGACACAGGGAGGACTTGGGACAGGTGTGTATACATAGACACAGGGAGGACTAGGGACAGGTGTGTATACATAGAGACACAGGGAGGACTAGGGACAGGTGTGTATACATAGACACAGGGAGGACTAGGGACAGGTGTGTATACATAGACACAGGGAGGACTAGGGACAGGTGTGTATACATAGACAGGTTGTATACATAGGAGCACAGGAGGACTAGGGACAGGTGTGTATACATAGACACAGGGAGGACTTGGGACAGGTGTGTATACATAGACACAGGGAGGACTAGGGACAGGTGTGTATACATAGACACAGGGAGGACTAGGGACAGGTGTGTATACATAGACACAGGGAGGACTAGGGACAGGTGTGTATACATAGACACAGGGAGGACTAGGGACAGGTGTGTATACATAGGAGGACTTGGGACAGGGTGTAGGACTTGGGACTAAGACACAGGGACAGTGTATACATAGACACAGGGAGGACTTGGGACAGGTGTGTATACATAGACACAGGGAGGACTTGGGACAGGTGTGTATACATAGACACAGGGAGGACTAGGGACAGGTGTGTATACATAGACACAGGAGGACTTGGACAGGAGGACTTGGGACAGGTGTGTATACATAGACACAGGGAGGACTTGGGACAGGTGTGTATACATAGACACAGGGAGGACTAGGGACAGGTGTGTATACATAGACACAGGGAGGACTAGGGACAGGTGTGTATACATAGACACAGGGAGGACTAGGGACAGGTGTGTATACATAGACTAGACACAGGGAGGACTAGGGACAGGTGTATATACATAGACACAGGGAGGACTAGGGACAGGTGTGTATACATAGACACAGGGAGGACTAGGGACAGAGTGTGTATACATAGACACAGGGAGGACTTGGGACAGGTGTGTATACATAGACTCAGGGAGGACTTGGGACAGGTGTGTATACATAGACACAGGGAGGACTTGGGACAGGTGTGTATACATAGACTCAGGGAGGACTTGGGACAGGTGTGTATACATAGACACAGGGAGGACTTGGGACAGGTGTGTATACATAGACACAGGGAGGACTTGGGACAGGTGTATATACATAGACACAGGGAGGACTAGGGACAGGTGTGTATACATAGACACAGGGAGGACTAGGGACAGGTGTGTATACATAGACACAGGGAGGACTAGGGACAGGTGTGTATACATAGACACAGGGAGGACTAGGGACAGGTGTATATACATAGACACAGGGAGGACTAGGGACAGGTGTGTATACATAGACACAGGGAGGACTAGGGACAGGTGTATATACATAGACACAGGGAGGACTAGGGACAGGTGTGTATACATAGACACAGGGAGGACTAGGGACAGGTGTGTATACATAGACTCAGGGAGGACTTGGGACAGGTGTGTATACATAGACACAGGGAGGACTAGGGACAGGTGTGTATACATAAACACGGGGAGAACTTGGGACAGGTGTATATACATAGACACGGGGAGAACTTGGGACAAGTGTATATACATAGACTCAGGGAGGACTTGGGACAGGTGTGTATACATAGACACAGGGAGGACTAGGGACAGGTGTGTATACATAGACACAGGGAGGACTAGGGACAGGTGTGTATACATAGACTCAGGGAGGACTTGGGACAGGTGTGTATACATAGACACAGGGAGGACTAGGGACAGGTGTGTATACATAAACACGGGGAGAACTTGGGACAGGTGTATATACATAGACACGGGGAGAACTTGGGACAGGTGTATATACATAGACTCAGGGAGGACTTGGGACAGGTGTGTATACATAGACTCAGGGAGGACTAGGGACAGGTGTGTATACATAGACACAGGGAGAACTTGGGACAGGTGTATATACATAGACACGGGGAGAACTTGGGACAGGTGTGTATACATAGACTCGGGGAGGACTTGGGGACAGGTGTGTATACCTAGACTCAGGGAGGACTTGGGACAGGTGTGTTTACATGGACACATGGACACCTGGGAAGGAAAGACCGAGAGGCACCTGACACAAAACCTGAAGTAGTTGTTGCATGCTGTGTTAAGACTGGTCGTATGTCACACAAAATATAGTGATTGTATGTGAGAAAATTAACACTGACTTTTCTTCCCAAGACCTGGTCCCAGAAAGCGAAGTCTCAGTCAGCAGCAGCAACGAGTCCTGATGGCCGCAAGCGGAAGCGTGTGGAGGACGACACCAGTGAGAAGCCAAACAAGAAGTCGACAATGAAACCCCTTTCACAATCGACTAACACAAAACTAAGTGGTTTTACGTTTTCAAAAGACTGAGAGCCAAGCTTTCTGTTGGCAATTGTTGAACCCTGCCCTGTGGAGCTGACTTTCCTTCAGACGAAGCTGTGGACAAAGCTACCAGAGAAGCAGAGTCCCGGCGTGGGATTCCTGACAGTCGAGAACACCTTGTATGAAGTGTATATAATGTATAAATTGTAACACACAACCTGTGTTAGTTGCTCTTTCCAGTTGTTCTTGGGTGTCAGCATGTCCTGTTGGGGTCTATATGTCTAGTTAGCTGTGGCTTGTCACCGGAAGGCATGCTTGTCACAAAGTGCATCCAGCATTGAACTTAGCTACCACAGACAGTCATGGCAGCCATGAAAAAATACAGGACACTCCTTGCTGTGTGTGAACAGTGGCTCAAACAAACAAAAGAATTTTAGGATATAAAGCAGAGAACAGAACATTTTAGAAGAGGCTACACTGAATGTTTATTATTCCTAGGTGCAGGCAGTCCTTCCCTTATATTGACTCCCCGACAGAGTCACAATATCTCACTCAGAAGAAGGGGGTTATATCTCTTATATAAACTCACCGGCAACAGAATCCTGATATCTCAATCAGAAGCAGGGGGTTATATCTCTTATATAAACTCACCGACAAGAGAATCCTGATATCTCACTCAGAAGCAGGGGGTTATATCTCTTATATAAACTCACCGACAAGAGAATCCTGATATCTCACTCAGAAGCAGGGGTGTTATATCTCTTATATAAACTCACCGACAGGAGAATCCTGATATCTCACTCAGAAGCAGGGGGTTATATCTCTTATATAAACTCACTGACAGGAGAATCCTGATATCTCAATCAGAAGCAGGGGGTTATATCTCTTATATAAACTCACCAACAACAGAATCCTGATATCTCACTCAGAAGCTGGGGGTTATATCTCTTATATAAACTCACCGACAGGAGAATGCTGATATCTCACTCAGAAGCAGGGGGTTATATCTCTTATATAAACTCACCGACAGGAGAATCCCGATATCTCACTCAGAAGCAGGGGGTTATATCTCTTATATAAACTCACTGACAGGAGAATCCTGATATCTCACTCAGAAGCAGGGGGTTATATCTCTTATATAAACTCACCAGCAACAGAATCCTGATATCTCACTCAGAAGCTGGGGGTTATATCTCTTATATAAACTCACCGACTGGAGAATGCTGATATCTCACTCAGAAGCAGGGGGTTATATCTCTTATATAAACTCACCGACAGGAGAATCCTGATATCTCACTCAGAAGCAGGGTGTTATATCTCTTATATAAACTCACTGACAGGAGAATCCTGATATCTCACCAGTGGGGATGTCACAATACAGGTCCCTCACTATATACGATACATGTCTTGATACTGAGATCACAATACCATACAACATTTCCGACACTTTACTTGCGACAAGCAGCCATTACTTGATGATAAGCTCATATCATAGCACACAGTCACCAGATATGTTGATAGAGATTATTAGAGAGAAGGAAAGACTGAGTACCAGCCAAGTATCCATCAAGTACACTCCCCAAATCTAGTCACATTTGGCGTTCTCTATAACAGAATTACACTACACTCACCAAATCTAGTCACATTTGGCGTTCTCTATAACAGAATTACACGAGAAAACTGTGTTAGGTTCACTTTACTTAAAGATCTGTTTGTAGTTAACAAAAAATGTTTTATATGAAGTATTGGTCCAACATCAAGATAGTATTTGATATATGTCAAAATATGAATCAATACTTAAACAAATAAATGGTGTAGCGTAAAGCTTGCCAGCAATGCATATCGTGACGTTACTACACTAGAGAGCCCTGATATCTCACACTAGTGTAGGGGTATATTTCCTGTATGGACCCCAAGACATGAGAGCCCTGATGTCTCACACTAGTGTAGGGGTATATTTCCTGTATGGACCCCAAGACATGAGAGCCCTGATGTCTCACACTAGAGTAGGGGTGTATTTCCTGTATGGACCCCAAGACATGAGAGCCCTGATGTCTCACACTAGAGTAGGGGTGTATTTCCTGTATGGACCCCAAGACATGAGAGCCCTGATATCTCACACTAGTGTAGGGGTATATTTCCTGTATGGACCCCAAGACATGAGAGCCCTGATATCTCACACTAGAGTAGGGGTGTATTTCCTGTATGGACCCCAAGACATGAGAGCCCTGATGTCTCACACTAGAGTAGGGGTGTATTTCCTGTATGGACCCCAAGACATGAGAGCCCTGATATCTCACACTAGTGTAGGGGTATATTTCCTGTATGGACCCCAAGACATGAGAGCCCTGATATCTCACACTAGAGTAGGGGTGTATTTCCTGTATGGACCCCAAGACATGAGAGCCCTGATGTCTCACACTAGAGTAGGGGTGTATTTCCTGTATGGACCCCAAGACATGAGAGCCCTGATATCTCACACTAGAGTAGGGGTGTATTTCCTGTATGGACCCCAAGACATGAGAGCCCTGATGTCTCACACTAGAGTAGGGGTGTATTTCCTGTATGGACCCCAAGACATGAGAGCCCTGATGTCTCACACTAGAGTAGGGGTGTATTTCCTGTATGGACCCCAAGACATGAGAGCCCTGATGTCTCACACTAGAGTAGGGGTGTATTTCCTGTATAGCCCCAAGACATGAGAGCCCTGATGTCTCACACTAGAGTAGGGGTGTATTTCCTGTATGGACCCCAAGACAGGAGAGCCCTGATATCTCACACTAGAGTAGGGGTGTATTTCCTGTATGGACCCCAAGACGTGAGAGCCCTGATATCTCACACTAGTGTAGGGGGTATATTTCCTGTATGGACCCCAAGACAGGAGAGCCCTGATGTCTCACACTTGAGTAGGGGTGTATTTCTTGTATGGACCCCAAGACAGGAGAGCCCTGATGTCTCACACTTGAGTAGGGGTATATTTCCTGTATGGACCCCAAGACAGGAGAGCCCTGATGTCTCACACTAGAGTAGGGGTGTATTTCTTGTATGGACCCCAAGACAGGAGAGCCCTGATGTCTCACACTAGAGTAGGGGTGTATTTCCTGTATGGACCCCTGAAGACATGGACCCCAAGACATGCCCTGATGTCTCACACTAGACTAGAGTATGGACCCCAAGACATGAGAGCCCTGATGTCTCACACTAGAGTAGGGGTGTATTTCCTGTATGGACCCCAAGACGTGAGAACCCTGATATCTCACACTAGTGTAGGGGGTATGGACCCCAAGACATGAGAGCCCTGATGTCTCACACTAGAGTAGGGGTGTATTTCCTGTATGGACCCCAAGACATGAGAGCCCTGATATCTCACACTAGAGTAGGGGTGTATTTCCTGTATGGACCCCAAGACAGGAGAGCCCTGATATCTCACACTAGAGTAGGGGTGTATTTCCTGTATGGACCCCAAGACAGGAGAGCCCTGATGTCTCACACTAGAGTAGGGGTATATTTCCTGTATGGACCCCAAGACATGAGAGCCCTGATATCTCACACTAGAGTAGGGGTGTGTATTTCCTGTATGGACCCCAAGACAGGAGAGCCCTGATGTCTCACACTAGAGTAGGGGTGTATTTCCTGTATGGACCCCAAGACATGAGAGCCCTGATGTCTCACACTAGAGTAGGGGTGTATTTCCTGTATGGACCCCAAGACATGAGAGCCCTGATGTCTCACACTAGAGTAGGGGTGTATTTCCTGTATGGACCCCAAGACATGAGAGCCCTGATATCTCACACACTAGGGGTGTATATTTCCTGTATGGACCCCAAGACATATCTCACACTAGGTAGTGATGATCTCACACTCATGGACCCCAAGACATGAGAGCCCTGATGTCTCACACTTGAGTAGGGGTGTATTTCTTGTATGAACTCCCAAGACATGAGAGCCCTGATATCTCACACTAGAGTACGGGGTGTATATCTTATATGGACTGATATCGTTTGAGAGTTTCAATGGTCATTTTTTTATAACTGATTGTGTGTGAGTGTGCGTGCGTGCGCGCGCGCGCACTCCTGCCCTCCCCCACCCTCTGGATCCACCTATGCTGTCAAGTAAAAGTCCACTGTCTCTGAAACACGGGATTGAGATGGAATGTATATAAGACGCCATCCAGCGATACTACGAGACATACGTTAAGTCACAGGCGTCTGCACTGCGTCGCAATTGTTTTCCCTTCTGCACACTTCCGCACAATGTTTGAAGCTCATTTCTGGTGTCCCCTGCCACGATATTGCTGGAAGGTTTCTGTAAGCTGCGTAAAACTAAACTTCCCTCTCAACGAGCATCACGTTGGGGATAGACCGCCTCATCGGTCTAGTGGATCGACCTGAAGAGTGATAGGTCGGTGACTGGACCTCCCGGCCACGTAATTCCTGAAGGTGTTAGAAGGCGGCGCTTGCCCTGCCTGACCTAAGGTGAAAACACTGGGAACGGTCGGATGTGAGTCAGGTATCCTGTGTCAGAGTGGGTACCCATGTTAAACTCTGGCATGGTATCACTGAATATCTGCTGTAGACAAGTGTGTACGTACAACTATATAGGCTGGGCAATTAAGTGAAATGATCACCTTCAAGTATATACATTAGCTTTACTAAAGCACCACCTGAATCCAAGGGCAATTATAGTTTTTGGTCACATCATATCCTAGCATATTTGAATGCACATGTAAAGCACGTGCTTCACATAATACATCAAAAGCTATGGGTCGCATGTCCACGTGCAGTGAAGGCGCCAACCACATTGGGGTATAACTTTCATAATTGCACTAGAGTTTCCTCAACTGGTTTGAACTGATATAAGAGACGACACTACTAAACACTAACTTTTCTTGACATGGTGATGCGTAGATGTCCAGAAAATACACGATGACAAGTTACTGGCAAGTATGTCATGGCGCAAACTGTACAAACTTGAACATTAACCACACGGTTATTAGTCGACTTATGAGGAAACGTGTGGTGACCGGTGAAGTAAAGGGTTGTCCTAGACCTGGAAGACCAGGGACCATGATGGCCGAGTTCTAATTCGTTTCGCACTGCGCCGGCAACAGAGAGTTTAGAACTCCCAACCAGTACCATCCGAAGGATGCTGCGGGCTGCTGGTCTGAGAGGGACGGTGTGCAATCAGACGTCCTCTTTTCACAGAGAGACACTGGCAGGAACGTCTGGCAAGGTGCAGGCTCCTAGAAAACCTGATCTTGAGAACATAGCGTTTGGTTCATTGGTCTGATGACAGTCGCTAACTTCTTCACGTTACTGGCGGCCTTTGGCGCGTAAGGAGACGCATCACCAGCAGATGATCCATGCAACTCAACCCTTTAGTGGTGGTGTGGACTGTTTTGTATGACGGTTATAGTTGGATCTCATTACAGTGCTTGGGGCTCTTTCAATTTCATAGCTGTTTTTAAGCAAAAATGATGACTAGATTTTCCAAAATCAGTATTTTTGCCGCCGTTGCGGTAATGACATTTTGATTTTAAGTTAAAAAACGCCACAATAAACTTTATGGAAAATTATTGTCCAGACGTATCTGCTGATGCAATATACCGATCATACAAACCAAAGTAGTTTATATGAACACATAGAAAATACCAAAAATACAAACAAATTTTCTTAAGAGCGAAAGGTGAAATAGCCCTTTTCCATAGAATGACCCATCATTTTATCTCAGAACAGATTCTATACATAGGAATTAAGATAATACAATCTACAATAAAAACACAGAATGCAACACTAAGGAACAACATAAACATAAACAGATTAATGTTATCACTATGACAACGTTATCATCGGGAAGTAATGGATACCGTCATCGTGCCACATGTTGATAACCATCCCTTTACTTGTCGTCTGATATTATAGGATATTTATATAGCGCACATATCCAGGCAACTAGTGCATGCTCAAGGCGCTGGTATTTTCCCCTCGGTCATTGGACGTCAATCTCAACGACACATCGTATTATCAAAACTCCCTGGGGGAGTAGACAACTCTTGCAGCCACTAGGCGCACCGAGTTATTGTGGGTTTCTCATCCTAACGAGGTACCCATTCACAGCTGGGTGCCCCGGGACACATAGTCACAGTACTTTGTCCAAGTTCACTGCACGTTGCTGTACGCGCAACTAGGTGTTTGCACGTATTCATGTGGCCACCATCTGGTCATATACCAACGAATTCGTGGGTTCTTTTAAGTGCACAGGGTTGTGTACTGTACACTAGGGGTTGTGACAACACTGAAAGAGTATGCACACAAAGTTGACTCCAAGGTTTTTTACACCCGGTCACAGGTGGGCTCGATCCCGACACCTCAACCTCGCTGGATCACTAGCCTGGCGCCTTAGCCAGTTCGCCCACCGCGCCCCCAACGCCCCATTGTTGACAACGCTAGACCATTCGCAGAACAACGCCTTCTATATATTACCATGTGTTCAGAAATTTTGTACATAAATACATGTTTAAAATTATGCTTAGAAATTATGGGAAGGGGAGAGGGGGTCATTGATTTTGTACATGACATGCAAGGGGGTCACTTATTTTGTACATATATTTTTTATTTTTTTTTATTTATTTATTTAGGGGGGGGGCATTCACATTGTACATGTATCTCCATAAAAATCATCACCACACCCCTAGCCATAAATTATGAACGGTCCCTTATGGTATAAAAGAGTGGGTTGTGCTTGATTAATGCTGATATGTACACGGAGTGGAGCTTGAGGATAACGACTCCATGATAATGACGTGAGTGAAGTTAGTTTTACGCCGCACTCAACAATATTCCAGTTATATGGCGGCGGTCTGTAAATAATTGAGTCTGGACCAGACAGTCCAGTGATCAACAACATAAGCATCGATCAACACAATTGGAATACGATGACATGTGTCAACCAAGTCAGCAAGCCTGCATGACCACCCGATCCCGTTAGTCGCCTCTCACGACAAGCATGGGTTACTGAAGACTAATTCTAACCCGGATGTTCACGGGTTGATAACGACGACTGGTTCCTGGTGTAAACTGTTGTGCTGAGTAGAATGGGTGATGTCGTTCCCGGTGTGCAGTATTCATCCACTGTCTAGTGGTGTTAAACATCTGCGTGATAAGTTTCTATGGATGAAATACTGGAAGACTCTACACGTGCTCACGTAGTTGGCATGACTGCAACGACCGAGAAACATTTCAAGTGACAGCTATCGGCCATGTCTTGGTGCACGTCCAGGCTTCCAAAGCACCGTGCAGTTATTTGAACAAAACATTTTGTTGTTGTTGTTGCTGTTGTTGTTGTAATGGTGGTGTTGCTTTTTGCGATACCATTTTGCATGGTATCGTAAATATATCACTTAATATGGAATGAAAGTCCGAAGTGATGAAGTTGTTTCTAACGTTGACCATGGAATGGGACCACAGGAATTGCTGGCTTCAGCTGTACTGTAAATTAGTGAAAGAGTGAATTTAGTTGTACGCCGCACTCAACAATATTCCAGCTATATGGCAGCGGTGTGTAGTTCGAGTCTGGACCAGACAATCCAGTGATCTATAGCATAAGCGTCGATAGATACGCAATTGGGAACCGATGACATGTGTCAACCAAGTCAGCCAGCCTGACCACCAGATCCCGTTAGTTGCCTCTTAGACAAGCATGGGTTACTGAAGATCAATTCTAACCCGGATCTTCACGGTTCACTGTCAAATAAGGTGACCACATATAAAGGTATAAATACACAATGTCATTTAGAAATTGGCCAATGTAAGGCATGTTATATTGGTAATACACTTCCTCAGTAAATTACAGATTCTAGTACACGTATTTAGTTTTAGAAGTTACAACTGGAAATTGTTGACGGTGAGAGCAATACTTGCACTCACTCGTGGCGATCCGTACAGTGCTTGGATACCTTATCAGTGACTTTGCGTCCATGTTTTCTAGTTAGTATCAGATTATCATAACAAGATGAGATAAACAACGTCTTTCTTGCAAACGAAATCGAAATCCAAAGGAGGCAAGAACGTCCGTGTATGAACAGGGACACATAGTCCACGCCAAAATACAGCAATAGGAAGCGCTTCAATACCAATGCTGTTGTGAGTTCGGTATATGATGTCATTTTCTGTTTGGCATAAAGCGAGTTTTCTTTATTTTTGCGTACTTTGACTTTTCCCAACCACTTTGACGCACTCGACAAAGCTGGAATATTGCTGATAATTCGAATATATCAAAAGTCGATTACCGCACTGACGAGATTTGATTTGGAAGTGACAGCCATTTTGGAGGAAGTAGTCTCAAAAATTACTGTCACAGACACTGACGTACAGGAATAATCAAAATGTCAGAATCGTATGGTAAGTTTTTTATGTCATTGTTCATGATAGGAAGACGACTTTTCCCACGGTGAATAATTCTTACACCTTTATGTGAATCAGCTGATGTACCAGTGAACACTATTTAATCAGTTATGATGAGCTTAGTGATGAATGGGTCGCCTGTTTCATGACAGCCAAGAAGATACAGAAAGTGTTTACATCTTGAACGTCGATTAAAGATTGTACTGTCGCCTTGTGTTGATGACAGTTGTTGACAGAAATGTTATTTTGCTTAGGATGTGTGACCTATCGATGTGAAAGTCCATGATAATAAGGATTCATGAAATTCTCACTTGGATATGTCAGGTTAAACATGTTAAAGATCAAGGGTGTCAGAACATTACACACTTGTAGCATATTCACGTTCTGCAGTGCTTGTTTTATCCTCGTATTATGGATTTCTTACGAAATGTTTGTTGTTATCTTTCTAATCATATGAACAACTATGAAACATCTCACTAACTTATAAAAGAAAACCTTATACTTAACACAATCTGTCATTAAATAATTTACAATGTCAGTTTTGCACAACACTCCTCGTTATTGTCCGAGTAAGCCCTGATATCTGAAAACGTGTAATGTCTGAAAACCTGGGCCTACCTTTAGAATACGGCCGCCTCCGTGGTGCAGTGGTTAGAGCATCCGCCCGGAGAGCGGAAGGTCGTGGGTTCGATCCCCGACCGCGTCAAACCAAAAGACGTTAAAATATGGTACATGTTGGTCCCTGCCTGGCTCTCGGCATTAATGGGTACAACAAGGACTGGTCGGCTCGAGTCAGTATAATATACTGTGTCTGAGTGGGGTATTCATGCTGTGGCATGGTATCTCAGTGAGCTAGCACTATAAAACCAGCTTAAGTCTGGGCTAGTACAAGCAGCCGCACATACACATACACACACATGCACGTCATCATATGAGCGAAATATCCTCAAGCACGACGTTAAACCCAATTTCACCTCACCTCACCTCACCTCACCTTTAGAATACAGCACCACAAACTTTACAAATTACATCACAATACCTTGTGAAGTAATTTGTGAATCTTTGTTACCAAAAACAATTATCTTTGACGTCAGAGTGTTGCTGGGATATCAAGCCTGCCTAATGCTCCTCTCGGTGTTCTGTCAGCTCTATACACATTGTCATTGAGCAAGCCAAGCAATGTAGAGAGTTTGTGTTGTAAACATGGACGGCGGGGGTGCATTTTAAAGAAAGCGCAAGTTTATGAAAGCACTTTTATTTTAAATATATTTTATATTTCGGTTTCAGCGTAACTTTTAGGACTAAATGAATTATAAATGGGAACTTATAATATATATACATATATTACGGAATGGGACAAGTGTGCCAAATGTCAACGGAGCCATTCGGCAGTTGTCCGTAGATTAAAATCACGAGAAACCAAGACTAACCATAACCTTCATAGTTGTCCATGACCTATTCAATGCTTTCCGTTGATTTCCATAACGTCTCAGGAATGACTAGATAAATGTGCACATTGTGTAACAGTGTGGTCGTAGCTCAGTCGGTTAGCTGTTGGGCAACAATCCAAAGGTCACTGGTTCGCATCCGATGGATTTTTACAAAACTAGTTGCTCTTAGTGACATGTTACCTATGACAGAGACCGTCTGCACGAGAAGTTGTGGTGCTGTATTCTATAGGTGCTCCAAAACCTGAGATCTGACTGTATATGAACAGGGTTAGAACTTAACTGTTTAAAGCACAAGCAAAAGACTGCTTGTGGCTTTTTAAGCTACTAGCTAAATGAAATTTCAATATGCAAAAACATAAAAATAATTCCACAACCAATAACCTTAATAACTTCATTTTGTCACAAAACACCTACACTGCCTTCCATTTTACTAGATTTCTTGGCGTGACCTCCGTCAGTTTTCTATTTGTCAGGACTTATCCCCAATTCCTCACCACTTTCCCCTTCACACTTCCGTTTTAAGTAGTGTGTTATCATATTATTTTAATAATGTTCTATCATATATACCCAATTTGACACATGCACGTGGTTGCTAAGGTCCGCCATCACTGAATTGGAAAATCCAGATGTCATACTAAGTATGTTATTTGCTATAAGTTCCGTGGATTTTGAATAAGGACCCCTTCATTAATTGTCTTCAATAAATAAAGGGAAGTAACTCCAAACTGAGTATGACGATGGTTTTGTGTGGCCATTTTCATAATTTTTCTGATTTAAATCAACAATAACACGGGACGCTAAAAAAGTCTGCCTTTATTTTAAAAATTGGACGCTATTCGCATTTTTAAATGCATTTAGCGTATTAGCATCTGTTAATTTCGACCCAAAACCCTTAGATCTGACTATATATGAAGCCAGGTGCAGATGTACTTTGCTGAAGGCACGTATACTCCATTAAAACAAAACAACAAAACCACATTGTACAGGGTTTTATCATTCACACTGAAATGGAGCAAACCTTTAAACTACTACTGCTTAGTATCTAGCTCTTTATGAAATGAAATGTATCATGTTTGAAAATGGATCCCAGGAAACTGGTTCAGAGTTAGAAACAGCAAAAGGGGATATTAGATTTGTCTTGTCCTCAGTCTTTGGCTAATGGACTAGTATGAACTTCGAGGGCTGCATTGGTTAGTAACTCTGTGTAACAATCGTCAGTCCGGTGACTGCTAACGATTGTATTCAAGACTCAGCTTGCTTAGTAGCACTATACTTACTACATCTGCATATGTTTTTTCACCAGCTTGTGCTTGTATTGTTCGTACGCTGCTAAATATAGCCCATGACAGACTTGATGGCCAATCCCCAGTGAGATTGTAGGCACATGATCAAAGCTCAATGATAATGTTTATCTCTGGCAAATCAGATATTTATTAAACTGAGGACATTGTATGTTTTGTAAGGAGTATTCCCTATTTTGGAATAGTTTATTTTACCTGTATGTTACCTGTTTACACTTACCCGATGTAAACGGTTACCTGGCCTATACTTACATGTGTGCGGTTCTACAAACTACTTTAGCGCTAAGACTACCGTAAGTCTGTGTTAAGGTATGGGAGTTGTGGTCAACTTAGCTCTAAGATCACTTTGTACAATGGTGCCATGGTGTATGTTACCTGTTTACACACCTGATGTATGTACCAGGTTTATGTCACACGCTTTACATGTACCAGGTTTATTTTACACATTTTACATGTACAGTTGAACCCCGTTTACTCGGACCCCGTGTATCTGGAAACCCTGTCTTCCGGACGATTTTTAGGTGAAACGAAACTTGCCTTCAGTTATTGTACTCGCTTAGCCGGACCCCGCGCTTCCGGACCCAGACGGAGAAGTTTCAAACCATTCCCATAGATTTCCATTTAAAAAATGATCCAGTTATCCGGACGGAAAGATCTAGGCGCATGTGTACATGTATGTTTCACGTCAATATTGTTTACCGGACATCTAAGTGTATTCATTGTTAATCTCTCGGCATGCGTTTGCTGTGAATTGAGTACCCATCAAAACACTAGGGACGCGTGTCACTTCAGTTGTGGCAGGTGTGAGAACATCACATCAGTAACAAAAACACATGTTAATTAGGATTGGGATTAAGCTGAGCCGCGGAATTGGATGCAGCAGTTACCACGAAGTGACAGCGACAAAGTCCCAACTGCTGAACAGTACGTTGATGAAGATAATGTCATGGAAACTGGACATGAGCTAACTGATGAAGAAATCATCAACAGAGTGCAGCCACCGACAGACGACCAGTCAGATGATGATGAACAACAAGCAGTTGTTACGCTAACAGTCTGTTGACCTTCTACGAATGTACTGGAGACGAAGGTTCAGTGAATTTATTGATGGACTTGGTGAAGTGATTTGAAGAAATAAAACCAAGGAAGCAGACACCTATCACGGACTTTTTAAGGAAATATTGTGATATGTGATATAGAGTCTAGTAAGATGTGCTATGTAAAATGTATAACGTGAATCAACGTGCTGAAAGAAAGTTGATTGGTGTGATATTGAATATGGTATTGTTATGATTATATGTTTTTGACTATTGACTTATTGATATACATACATGAATAAATTTTCAATATACATTGTCAATGCGTTTTGCTTGTTTGATCCAGTTAACCGGATCGCTTCGCTATCCGGACGATTTCCGAGTGTAACCAAAATGTCCGGATAAACAGGGTTCGACTGTACCTGGTGTATGTTACACGTTTTACATGTACCTGGCGTATGTTACATGTTTTACATGTACCTGGTGTATGTTACATGTTTTACATGTACCTGGCGTATGTTACACGTTTTACATGTACCTGGCGTATGTTACACGTTTTACATGTACCAGGTTTATGTTACACGTTTTACATGTACCAGGTTTATGTTACACGTTTTACATGTACCTGGCGTATGTTACACGTTTTACATGTACCAGGTTTATGTTACACGTTTTACATGTACCAGGTTTATGTTACACGTTTTACATGTACCTGGTTTATGTTACACGTTTTACATGTACCTGGCGTATGTTACACGTTTTACGTGTACCTGGCGTATGTTACACGTTTTACATGTACCAGGTTTATATTACTCGTTTTACATGTACCTGGCGTATGTTACATGTTTTACATGTACCTGGTGTATGTTACACGTTTTACATGTACCAGGTTTATGTTACACGTTTTACATGTACCTGGCGTATGTTACACGTTTTACATGTACCTGGTGTATGTTACACGTTTTACATGTACCAGGTTTATGTTACACGTTTTACATGTACCAGGTTTATGTTACACGTTTTACATGTACCAGGTTTATGTTACACGTTTTACATGTACCTGGCGTATGTTACACGTTTTACATGTACCTGGCATATGTTACACGTTTTACATGTACCTGGCGTATGTTACACGTTTTACATGTACCAGGTTTATGTTACACGTTTTACATGTACCTGGCGTATGTTACACGTTTTACATGTACCAGGTTTATGTTACACGTTTTACATGTACCAGGTTTATGATAGACGTTTTACATGTACCAGGTTTATGATACACGTTTTACATGTACCTGGCGTATGTTACATGTTTTACATGTACCAGGTTTATGTTACACGTTTTACATGTACCAGGTTTATGTTACATGTTTTACATGTACCTGGCGTATGTTACACGTTTTACATGTACCTGGCGTATGTTACACGTTTTACATGTACCTGGTTTATGTTACACGCTTTACATGTACCAGGTTTATGTTACACGCTTTACATGTACCTGGCGTGATGTTACACATGTACCAGGTTTGTTACATGTTTTACATGTACCTGGTATGTTACACGTTTTACATGTACCAGGTTTATGTTACACGTTTACATGTACCAGGTTTATGTTACACGCTTACATGTACCAGGTTTATGTTACGCTTTACATGTACCTGGTTTATGTTACACGCTTTTACATGTACCATGTTACATTTTTACATGTACCAGGTTTATGTTACACGCTTTACATGTACCAGGTTTATGTTACGCTTTTTACATGTACCAGGTTTATTTACACGCTTTACATGTACTCTGGGTATGTTACATGTACCAGTTTATGTTACACGTTTTACATGTACCAGGTTTATGTTACACGTTTTACATGTACCTGGCGATGTTACACGCCTTTACATGTACCAGGTTTATGTTACACGCTTTACATGTACCAGGTTTATTTATGTTACACCAGGTTTTACATGTACCAGGTTCCAGGTTTATGTTACACGTTTTACATGTACCAGGTTTATGTTACACGTTTTACATGTACCAGGTTTATGTTACACGTTTTACATGTACCAGGTTTATGTTACACGTTTTACATGTACCAGGTTTATGTTACACGTTTTACATGTACCAGGTTTATGTTACACTTTACATTTATGTACCACATGGTTTATGTTACACGCTTTACATGTACCAGGTTTATGTTACCAGGTTTATGTTACACTGTTTACATGTTCCTGGTGTATGTTACACGATTTACATGTACCAGGTTTATGTTACACGTTTTACATGTACCAGGTTTATGTTACACGTTTTACGTGTACCAGGTTTATGTTACACGTTTTACATGTACCTGGGTTTATTTTACATGTACCTGGCGCTTTACATGTACCAGGTTTATGTTACTCGTTTTACATGTACCTGGTGTATGTTACCTGTTCCAATATTTTTCATTGATGTATACTTTCAGATTTCTTGTTCAAGTTCCTGGTGATTGGCAGTGCCGGGACTGGCAAGTCCTGCATTCTGCATCAGTTCATAGAGAACAAGTGTAAGTGTGTTTGCTGTCGTACTCTACACCCCAGGCTGTCTGGTGACACGACATTATATATTGCTGTGATCATGTTGAAATGGAGGTATCTGTATTGTGATATATATTGTGAGTTACAGGAAGCTGCAATACTTGACACTGATTGATGTAGTTTGTACGTTTAGATTCTGTTTTCTGCAAAATGACGTAAACATTACTGGGCATGGTCAGGTGCCATCATTTTGTAGCTTTGGATACAGGGCAGATATTAACATGAGACCAAAATCACCTACATGTTGCCTGTTTTGTAAATAAATTTCAAAAACAAATATCATCTGTGAAAGAATTTCTGAGTATATTTCAGGTTTAATAACACAAATAATGATTTAATATTTACATATCAGAACTAAGAAAAACTAGTGCATTACGTGTAACATGAAAAGCATGTTGCCATATACTGGTATCCCTTGCCGTCAAGGCAACGAGCAACAGAGACAGAGCATTTTGTCAGGGCTTACAACATAAGTTTACTTGATACTAGCATGAATCATCAGGGAGGTTTCTGTTTGTCATACAATATATGAAGACATTATTGAAGTGGTCATGGAGATGTGTTGCTGGTACCAAGCATACTGTGTTATAGTCAGCCCTTGTTATAGGTGATACTTGTAGGCGGAGCCATGCTTGTCGTAAGATTCAACTAACGGGATTTGGGGCTCGCTGACTTGGTTGACACATGTCATTGTATCCCAGTTGCGTAGATTCGATGCTCATGCTGTTGATCACTGGATTGTCTGGTCCAAACTGGATTATTTAGAGACCGCTGCCATATAGCGGGGAATATTGCTGAGTACGGTGTTAAACAACAAACCAACCAACAACACACAGATGGCAGTGAATGGAACATTTACTTCATGATAAGAGTTGGGTAAATTCCTACCATAACATAGATAATGCATTATTTTTTTGTTTCATATAGATGAAATAAAAAATATATTGTTGCCAGTGAGTAATTGTTCCTTAGTTTATTTTCACGCCATTTATATGTTCTCTCTGTTCGTAGCCACGAGTGACAAAATCATGTTTCCATGTCACTCAATGACAGATACATCATATTTCACTAGACACATGACATATCCTGTGTACCTCTGTCAGTAAGGTGTAGTTATACTCCACCATGAGAACCTTCATGGTGATATACAGAACGTTACTAGGCCTGGTATGGTTCACTCACATATTCGTTGAATCAAAGGAGGCAGCGAATCCCTTCATGAAATTCAATTCATTATGCGTTGTCACTAGAATTGAAAATTTATGGATATTTCTAAGAGAGTATTTTTACTTTGAACTAATTTGATGATTATCTAAGTGAGTTACGCAAAATGGAATCCATCCAAGCAATGCAGTAGAGAAACTTTTGCCAAGCCCCTTACGGCACTGTCATTAGGCTATAAACAGCAATGTATTTCTTTTTTTTATTCATAGTGAATGTTGTGTATATGTTGCAGTCCTATATATACATTACCTGTTTCAGTCAAGCAGGACTCAAACCACACGATTGGAGTTGAGTTTGGAAGCAAGGTGGTCAATGTTGGTGGAAAAGCTGTCAAACTACAGATCTGGGACACTGCTGGGCAAGAACGATTCAGGTAGATCAGTCTGTCAGGATCAGGTCATATCAGGTGTGCAGGTAGGTCATTCTGCTGGGATCAGGTGATGTCAGGTGTGCAGGTAGGTCATTCTGCTGGGATCAGGTGATGTCAGGTGTGCAGGTAGGTCATTCTGCTGGGATCAGGTCATATCAGGTGTGCAGGTAGGTCATTCTGCAGGGATCAGGTCATGTCAGGTGTGCAGGTAGGTCATTCTGCAGGGATCAGGTCATGTCAGGTGTGCAGGTAGGTCATTCTGCAGGGATCAGGTGTGCAGGTAGGTCATTCTGCAGGTTCAGGTGGTGTCAGGTGTGTAGGTAGATCAGTCTGTCAGGATCAAAACCTGATGTCAGGTCAGGATCAGGTGTAGGTAGATCAGTCTGTCAGGATCAAAACCTGATGTCAGTTGTGCAGGTAGATCAGTCTGTCAGGATCAGGTGATGTCAGGTGTGCAGGTAGATCAGCCTGCAGGGATCAGGTAATGTCAGGTGTGGATGACTGTCGACTGGAGGAAGTTTCCACAGTGCTTTCTGGTTGAACCAGGTACAAAGTTTGGTACTCTATTATGAAGTATTACTATTTCAAGTTATGACATATTTTATTTGTTTTTAAGGTCCGTTACCCGCAGCTACTATAGAGGTGCTGCCGGCGCCCTGCTGGTCTATGATATAACCAGGTGAGCTTTCCTTATGAAAAGGGCTGAATATACGACACTAACACCTGAGAACCCAATCACTGTCACAAGAAGCCAATAACAGGTTCTGTTTTACACTTGAAGATTAGAGACACAAAGTGATTGTTTGACGTAGCTGTGAGATGTACAGTGATGTGTGTTTGTTGTAGCCGTGAGATGTACAGTAATGTGTGTTTGTTGTAGCTGTGAGATGTACAGTGATGTGTGTTTGTTGTAGCCGTGAGATGTACAGTAATGTGTGTTTGTTGTAGCTGTGAGATGTACAGTAATGTGTGTTTGTTGTAGCTGAGATGTACAGTGATGTGTGTTTGTTGTAGCTGTGAGATGTACAGTGATGTGTGTTTGTTGTTGTAGCCGCGGTTTGATGTACAGTGATGTGTGTTTGTTGTAGCCGTGAGATGTACAGTGATGTGTGTTTGTTGTAGCTGAGATGTACAGTGATGTGTGTTTGTTGTAGCTGTGAGATGTACAGTGATGTGTGTTTGTTGTAGCTGTGAGATGTACAGTAATGTGTGTTTGTTGTAGCTGAGATGTACAGTGATGTGTGTTTGTTGTAGCCGTGAGATGTACAGTAATGTGTGTTTGTTGTAGCTGAGATGTACAGTGATGTGTGTTTGTTGTAGCTGTGAGATGTATAGTAATGTGTGTTTGTTGTAGCTGTGAGATGTACAGTGATGTGTGTTTGTTGTAGCTGTGATGTACAGTGATGTGTGTTTGTTGTAGCTGTGAGATGTACAGTGATGTGTGTTTGTTGTAGCTGTGATGTACAGTGATGTGTGTTTGTTGTAGCTGTGATGTACAGTGATGTGTGTTTGTTGTAGCTGTGAGATGTACAGTAATGTGTGTTTGTTGTAGCTGAGATGTACAGTGATGTGTGTTTGTTGTAGCTGTGAGATGTATAGTAATGTGTGTTTGTTGTAGCTGTGAGATGTATAGTAATGTGTGTTTGTTGTAGCTGTGAGATGTACAGTGATGTGTGTTTGTTGTAGCTGTGATGTACAGTGATGTGTGTTTGTTGTAGCTCAGATGTACAGTAATGTGTGTTTGTTGTAGCTGTGAGATGTACAGTAATGTGTGTTTGTTGTAGCTGAGATGTACAGTGATGTGTGTTTGTTGTAGCTGTGAGATGTACAGTAATGTGTGTTTGTTGTAGCTGTGAGATGTACAGTAATGTGTGTTTGTTGTAGCTGAGATGTACAGTGATGTGTGTTTGTTGTAGCTGTGAGATGTACAGTGATGTGTGTTTGTTGTAGCTGTGAGATGTACAGTGATGTGTGTTTGTTGTAGCTCAGATGTACAGTAATGTGTGTTTGTTGTAGCTGAGATGTACAGTGATGTGTGTTTGTTGTAGCTGTGAGATGTACAGTAATGTGTGTTTGTTGTAGCTCAGATGTACAGTGATGTGTGTTTGTTTTAGCTGTGAGATGTACAGTAATGTGTGTTTGTTGTAGCTCAGATGTACAGTGATGTGTGTTTGTTTTAGCTGTGAGATGTACAGTAATGTGTGTTTGTTGTAGCCGTGAGACGTACAATGCTTTGACCAACTGGCTGACTGATGCCCGCACTTTAGCCAGCCCTAACATTGTCATCATCCTGGTCGGCAACAAGAAGGACCTTGAGGCTGAGCGTGAAGTCACATTCTTGGAAGCTAGCCGCTTTGCACAAGAGAATGGTGAGCAACTTTGGAGACTTAGTTTCTCAAAGTACACTACTCAGCTCTATATAAGGTGCTCACAGGATTTAATCCAACACTAAACTAATCACTTTACTTTTTTTCCTGTTTCGTTTTTTCCTGTTACTTTTTTTCCTACATTCATCATATATATGCTAGTATCACAAATAGTATAAGCATGGTACACTTTCTCTAGTTCTATAGTGCTTATATATTTATTACCTTAAAACTGTCATTTGTAACAAGTATCTCGAGTGAAATGGAGCTGTTGGGCTCTACTGTCTACAGATGTGTGATATAGTTACTGTTCCTTTCAGAACTTATGTTTTTGGAGACGAGTGCTCTCACAGGAGAGAATGTGGAGGAGACCTTCCTGAAGTGTGCACGGTCTATCCTCACAAAGATTGAGTCAGGTTGGTTTCTCTCATAGTCAGGTTGAAAACTTGCCTCCTTGTCTTCATGTCAGGGTGCTTTAGGAGTATCTGTATCACCCTCATCTCTACCTCGCTACCCACCTGTGTTGTAACCAGTGTCACACGCTCTACCCACCTGTTGTCCCCAGTGTCACACACTCTACCCACCTGTTGTCCCCAGTGTCACACACTCTACCCACCTGTTGTCCCCAGTGTCACACCCACTACCCACCTGTGTTGTCCCCAGTGTCACACCCACTACCCACCTGTGTTGTCCCACCCACTACCCACCTGTGTTGTCCCCAGTGTCACACCCACTACCCACCGGTGTTGTCCCCAGTGTCACACCCACTACCCACCTGTGTTGTCCCCAGTGTCACACACACTACCCACCTGTGTTGTCCTCAGTGTCACACCCACTACCCACCTGTGTTGTCCTCAGTGTCACACCCACTACCCACCTGTGTTGTCCCCAGAGTGTCACACCCACTACCCACCTGTGTTGTCCCCAGTGTCACACCCACTACCCACCTGTGTTGTCCCCAGTGTCACACCCACTACCCACCTGTGTTGTCCCCAGTGTCACACCCACTACCCACCTGTGTTGTCCCCAGTGTCACACCCACTACCCACCTGTGTTGTCCCCAGTGTCACACCCACCAACTACCCACTACCCACCTGTTGTCCCCAGTGTCACACCCACTACCCACCTGTTGTCCCCAGTGTCACACCCACTACCCACCTGTGTTGTCCCCAGTGTCACACCCACTACCCACCTGTGTTGTCCCCAGTGTCACACCCACTACCCAGCTGTTGTCCCCAGTGTCACACCAACTACCCACATGTTGTCCCCAGTGTCACACCCACTACCCAGCTGTTGTCCCCAGTGTCACACCCACTACCCAGCTGTTGTCCCGAGTGTCACACCCACTACCCACCTGTGTTGTAACCAGTCCCACAGTGTCACACCCACTACCCACATGTTGTCCCCAGTGTCACACCCACTACCCAGCTGTTGTCCCCAGTGTCACACCCACTGTTGTCCCCAGTGTCACACCCACTACCCAGCTGTTGTCCCCAGTGTCACACCCACTACCCACCTGTGTGTGTCCCCAGTGTCACACCCACTACCCACCTGTGTTGTCCCCAGTGTCACCCCCACTACCCACCTGTTGTCCCCAGTGTCACACCAACTACCCACATGTTGTCCCCAGTGTCACACCCACTACCCAGCTGTTGTCCCCAGTGTCACACCCACTACCCACCTGTTGTCCCGAGTGTCACACCCACTACCCACCTGTGTTGTAACCAGTGCCACACCCACTACCCACCTGTTGTCCCCAGTGTCACACCAACTACCCACATGTTGTCCCCAGTGTCACACCCACTACCCACCTGTTGTGGGTACAGTAGTGTGGGTATATATAGTTTCATAAATCTTATCAAACAGCTAGTTTGGTCACATTTTTATTCCTCTTGTTCCGTGTGTGGGCACATCATCTGTACCAGCTTTATCTTCATCAGGAGAGCTAGATCCAGAGCGGATGGGGTCTGGAATTCAATATGGAGATGCCTCTCTTCGGCGACTACACCGACAGCAACAAGCCACCAAACGACCGGACTGTGCCTGCTAGTCACACCCCCTCCCACCCACCTACTCCGACACAAGGAAGCAGCCCAATGCTGGGAGTGGTACTTCGGGGTGATGCCAGCCGCCATACAAGCTCATTCCATCTGTCCTCAGACTGTGTGTATGTGTGTGAGTGCAAGTGTGTGCCAGTGTGAATGTGTCTGCATGTGTGAGGTGAAGAAGAAGAGCATGACTGTTTCCATGGATAGTTTGTCCTGTGGTACAGTGGAAGTAAGTGTAGCTGTGCCCCAGTAGATCTGACTCCAGTTCTTGTAAGCCTCCATGGCACGCTCCTCTTGGCTGTTGCTGTGAAATCAGCTGCTGTTGTAACCACATTCCAGGAAAACAAGGCAGGAGACAGGAAGTGACAAGCCTGGACTCATCTCTTGGAATCTCGTAAATGTCTGCGTTATCACATGAATGGCTGTGAATATTTGTACTCATGCAACTGTATCTTAAATGTATCTCATAGTCTCTAATATGTGTCATCAGTTGGTGGCTCAGCCGGCCGCAATGTGGACACTTGACCAGCTTTACCAGAGATCCATCACAAGGACCTCAGTTTGTTGTCATCTGACGGACTTCAAAACCTCAGTCACAAGAACAGCTCATCAGCTCAGAAGTGGACAATTGCCTGGAATATTAATTTCCCGAAAATTTATATTTCATTGGCACATTTTTCTATTGTACATTGTCATTATTTTTAATTGTTTGTTCTTAAAGGGGAAAAAGTTCATGATTGTATTAGCCATGTAAGGATTTAGTGGTCGACAGCAGGGTCGAGATGGGGTTAGTAGATGACAGCAGGACAGGGTTCGACGTTAACCACAGGATGGGAATGGGGTTTTGAGGTTAACAGCAGGGCAGGGGTGAGAGGTTGCCGGTTAGGGATGGAGATCAGTTGTTGACAGCATGGTAAAGTTTTAGGAACAGATAGACAGTAAATAGTTCTCGGATTACAACATATCAGCTATATACTGTGTGGGTCTAACAACTGCAGAGACATGACTTGCAGGTTAAGAATGTGACAATTTATAAAATAGTATTTGACAAGCCTTTGTTTTCCCATTGTAAAAAGGTAATCTATTTATGCTGTGATCTGTGCTAGTGTATCTGTCCTAGAACAAAGAATGAGTGTCTGCTTGTGGCGATCCGCCACGTCTTCAGTAGTGTACAGATCTATACACAACTACTGTTGAGCTTAAGTGATGTTGTTGAAGTGCTACTTATCATGTAAATAACCTGTACATTGTGTTGTGCTGCCAGCATCTTGCAGCTGATGGATACCAGACCAATGCCGGAATAGCTTTGGAGAATTAACTGTAAATGAATTGCAGTTTAGTTTTTGAATCTGTTAAACTGTCGTCAGCTGATGTTGAGTACATGGACCTGTTTAGACATGTATTGCATTGTTACTTAAACTGTCTCCATGATAAAGTCGAAATCTTCAAAATATAGTCAGATGGGGGGTTATTGTTTCTCTACACTTGTGTAACCATAGTAACCATAGTACCTGTGGTTTACCAGTTTTACTAAAAATTCTGTTTCATAAGCTTAATGAAAATTTTGACGCTCAAAACTTTTATGTAAATTATCAGATTTTGTGATTTCATTACCTTGGAGTCATGATTGGCCAATATATCAAGGATAGTTCCTTCCATGTTTTTAGACACAAGTCTAGCACATGGCAGCCTACTGACTAGAGATATTGGGGTAAACCTAGTACAGTGTAGGGTGTCCCTGTACTCTCTTGTGTCATGTACTCATCAGAACAATGTACAACTCTTGCTTGCTACATCTTGTACATAGACCTAGTGTACTGCAGTTTTGTATAGCAATGTAACATTTTGTATTGCATGTTGTTTCAACAGGACAACAGCATCTGTAAATACACTGGAATAAATTCAATATATAAATAAGTGAAGGTGTAAGTATTTGGCAGACTGACGTGTTATTACAACAACACGGTTGGTCAGTCAGTGTGGTACTGAACTACCACTGCTGCTGTGTGATCAATGTTTAGTCACATCGGTTTCCATATCCACAAGAAATGACAAGTATAGGATTACTCATTTTAATATAAAAGTAACATTTTGCAAAATATGCAATGGATAATTTAAACATATACTAAATAACAGAATTCAATAAAATATATGTACATAAAAAAGCTTTTCTGAAAAATGTAGAAGTCTTGCTATCTAAGACTGTTGATGAATCTCAGTGTTGTGTAGGAGGGTTAAATAAAAGTTGTCACAAGGCACCATTCGCGGCGGACTCAGTCTGCTCTATGAGATATGTTCATGTAGGTTGACCTGGCCCATAAATCCATGGCCCTAACGTGTCCACAAGGCCAGGGCCTGTACAATCTTTGTACTGTATGATAAGGGAGACAACTCTCACATTTGCCGAGGACTGTTCTCCAGCATATCATTGTGTACCATATAGACAAAAGATGAGAGTAGTTTCCATCCTCCTGGTCTATGGATTAATGTGACTATCAATGTTGTTTGTGTCATTGACTAAGTTATGTGGTTGGTATGTGTGACTACAAACTAGAGTGTTGAACCCACTCAACCAGCATTCTGTGATCACGACACATAGATGATACGACACAGTTTCCTCTCACTGGCCCGAGCAGAGAGACTCCGGCTGTACTCCTCTTCGCTGTATGCGGGATACTGCTGCCTGTACTCAGATGTCCACTCAATCTCGTGCTTAGCTCTCTCGTTGGCGGCTGAATTCAATAGTGCCTGCACGCGATCCTCCTTAGTCTTCTGAGCTGACACCTCTTTCTGCTGTGCTGCGGTTGTCCTCCTGGAGTGGGCCCGAAGAGCAGCAGGGTAAACCTGGAACAGCCATCATGTCACTAACTGCTGCACCAGGAATAGTGTTAACAACATTAAAATTCACTATAACACTACATATCATACAATTGTTCATAGACTGACTGACTGAGTTTGGTTTAACGCCGCTTTTAGCAATATTCCAGCAACATCACGGCAGGGAACACCAGAAATGGGCTTCACACATTGTACCTATGTGGGGATTCGAACCCGGGTCTTCGGTGTGACGAGCCAACGCTTTAACCATTAGGCTACCCACCGCCCCCAATTGTTCATAGAGAAGTTACCAGTACATTCAACAATAGCTCAACATAAGTGTCTGGAATACCTATCAGCCGTGAATGTTTTGATGCTTCTACTAAAGTGACAGAGGCTTACAAATGTGGGCACAGATGGTAAAGTATCTTTACTGTTAGTAACAAAACAAGTTCCAGCTGAGAAAGAAAGGAAGCTAATGACAACATGACGAGGATGTCACACAAACCTGCACACACACATAAACAAGTGATAGATCATGTTTCTGGACAACCCTAACTATACTAAATACAATATTCTGCAAAATCTGACAACTACAAACTTAATACAGTAAGCTGGGCAACAAGACATGTCTAGGAAAATGGGACAGTAATGGTGGCAACATGAACTGCCTGCTATAATTAATTTGCTCACATCTGCTGTTGCTCGAATGTTGAAGGTCTTGTGTTGAGACAAGTCACGCCCAGCACCTGCCCAGCCGTAGGACATGAATGGCGCTGGATGCTGTGCTTCTGCTTCTGCTGCAGGCGTTGTTGATCTCCTCAACTTGGATAAAGTGGAAGCCTTTGACCTCACACCAGCGGATGTAGTTGACCTCTTGGAACTCTTTATTTGTGGTTGCTTCGTTCCTGACATCGGACCATGTAGTTTACTGACAGGGCAAGGAATCTTCTGTCTTCTGTCCGGTCTCCTCTGCTTCTTAATCCTTGAATCTGAATCTCAAAAAGGACACAATGTTTGCTCTTAATATTATCCAGCATAATGATGATCATGCCTTAAACATTACCACTCAAACTTACCTAAACATGAAGTTATTATTATAGATTGAAATACCATGGTGCACAATGAATGGGTAACCCCTATTACCTATTTCATGGACAGACAGAGGCATGCAGTCATGGTCATCCTGTCCGGGTCATTGATGCCTACTTAAAGACCATTGCCTGTTCTGTGCTGCTTGACAGTGTGAAAAGCGTGACAGGCCACATGTCCATATCTAAGAAGTAATTTGATTGTCGTTATTTCAAAGTTCACTTGGACATTTCTCATTCTTCATATGTGAACGCAAGGACTATCATATTTCAATGTGTTGCCAGCAGACATAAGTTGGTAGTGGGTGAATATCCAACATCAAAATGGCTACCAAAGGTAGATGTTGAAAGGATATTTGAATTATTTTCTGAAACTGATGAATGGATATTTTCACTCATAAACAAAGTAACAGTGATGATTGGATGTTGGATTCAAGATATATGGATATATCACAACTTCAGATTCTCACTTCATCTTGTAATTGTTTAACAAAACCCATCTGTCTTAACAGTAGTGTTATCATTGCTGTATACAGTGAATGAACTAAGCCAATATCCCAGCCAGACAGTACGAGGCTGGTAACGCCAGAATGTTACCAGCCCAAAATAGATTTAACCACACCAGACAATTTGCAGATCTCTGCGCATCGATAAGTGTCAGTGTTTTATTGATAATATATGTCAATGCAGTACTTTGAGCTTGTGATACGATAGTTCAATGTTCAAACAGTAATTGTCAAATCTAAATGTAAGGCTCAATTTGAAAAATAGATTTTAGGATATGGTGAATTTACTCAAATGTATGGAACATGTTATCTAAAAACTTTTACCAGACCATTGAGCTGGCTAGCTGTAAATTTAGACCGTCCGTCAGAAATCTAGCCCATCTCGGGTAATTGGACAAGCCTTATTCATACACTGAGCGACCGCCTCCATGGTGTAGTGGTTAGAGCGTCCGCCCGGAGAGCGGAAGGTCGCGGGTTCGATCCCCGACCGTGTCATACCAAAAGACGTTAAAATATGGTACTTGTTGGTCCCTGCCTGGCGCTCGGCATTAATGGGTACAACAAGGACTGGTTGGCTCGGAGTCAGTATAATGTGTCAGAGTGGGGTATTCATGCTTCACTGCGGCATGGTATCTCAGTCTCAGTGGGCTAGCACTATAAAACCAGCTTAAGTCTGGGCTAGTACAAGCAGCCGCACATTCACACGATGCATGCCGCCATATTCTCAAACCGCTGCGTAAAACCCAATTTCATCACCTCACCTCATACACTGAGCACTTATCAAACCTGCAATTTCCCAGTAAACCATCCCAAGATTCCACTTTCACCTCACCCTCATACACTGAGCACTGTATCATGTCTGTCGCCCCAGTAAACCATCCCAAGATTCCAGTGTATCACTTCAGCAGACTTCAAATGACAATACAACATGTGTCAGGCTCTTATCTTAGGTTCAACATAATTAATATCAAGTACCATTTGCACCCACTGTCAATTGTGTTTGTGAATGTTCTCTTTCTGCGGAAATAGGCATACTGTTTGACTTCTCATCATGGACCAGTGGGGATTCGGTGGGGTGATCGTCATCATCACTCCATTCGTCTCTCTCAGCCACAAGTCTCTTCTTCATCACTTTTGGCACCTGTAGACTGTCATCGTTCCCATCTGATCCACTTTCATCCCCCCTGTCACTGTCCACGCTTTCATCATCGTTTTTCTCCTCAGTGTACCAGGAGACCGGTGTGTGGGCATACTCCCTCTCTCGACGCGCTGTCCGAAAGGCCACATTCTCGTAGTAGAGAGGCAGGCTTTTCCTAAGCGCCGACACCTTGAAGTGCTTCTGATATTCCGATTTCATTTTAAGTCATACACTGCAAATAAAGGAGACAAATAACACCCATTTCAAAATCTCATCACAACAAACAACTTTACTGTCTTCCGAGAGTGAGACTGTGAAGGCCGTATCCGACATCTGACGTTTACGGCTAAATGATTAAATAACTTGGTTTGGGATCCCAATGGGTTTTTATGAACTGGGCAAGGCTAGATCCAGCTTATTGCTTCATCCTTGTTTTTTTCTATCTCAGTTTAAAGTCGGAAAATACAATCAAGATTTTTATATTAATTTCACACGACGAAGCCGGTTCAGACAAGTATAGTTCCAAGCGCGAGCATATCTACCTGCTCGTTGCAACGGACCTACAAAGATGCATTGCAAAACCGATATTAGAACAAATGTCTGTAATGACAAGTGAAAGGTTTTTTTTGTGCTACGAGCAAATCAGTGGCCTATAACAAAACAGATTTACATACCGTGCAAACACACAAGCTGTACTGTGAATATGGTTGTTTACACATTTACAGTTTGCTAGGCAGCAGCGCCCTCCTGATTAAGGAGCAGGTAACTCTTACTCTCAAACGAACCGGGGTGCTTCAGTTTGATACAGTTACGGTTCACTCTCACTTAGCCAGAATCTTCCTAAACAGGTCTTGTTAAGACAACATTGCACTTTGGCTAGGTGAGAGATGCAAGCCAGGTAATTAGCATTAGCCACTGAATCGTGAGCCTTTGTTCTAGGGCTATAGTGTATATCTACAATGCGACTTGTATGCAAGTGTGTGTATAGTTTAAACAATATTTATTCTTGTACCACTAGTAGTGTACAGTGGGATTGACAAACAGTGTTTCCCCTATATTTTAATGTCGCTCCCCAAACTAATACATATTACATCAGTCCTTCAAAGATTAGATAATGCAGTGTCCAAGTTGCTGCATCCCAGTCTAATACGACAATGTAAAATTTAGTTATTTCTCAATCCATAGTTCTGCACAATTTCGTGTCCACTAGGCTGTCCCATCGCCCAGTGTCACTAGAGAATTGGTCCATACAGCAATACATATGTGAATGGAATTTGTAAGTGTAACAGTGAAAATGTTACCTTGTCGTACACGCGTTGAGTGGTATTGGCACTGTTGATACAGACTACATGTATATGGCTCATCTGGACAAGCGTTATCAAAACAGTAACCCTGGTCAGGCAGATCCCACTCTGGCTATGTGAGAGACCACCGTTTATACCGACCGAAAAAGAAGTATCTCAAAAACAAAGGAAACGGTAGGTTATCCCTGACTGATTGAAACGCCTGAAAATAATGTTTCTTACAAAAGTGAATTTGAAGACAGATAACCTTTCTATGTTGCGTTGTCAGGAGACCGTTGGAGAGTAGGCATAATTAGTGCCGTATTTGAAACGGAGTCTTTGACTATCCGTAATTAATGTTTTATTATGTTTAGATAGTGTTCGTAGAGGGTTAAAGTATTATTTTGTTGCAGATTAATCCGATCCTAAAGCTTTTTAACCTGTAATTGTTAATTAGTTGTTTTGTTTGCCCTCATCAGTATTCCAACTACAACTAGTATATTGCGGCGGTAATTAGTTCATTGATATGTAGAGAGTCTAAGTACGTGCACATGTTCTACAGTAATAAATCCTGATATATTTACAAATGACTGACAGCATTTGTTTAAAACGTTCAACAAGTTCTAAAACAGAACCGAGAAACTCGATCGAAATACTGCGTTTGCATGTATGCAACACAGACGAAGTGACTTGTTTGAGTGGCATTTAGAAGTTGGTGTGATGAACAACGAGGAGAGTTCTATTGATATACAACTTCTTAAATATAATATGAACGACGTTTCGGTGTAGCTATTAACACCGTTATCAAGCAAATGATGCCATCATTTGTTTGATAACGTTGTTAGTAGAATATGAGCGACGTTTCGGTGTAGCTACTAACACCGTTATCAAACAAATGATGCTTGATAACGGTGTTAGTAGCTTTACTTCTTACATTATATTAAAGAAGTTGTATATCCATAGAACTCTCCTCGTTGTACAGACGAAGTGTGCAGTATGACTTGTGCAAGCTTCGTTTGCATGCCTTGTGTGTGTGCTTTATTGTGTGTATGCACGCCTTGTTGGCATCCCTTGTTTGCATGCCATGTGTGTATGCATACCTTGTGTGTATGCCATGTTTGCATGCCTTGTGTGTGCTTCATCCCTTGTGTGTATGCATGCCATGTTTGCATGCCTGGTGTGTATGCCTGTGTGCATGCCCATGTCACCTAATCGTCTGCTGGACTTGTTCAGATAGGACTTCCACCACTGATGGCTTATTCTCGTCGAACACTAGTGCTTGTGTCGTAGTACTGACGCTGTCGTGCTATCGCGAAGCTTACACAACAATCATTTCTGCCGCTCTGATGTCATCTCGTTGTTCAACTCTGTATATTCCCCCCAAATTCTACTTGAGACCAAACAGATTAAATCTTGTAGAACTGACGTATCACATGTAAGAATTTGTCCAGACTTATTGTATGTTTACATAAACTAATAAGAAAGGACCGCTGACTCTGTCACGTGTTGTTGTGATCTCTATATCGTATTTTCAGTAACTCGACATGACGCACACTGAAAGGGGAAACAGTCTTCTCTTGTTATATGTTTCAGTTTCAGATACTCCTATTCTGAGAGAAATTATTGGTCTCATGTTGTTTGTTGGCATTACATGGCACATAACAACGGACTTTTGTTCATGACACGTATCTTCACGCGATATCGTCTTTGGCTATTTGATCACAGACGCACTGACGTATTGCCCAGAGTAGTTCAGGTGGAATTCAGTGTCGCGATGGGCTGTTGGAGTAACATTGTACGATATCAGACCATCAATATACTCCAAGCGTGGCAAAACATCTAGGCGAAATTGCCTTCATTACATTTCTGAAAATCCTATCTGAAATTCCAATTCATGAGAAAAAGAAACGCATCAGTGCACAGGGGAACACAGGCAGCAGGAAGTCAAGCTGACACGTCATGATATAACTGAAATACTGACCCACGTCAAGCTGACACACCATCATATAACTGAAATACTGACCCACGTCAAGCTGACACGTCATGATATAACTGAAATACTGACCCACGTCAAGCTGACACGTCATGATATAACTGAAATACTGACACACCTCAAGCTGACACGTAATGATATAACTGAAATACTGACCTACGTCAAGCTGACACGTCATGGTATAACCGAAATACTGACCCATGTCAAGCCGACACGTCATCATATAACTGAAATACTGACTTACATCACGCTGCCACATCATCATATAACTGAAAAAAAAGCCACGTCAAGCTGACACGCCATCATATAACTGAAATACTGACCCATGTCAAGCCAACACATCATGATATAACTGAAATACTGACCTACGTCAAGCTGACACGGTATGATATAACTGAAATACTGACCCACGTCAAGCTGACACAGTATGATATAACTGAAATACTGACCCACGTCAAGCTAACATGTCATGATATAACTAAAAATACTGACCCATGTCAAGCTGACACGTCATCATATAACTGAAATACTGACCCACGTCAAGCTGACACGTCATCATATAACTGAAATACTGACCTACGTCAAGCTGACACGTCATGATATAACTGAAATACTGACCCTCGTCAAGCTGACACGTCATCATATAACTGAAACACTGACCCTCGTCAAGCTGACACACCATCATATAACTGAAATACTGACCCACGTCGAGCTGACACGCCATCATATAACTGAAATACTGACCCAAGTCGAGCTGAAACGCCATCATATAACTGAAATACTGACCCACGTCAAGCTGACACGTCATCATATAACTGAAATACTGACCCATGTCAAGCCGACACATCATGATATAACTGAAATACTGACACACGTCAAGCTGACATGGCATGATGTAACTGAAATACTGACCCACGTCAAGCTGACACGTCATGATATAACTGAAACACTGACCCTCGTCAAGCTGACACACCATCATATAACTAAAATACTGACCCACGTCAAGCTGACACAGTATGATACAACTGAAATACTGACCAACGTAAAGCTGACACGTCATCAGATAACTGAAAAACTGACCCACGTCAAGCTGACACGTATGATCATAACTGAAATACTGACCCACGTCAAGCTGACAAATACTGACCCACGGTATGATATATAACTGAAACACTGACACACATCAAGCTGACACGTCATCATATAACTGACATACTGACCCACGTCAAGCTGACACGTCATGATAACTGAAATGACCTGTACGTCAAGCATCGATATATAACTGAAACACTGACACACATCAAGTTGACACGTCATCATATAACTGAAATACTGACCCACATCAAGCTAACATGGCATGATATAACTGAAATACTGACCAACGTCAAGCTTACACGCCATCAGATAACTGAAATACTGACCCACGTCAAGCTGACACAGTATGATATAACTGAAATACTGACACACGTCAAGCTGACACGTCATGATATAACTGAAATACTGACCAACGTCAAGCTGACACGTCATGATATAACTGAAATACTGACCCACGTCAAGCCGACACGTCATCATATAACTGAAATACTGACCCACGTCAAGCTGACACGTCATGATATAACTGAAATACTGACCCACGTCAAGCTGACACGTCATGATATAACTGAAATACTGACACACCTCAAGCTGACACGTAATGATATAACTGAAATACTGACCTACGCCAAGTTGACACCGCCATGGTATAACCGAAATACTGACCCATGTCAAGCCGACACGTCATCATATAACTGAAATACTGACTTACATCACGCTGCCACATCATCATATAACTGAAAAAAAAGCCACGTCAAGCTGACACGCCATCATATAACTGAAATACTGACCCATGTCAAGCCAACACATCATGATATAACTGAAATACTGACCTACGTCAAGCTGACACGGTATGATATAACTGAAATACTGACCCACGTCAAGCTGACACAGTATGATATAACTGAAATACTGACCCACGTCAAGCTAACATGTCATGATATAACTATAAAATACTGACCCATGTCAAGCTGAAACGTCATCATATAACTGAAATACTGACCCACGTCAAGCTGACACGTCATCAGATAACTGAAATACTGACCCACGTCAAGCTGACACGTCATCATATAACTGAAATACTGACCCACGTCAAGCTGACACGTCATCATATAACTGAAACACTGACCCTCGTCAAGCTGACACACCATCATATAACTGAAATACTGACCCACGTCAAGCTGACACAGTATGATATAACTGAAATACTGACCCAAGTCGAGCTGACACGCCATCATATAACTGAAATACTGACCCACGTCAAGCTGACACGTCATCATATAACTGAAATACTGACCTACGTCAAGCTGACACGTCATCATATAACTGAAATACTGACCCATGTCAAGCCGACACGTCATGATATAACTGAAATACTGACCCACGTCAAGCTGACACGTCATGATATAACTGAAATACTGACCCATGTCAAGCTGACACGCCATGATATAACTGAAATACTGACCAACGCCAAGCTGACACGGTATGATATAACTGAAATACTGACCCACGCCAAAAGTCGACACGTCATCATATAACTGAAATACTGACACTCGCCAAGCTGACACGCCATCATATAACTGAAATACTGACCCACGTCAAGCTGACATGGTATGATATAACTGAAATACTGACCCACGTCAAACCGACACGTCATCATATAACTGAAATACTGACACACGCCAAGCTGACACGCCATCATATAGCTGAAATACTGACCCACGCCAAGCCGACATCGCCATCATATAACTGAAATACTGACAGACGACGTCAAGCCGACACGCCATCATATAACTGAAATACTGACCCACGTCAAGCTGACACGTCATCATATAACTGAAACACTGACCCTCGTCAAGCTGACACGCCATCATATAACTGAAATACTGACCCACGTCAAGCTGACACGTCATCATATAACTGAAATACTGACCTACGTCAAGCTGACACGTCATCATATAACTGAAATACTGACCCATGTCAAGCCGACACGTCATGATATAACTGAAATACTGACCCACGTCAAGCTGACACGTCATGATATAACTGAAATACTGACCCATGTCAAGCTGACACGTCATGATATAACTGAAATACTGACCAACGTCAAGCTGACACGGTATGATATAACTGAAATACTGACCCACGCGATCAAGCCGACACGTCATCATATAACTGAAATACTGACACTCGTCAAGCTGACACGCCATCATATAACTGAAATACTGACCCACGTCAAGCTGACATGGTATGATATAACTGAAATACTGACCCACGTCAAACCGACACGTCATCATATAACTGAAATACTGACACACGTCAAGCTGACACGCCATCATATAGCTGAAATACTGACCCACGTCAAGCCGACACGTCATCATATAACTGAAATACTGACACACGTCAAGCCGACACGCCATCATATAACTGAAATACTGACCCACGTCAAGCTGACACGTCATCATATAACTGAAATACTGGCCTACGTCAAGCTGACACGTTATCATATAACTGAAATACTGACCCACGTCAAGCTGACACGTCATCATATAACTGAAATACTGACACACGTCAAGCTGCCATGGTATGATATAACTGAAATACTGACACACGTCCGTCAAGCTGACTCGGTATGATATAGCTGAAATAATGACCAAAGTGGCCTTTATACAAAAGTGCATAGTCTGTTTCATGGGATATGCTCCAAATGTTTTATTTAGACACAGCATGTTCCGTTAGAACGCGTGCGTTTGACCGTGACATATAAAAACACACACACAAAGATACAAACATACACACAAACCCATCATGACTCATCATGTAACGACAATCTTACCCTGAATCCCCCTGGTGACAAACTCATCCCAAACTTGTGTTGATACAATAGACTTACTAGGGAGCCAAATGGCTGTGGATGTCCAGGACGACATGACAGCTACGCACGAAGTAGTCAGCCTCAGTCCCTGAACCGCATTATCTCCCCTTCCGCCAAGCCCCTTATGAAGTGCTAAAGCTCTAGATTGAAGCAAGTCTAGATTTCCACAGGCTCTGAATCTTCATTGTCACTGGGTGTTGTGTGACACTAAATGATTTATTTGTTTTTATCTAAACTATATATATCCAGATACTAATCGTTAGTCTACACATTGTGAACTTGTTGATGCTCTGAGCTGCCAGAGTCAGGCCGTGGAGCGGGTGACTGCCTGTATGTTGAAGTCCACGGGTAAGTTGGTGATGCCGTCCTGATACCCTTCCAGACTCGGGGTTCCCGCTCCTGGTTCCAGTCGGAACTCAAACCGCTGCAACAAGTTGGTGGCAAACAGGAACAACTCCATCATCACCAGAGGCTCCCCCAAACACGTGCGAGGTCCTGGACACAAACAATAAATCTAATGAATGAGCGAATAGTGTTTGAAGGCGCAGGCAATGATAACTCAGCGTGATGATGTGGAGATTTTTACATTACGACACAGTGCCACGCACCCTACCAGACCATGTAGTGTTTCACTTTATTTATTTATCATTTATTTATTTATTTATTTGTTTACTTACTTACTTATTTAGGAGGAGGGTGTGTGTGTGTATATATTTTGGTTTTTTTAACGCCTGGAGCCCACTGAATGAGTCTGTTAGATTTAATATTTTATGGTGTTGTTTGAAGAGCGGGTCACGGAGTACTGTTACTATGTCCATTAGTTCTGCCGTGAATAGTTTGTCTGGGAGGCAGTAGGATTAAGTCTGCCCAGAGGGTTGTGATGTGTGGGTTTTGTACCTGGGTCAAATGGCCCGTCTGTGTAAATGTGGCACTAAGTTGGCCAGTGTTCATGCATGTAAGTTAAAGTAAATAGATTCGTCAGTTGCACCTGACGAAGGGGCAAGGAATAAGCCCAGAAACGTGGTGACATACAATAAAAAAGAAGTTGTCATCCATAATATTTGCCTTTTACTTGAATACCAACTTCTAAATGCCTCTCAAGAACCTCGTTTATCATTATGTTAAGAAGGGTTGGACTTGTCTGACATGTCTGAACAGTTCTCACCCCCTCCAAACGGCATAAAGGCCGTGTTTTTGATGATCCTGCCCTCCGTGTCTATCCAGCGTTCGGGGCGAAACACTTCCGGTTGTTTCCAGTGTTTAGGGTCCATGTGGCCGGAGTAGATGTGGAATATCACAATGGTGTCGGCGTCGACGTGGTAGCCTCCGATCTCGCATGGTTTGGTCACAGCATGCGGGGGTGTCATCGGCGCTAGGAAAAGATCACTGGCAATGAAAATACGGCGAGGACATCACATCACGGACATGCGTAGAAAATGTTACCACCACTTCCGAGATGTCACGTGAGAGTGACACGGCACGTTGTGTCAACAACAAGGAGGTTCTCCCGGGGACTAACATCCACAGCCCTGCCAGTCCTTCTCCTAAAACACACATTCCCCACCACGCCAAGTTAAGTACCATGATCCAATCGTGCCTAGTCCAGTGACATACTCTGATCCACCCAATGACACACCCATATCCACCTCTTCCCCACCCATTGACACACACCGTAATCCACCTCTGCCCCGCCAAATAACACACCGTAATCCAACTCTGCCCCGCGAAAAAAACACACCGTGATCCAACTCTGCCCCGCCAAATAACACACCGTAATCCACCTCTGCCCCGCCAAATAACACACCGTAATCCACCTCTACCCCGCCAAATAACACACCGTAATCCAACTCTGCTCCGACCAATGGCACACCGTAATCCACCTCTGCCCCGCCAAATAACACACCGTGATCCAACTCTGCCCCGCCAAATAATACACCGTGATCCAACTCTGCCCCGCCAAATAACACACCGTGATCCAACTCTGCTCCGATCAATGGCACACCAACATCCACCTCTGCTCCGCCCTAATGGCACACCCAGATTCACACCTGTCCCGCCCAGTGATACGCCCTGATCCTTCCCTTCCCCCCTAAGAGACTCACCAATGGATGCCAGACGCAGGACTTCGTTGAGGGTGGCTACAATATATGTCAGCTTGTCCTTGTCCGCAAGCGTCACAGGCCGCCCGCCCCCTGTCACCTTCAGCCAGCAAGGAAGAATACAGTGTGATTTAAATACAACCAAATTGACAATTAAATTTAGCTTCAGGAAACATGCATCGTGTTTCAGATTACTTGTGTGTGACGTACCATGTACCTACCTTCTGGATTGCGTCATGACATCGCTGTTGGATGTCGGGGAAGCTTGACAAATACAGCAACATCCACTGCAACGACACAGACGTTGCCTCCGAACCCGCCAGGAACAGATCCACACTGGTACGGAACACGTCCTCTACCGCAACTGAAACACATGTCATACTACAGAACATCTGACTGCAAAACACTGGTCATCCGTCACTGACCACTCAACCGTGTACACTACATCCGTCACTGACCACTCAACCCTGTACAGTACATCCGTCAATGACAACTCAACCCTGTACAGTACATCCCTCACTGACCACTCAACCCTGTACACTACATCCCTCACTGACCACTCAACCCTGTACTGTACATCCGTCACTGACCACTCAACCCTGTACACAGTACATCCGTCACTGACCACTCAACTCTGTACACTACATCCGTCACTGACCACTCAACCCTGTACAGTACATCCGTCACTGATCACTCAACCCTGTACAGTACTGACCACTCCAACCCTGTACAGTACATCCGTCACTGACCACTCAACCCTGTACAGTACATCCGTCACTGACCACTCAACCCTGTACAGTACATCCGTCACTGACCACTCAACCCTGTACAGTACATCCGTCACTGACCACTCAACCCTGTACAGTACATCCGTCACTGACCACTCAACCCTGTACAGTACATCCGTCACTGACCACTCAACCCTGTACAGTACATCCGTCACTGACCACTCAACCCTGTACTGTACATCCGTCAATGACCACTCAACCCTGTACTGTACATCCGTCAATGACCACTCAACCCTGTACAGTACATCCGTCACTGACAACTCAACCCTGTACTGTACATCCGTCACTGACAACTCAACCCTGTACATTACATCCGTCACTGACCACTCAACCCTGTACACAGTACATCCGTCACTGACCACTCAACCCTGTACTGTACATCCGTCACTGACCACTCAACCCTGTACTGTACATCCGTCACTGACCACTCAACCCTGTACTGTACATCCGTCACTGACCACTCAACCCTGTACAGTACATCCGTCACTGACCACTCAACCCTGTACAGTACATCCGTCACTGACCACTCAACCCTGTACAGTACATCCGTCACTGACCACTCAATCCTGTACCACCCGTCACTGACCACTCAATCCTGTACAGTACATCCGTCACTGACCACTCAACCCTGTACTGTACCTCCGTCACTGACAACTCAACCCTGTACAGTACATCCGTCACTGACCACTCAACCCTGTACAGTACATCCGTCACTGACCACTCAACCCTGTACTGTACATCCGTCACTGACCACTCAACCCTGTACTGTACATCCGTCAATGACCACTCAACCCTGTACTGTAAATCCGTCACTGACAACTCAACCGTGTACACTACATCCGTCACTGACCACTCAACCCTGTACAGTACATCCGTCACTGACCACTCAACCCTGTACAGTACATCCGTCACTGACAACTCAACCCTGTACAGTACATCCGTCACTGACCACTCAACCCTGTACTGTACATCCGTCACTGACAACTCAACCCTGTACAGTACATCCGTCACTGACCACGCAACCTTGTACTGTACATCCGTCACTGACAACTCAACCCTGTACAGTACATTCGCCACTGACCACTCAACCCTGTACAGAACATCCGTCACTGTCCACTCAACCCTGTACTGTAAATCCGTCACTGACCACTCAACCCTGTACTGTACATCCGTCACTGACAACTCAACCCTGTACAGTACATCCGTCAATGACCACTCAACCCTGTACTGTACATCCGTCAATGACAACTCAATGCTGTACAGTACATCCGTCACTGACCACTCAATCCTGTACAGTACATCCGTCACTGACCACACAACCCTGTACAGTACATCCGTCACTGACCACTCAACCCTGTACTGTACATCCGTCACTGACCACTCAACCCTGTACTGTACATCCGTCACTGACCACTCAACCCTGTTCAGTACATCCGTCACTGACCACTCAACCCTGTACAGTACATCCGTCACTGACCACACAACCCTGTACAGTACATCCGTCACTGGCCACTCAACCCTGTACAGTACATCCGTCACTGACCACACAACCCTGTACAGTACATCCGTCACTGGCCACTCAACGCTGTACTGTACATCCGTCACAGACCACTCAACGCTGTACTGTACATCACTCAACCCTGTACAGTACATCCGTCACTGGCCACTCAACCCTGTACAGTACATCTGTCACTTGCCACTCAACCCTGTACAGTACATCTGTCACTGACCAGTACATCTGAGAATATAAAAGCATTCAGTGGCTGAGTTGAGGGTCATGAGTGGATTCTATGCTGAGTGTTACACCGCTGTGTTCCACCTACTTTTACCGCCCCCCTCTAACTCGGTGTTCCACCTACTTTTACCGCCCCCCTCTAACTCGGTGTTCCACCTACTTTTACCGTCCCCTCTAACTCGGTGTTCCACCTACTTTTACCGCCCCCCTCTAACTCGGTGTTCCACCTACTTTTACCGTCCCCTAACTCCGTGTTCCACCTACTTTTACCGCCCCCCTCTAACTCGGTGTTCCACCTACTTTTACCGCCCCCTCTCTAACTCGGTGTTCCACCTACTTTTACCGTCCCCCTCTAACTCGGCCTTCAGGAAGTAGTCAATAAAGTCTCTCGGGTTGTCGGGGTCAAAGTCCATCCGGTGCTCATTCACTTTCTTCAGCACGAATTCCTGCAACTTCTTGTCATTGTTAATCATCTTTTGGGCCTGCAACAGTGAAGTGTTCAACACCACAAAGTGACAAAAGCAAAGCATCTGTTGCCATGGTAATAAGGAAGAAGAGAAGCGTAATGAACTAATTCAAAAGAAGAACAGCACGTCTATCACCGTGCCAGGTTTCTATCACTATGGTAACGAGACAACATCCCTTGGTGGTTCCCACGAGTACTTACTGGTGCATCCCCCCGGATGTACTTGATCCATGGGAAGAAGTTTTCGGGGACCTGGATACCAGCGTTCCTGAACAGGAACTCAAGGTATCCCAGCAGCTTGTTGAAGTCCTTGTCTGTGTACTCAAACCTGCAAAACAGACTCGTACATCAGACACACTTGACAGCAAGGAGTGAGGGAGTTCTGGACAGCAAAGACTCGTACACCAGACACACTTGACAACGAGGAGTGAGGGAGTTCTGGGCAAAAAAGTCTCGTACATCAGACATACTCAACAGAGAGGAGTGAGAGAGTTCTGGACAGCAAAGACTCGTACATCAGACACACTTGACAGCGAGGAGTGAGGGAGTTCTGGGCAGAAAAGACTCGTACATCAGACATACTTAACAGAGAGGAGTGAGAGAGTTCTGGACAGAAAAGACTCGTATATCAGACACACTTGACATCGAGGAGTGAGGGAGTTCTGGACAGCAAAGACTCGTACATCAGACACACTTGACAGCAAGGAGTGAGGGAGTTCTGGACAGCAAAGACTCGTACAGCAGACACACTTGACAGCAAGGAGTGAGGGAGTTCTGGACAGCAAAGACTCGTACATCAGACACACTTGACAGAGAGGAGTGAGGGAGTTCTGGACAGCAAAGACTCGTACACCAGACACACTTGACAGAGAGGAGTGAGGGAGTTCTGGACAGCAAAGATTCGTACATCAGACATACTTGACAGCGAGGAGTGAGGGAGTTCTGGACAGAAAAGACTCGTACATCAGACACACTTGACATCGAGACAGAGGAGTGAGGGAGTTCTGGACAGCAAAGACTCGTACATCAGACACACTTGACAGCAAGGAGTGAGGGAGTTCTGGACAGAAAAGACTCGTACATCAGACATACTTAACAGAGAGGAGTGAGAGAGTTCTGGACAGAAAAGACTCGTATATCAGACACACTTGACATCGAGGAGTGAGGGAGTTCTGGACAGCAAAGACTCGTACATCAGACACACTTGACAGCAAGGAGTGAGGGAGTTCTGGACAGAAAAGACTCGTACATCAGACACACTTGACATCGAGGAGTGAGGGAGTTCTGGACAGCAAAGACTCGTACAGCAGACACACTTGACAGCAAGGAGTGAGGGAGTTCTGGACAGCAAAGACTCGTACATCAGACACACTTGACAGAGAGGAGTGAGGGAGTTCTGGACAGCAAAGACTCGTACACCAGACACACTTGACAGCGAGGAGTGAGGGAGTTCTGGACAGCAAAGATTCGTACATCAGACATACTTGACAGCGAGGAGTGAGGGAGTTCTGGACAGAAAAGACTCGTACATCAGACACACTTGACATCGAGGAGTGAGGGAGTTCTGGACAGCAAAGACTCGTACATCAGACACACTTGACAGCAAGGAGTGAGGGAGTTCTGGACAGAAAAGACTCGTACATCAGACACACTTGACATCGAGGAGTGAGGGAGTTCTGGACAGCAAAGACTCGTACAGCAGACACACTTGACAGCAAGGAGTGAGGGAGTTCTGGACAGCAAAGACTCGTACATCAGACACACTTGACAGCGAGGAGTGAGGGAGTTCTGGACAGCAAAGACTCGTACATCAGACACACTTGACAGCGAGGAGTGAGGGAGTTCTGGACAGCAAAGATTCGTACATCAGACATACTTGACAGCGAGGAGTGAGGGAGTTCTGGACAGAAAAGACTCGTACATCAGACACACTTGACAGCGAGGAGTGAGGGAGTTCTGGACAGCAAAGACTCGTACATCAGACACACTTGACAGCGAGGAGTGAGGGAGTTCTGGACAGAAAAGACTCGTACATCAGACACACTTGACATCGAGGAGTGAGGGAGTTCTGGACAGCAAAGACTCGTACACCAGACACACTTGACAGCGAGGAGTGAGGAGTTCTGGACAGCAAAGACTCGTACATCAGACACACTTGACAGCGAGGAGTGAGGGAGTTCTGGACAGCAAAGACTCGTACACCAGACACACTTGACAGCGAGGAGTGAGGGAGTTCTGGACAGCAAAGACTCGTACATCAGACACACTTGACAGCGAGGAGTGAGGGAGTTCTGGACAGCAAAGACTCGTACACCAGACACACTTGACAGCGAGGAGTAAGGGAGTTCTGGACAGCAAAGACTCGTACACCAGACACACTTGACAGCGAGGAGTGTTCTAGACAGAATATAATGGTATGTCACCTAAGAAGGTATAATGGGGACAGTAGATATTTAGAATGTTTGCCCTCAACGAGTACAGGAAAGATGCTGACACACTTATGACAAATTAATGATAAGTGGGATTCAACTCCACAACATTATAAGACGTGTAAGGGCCACATCGGCATCGCGAGCTTGAACCAAGATAGGGAGTGATCAAATCAGCTGACAGGAACATATTCTTACCTCTCCCCGAATACGATGTTACACATGATGTTGGATACAGCATTCGCCAGGTACGGTTTGACATTGAAGCTGCTCCCCTCAAGGGCCTCCCACGTCTCGGTTAGGATGCAACACTCCTCGAATATGCGCTCCTCCAACGACCGTTTCCCCACCCCGAGGTCTCTCAGGGTCATGACAGCGAACTTCCTCATGGAGCGCCATTGGTCGCCATTACTCCAGAAGACACCTGAACGTGAGAGTTTCATGTACGTAAAGATGTACCATGAGTACACATCAAGATACTAACCCTATGGGGCCAGTACCGTGTGTGTGTATATATAACACCATACCAGCACAGTGTGAGCATATATGAGCACGCCATATCAGCACAGTGTGTAAGTATATACCAGCACGCCATACCAGCACAGTGTGTAAGTATATATCAGCACGCCATACCAGCAGTTTGTAAGTATATATCAACACGCCATACCAGCACAGTGTGTAAGTATTTACCAACACGCCATACCAGCCCAGTGTGAGTATATACCAACACGCCATACCAACACAGCGTGTAAGTATATATCAGCACAGTGTGTAAGTATATACCAATACGCCATACCAGCACAGTGTGTAGGTATATACCAGCACGCCATACCAGCACAGTGTGTATGTATATACCAGCATGCCATACCAGCACAGTGTGTAAGTATATACCAATACGCCATACTAGCACAGTGTGTAAGTATATACCAACACGCCATACCAGCACGGTGTGTGGTATATACCAACACGCCATACCAGCACAGTGTGTAAGTATATACCAACACGCCATACCAGCACAGTGTGTAAGTATATACCAATACGCCATACCAGCACAGTGTGTAAGTATATACCAACACGCCATACCAGCACAGTGTGTAAGTATATACCAACACGCCATACCAGCACAGTGTGTAGGTATATACCAACACGCCATACCAGCACAGTGTGTAAGTATATACCAATACGCCATACCAGCACAGTGTGTGAGGTATATATCCAACACGCCATACCAGCACAGTGTGTAAGTATATACCAACACGCCATACCAGCACAGTGTGTAAGTATATACCAACACGCCATACCAGCACAGTGTGTAAGTATATACCAATACGCCATACCAGCACAGTGTGTAGGTATATACCAGCGCGCCATACCAGCACAGTGTGTAAGTATATACCAACACGCCATACCAGCACAGTGTGTATGTATATACCAGCGCGCCATACAAGCACAGTGTGTAAGTATAAATGACGTCATACCAGCACAGTGTGTGAGTATAGATGACGCCATATCAGCACAGTGTGTGAGTATAGATGACGTCATACCAGCACAGTGTGTGAGTATAGATGACGCCATATCAGCACAGTGTGTGGGTATAGATGACACCACATCAGCACAGTGTGTGAGTATAGATGACACCATATCAGCACTGTGTGAGTATAGATCACGTCATACCAACACACTGTGTGAATATAGATGACGCCATACCAGCACAGTGTGTTAGTATAGATGACGCCATACCAGCACAGTGTGTGAGTATAGATCACGTCATACCGACAGTGTGTGAGTATAGATCACGTCATACCAACACACTGTGTGAGTACAGATGACACCATATCAGCACAGTGTGTTAGTATAGATGACACCATACCAACACACTGTGTGAGTATACATGACGCCATACCAGCACAGTGTGTGAGTATAGATGACGCCATACCAGCACAGTGTGTGAGTATAGATGACGCCATATCAGCACAGTGTGTGAGTATAGATGACACCATATTAGCACAGTGAGTATAGATGACGCCTTATAAGCACAGTGTGAGAGTATAGATGACACCATATCAGCACAGTGTGTGAGTATAGATGACGCCATACCAGCACAGTGTGTTAGTATAGATGACGCCATATCAGCACAGTGTGAGTACAGATGACACCATATCAGCACAGTGTGTGAGTATAGATGACGCCATACCAGCACAGTGTGTGAGTATAGATGACGCCATATCAGCACAGTGTGTGAGTATAGATGACGCCATATCAGCACAGTGTGTGAGTATAGATGACGCCATATCAGCATGGTGTGTGAGTTTCTAAGATGCCTAGCGGTTAGAACAATCGAAAAATAAATACATTATCAGACAATAAAGGTATAGTTTTTTGATGACGTAACAATTGAATGACGTTATCCCGTCACTGCGCCATTCTAGTGTGCCCCCTCGTAATCGAACCATTTTACATTACGTCACAATGTAAGCGACGTCACGATGCATGTCAGTTGTCATCGCCTCGTACGGCCTCCTACAGTAAACTTCACCGTTGCATCCAGTGTCTTGGTTTGCTGTTGCTTCACGCAGCTAACATCACTGGTGGAAACATTACGTTTATGCTTTACGACGGTTAAAATGTGTCATTTCGACTCACAAGTTTTCAGCGACACGGTAACGTTCGTAATGTTTACATTCCCACAATGCAATTGTGGAATGTCGCTTGACTACTCAACTTCCTCTGGATGTACTGATCTAAACTTACGCTGGTAGTAGAAATGCAACGTTCTTATTGCCCCATATGGTTTACGTTAATGACAGATGTAATTAAAATAATTCAAAGAAGATATTTAATCCGAACGTAAACCGTCATCAAACTGTTATCATTTGGTTTTTCTGGTAACGTTCGTCTTAACGTAGGGGGCAGACACATCAATAGAACAGCGCGCCAGTTAGCCCTGTGCGAGGATTCTTAATTTAGGTCACCGACACCGTCGTTTGTTTTCTGCCTTAAATTAATCGTATTTATCTTTAGAAAGTATTAAATTTGGCATCTTAGAAAAGAAATACACTTCGCCCTACCACCATGTATAGGACGCTTGCGTCCGAGTGCTTTAACGTTATAATAGTTCAGGGCAAAAGTGTGTTTTATTACACTATACATGGTGGTAGAGCGAAGCGTATTTCTTAAATAGATGACACCATATCAGAACAGTGGGTGAGTATAGATCACGTCATACCAACACACTGTGTGAGTATAGATGACACCATATCAGCACAGTGTGTTAGTATAGATGACGCCATACCAGCACAGTGTGTGAGTATAGATGACGCCATACCAGCACAGTGTGTTAGTATAGATGACGCCATATCAGCACAGTGTGTGAGTATAGATGACGCCATATCAGCACAGTGTGTGAGTATAGATGACACCATATCAGAACAGTGGGTGAGTATAGATGACGCCATATCAGCACAGTGTGTTAGTATAGATGACGCTATATCAGCACAGTGTGTGAGTATAGATGACGCCATATCAGCACAGTGTGTGAGTATAGATGACGCCATATCAGCACAGTGTGTGAGTATAGATGACGCCATACCAGCACAGTGTGTGAGTATAGATGACGCCATATCAGCACAGTGTGTTAGTATAGATGACGCCATATCAGCACAGTGTGTGAGTATAGATGACGCCATATCAGCACAGTGTGTGAGTATAGATGACACCATATCAGAACAGTGGGTGAGTATAGATGACGCCATATCAGCACAGTGTGTTAGTATAGATGACGCTATATCAGCACAGTGTGTGAGTATAGATGACGCCATATCAGCACAGTGTGTGAGTATAGATGACGCCATATCAGCACAGTGTGTGAGTATAGATGACGCCATACCAGCACAGTGTGTGAGTATAGATGACGCCATATCAGCACAGTGTGTTAGTATAGATGACGCCATATCAGCCATGTGTGAGCATAGATGACGCCATATCAGCACAGTGTGTGATATAGATGACGCCATATCAGCACAGTGTGTGTAGTATAGATGACGCCATATCAGCACAGTGTGTGAGTATAGATCACGTATAGATGACGCCATATCAGCACAGTGTGTGAGTATAGATGACGCCATATCAGCACAGTGTGTGAGTATAGATGACGCCATATCAGCACAGTGTGTGAGTATAGATGACGCCATATCAGCACAGTGTGTTAGTATAGATGACGCCATATCAGCACAGTGTGTGAGTATAGATGACGCCATATCAGCACAGTGTGTGAGTATAGATCACGTCATACCAGCACATGTGTGTGAGTATAGATGACGCCATACCAGCACAGTGTGTGAGTATAGATGACGCCATACCAGCACAGTGTGTGAGTACAGATGACGCCATATCAGCACATTGTGTGAGTATAGATGACGCCATATCAGCACAGTGTGTGAGTATAGATGACGCCATATCAGCACAGTGTGTGAGTATAGATGACGCCATACCAGCACAGTAAACTTTCAAGATCCTCTATTTTGTGAAGGTCACGTTGTTGTAAACAAAGCAACTTTCAATATGCTCTATATTGTGAAGGTCACGTTGTTGTAAACAAAACAACTTTCAATATGCCCTATATTGTGAAGGTCACGTTGTTGTAAACAAAGCAACTTTCAGTAAGGTGTTTATCAGAATGGCGGGAATTGATCTAAATGATGTGGCTCGTGCCAACCTACACTCACCTTTCCCATTGAAGATCTTCTTGAGAATGTAGATCCAGTTGGGCCTGTTGATGACGTAACTGCTTTTGTTCACCAGAGTGTCTCGTATCAGGTTAGGTCCGAACACAACCACCATCGTCATCGACCCCACCTTCAGCCTGTACACGTCGCCGTACCGATGTCGCAGCTTCATCATAAACCGATAGATGTTCCTGATGCCGGCCATCTGTGGCATGTTGCCAATGACGGGGAAGGCAATAGGCCCAGGGGGTCGTTTCTTCCCATCCCTTCCCAGAAGCAGATAGCCAAGCAGCAGGGTGGACGAGAAAATGAGGGCAGTACGGGTGGAGACAGATCGTTCCTGGGGTAGAAGCGACTGCACCAGTTCCAACACAGGGGTTATGTACCCTCCTATTGTGGATAACACCGAGGGCATAGTAGAATAGTTGAACGCCTCTGTTTGCGTATATTTGAAGATGTCAGGTCCCACCGTTCAGGTCCTATACTGTTCAAGTCACACTGTTTGTACCATCTGTCTATTAGTGTTTTCGCACAGAGCGAGGGAGTGACCTTGATTTGGACAGCAGACGGGCTGTCTCAGTCACCCAGTGGCGAGGCGACCGTCCTATATTTTGACCTTTCTCCCTGAAGAGCGGCAAACATACTGTGTACTGGTGACCTGCTATGTTCGCAGCGTATCAATGGATGAATCGCCTGTTTGCTGCAGACGACACCAGACTATGCCCACTGAGTCACACAGTTGCCCGTGATATCGTATACACATTTCTCTGTAGTCGTGACCATATTGCTTCTGATAACAACGTTTTTATTTTTTCTTATCCTGACTCATGACCTTTTGCTTATCTCCTTTTCCTTTTCGAATGGCAGTGGAACGCTTGAATCCCTTGAAGTTCCAGAAGCGGACGTAAAAATACACTCACCCACGAGTTACCTCCCTTTGCCCTCGTTCCGCGCAAACAGTCATGTGACCAGCCTTACTTGTCACTCTCTCCCTTTTCGCCCAAGCGGATGGTTGGGCGAGCACTGGACTTCCTTATACGGCATTATATCCTATTTATTTAGGTCCTATTCTTCAAAATTACGCTGGATTTGGCAATAACTACTATGTATTATATGTAAAACAATTGTAAAAATTATTTGTATTTGTGTCTTTATTTCATCGTTATGTAACTTTGTTTACATTTCATGAAATCTTGCAGTGTTTGCAGGCACAGGTTATCCGTGGCTGATCCTCACCCCCAGTGCCCTTCGTGCATAAAACCATGTTCTTCCAGCCTGCGCTGTACTTAGTGTGTTGATTTATCAAATCTTAAATAAAATCAATATTTGTCTTATATCTATAGACGTGCCATGGATCGGGTGAGGAAGTCATCTCAAGTCACGGCTGATAAAACAGGAGATCAGCCTTCAAACTGTATGTTGCTTGCTACTGCTGATGTTCATAATACTGGTGCTATGTTTAGTGCGTTGCAGGGGCAATCTGCTGGTACGGGGACCGAAGAAGAGATCGGCTACAACACAGTTGACACCGACTCAAAGTAAGAAAAAGACGTCACCCTCTTCTACATCGCAGAAGAAAGCATCTGTTACCAGATCTGAGGGTAAATCTACGCGTGCTAGTACATCAACGCAGCAGAAACCCTTCAACGAGGAGATATAACCTCCACATGAAGAAGACGTTTTTGATGATCCCCGGTACTTCTACCGAAGTACCTATGAATTCAGCGACTCAATCGACTTCTACAAGTACTAGATCGTCCCCTGCAACGGTCACAGCAGGCCAGCTGTTTGACGAACTACCACCTACTTCTCAACGGAGTGAAGTTGAGGCGCAGAACTCATCAGCGCACGCGAACGCTTCGTCAACACTGCAGCAGCTTCAACCAACGCTGAACTTTGACCCGGGTGAAAGTATGAGACAATTCACCAACCAGATGATGGCCATGATGGAACGTAGGTTCGAGGAAGAAGCGAAGGATCGTGAAGCCTCTCATCTACCAACACCGTGCGCAATCCTACGGACCTGCGCAAACCTACTCCTCATAGAACTGCGTCTCAAGACTAGGTTGGCGAACGTACATCTTTGCGAAGGTCTCCACAGTCAGACGACTCTGTCATCTTGGAAGAGGATAGAAGAGATGAGATGCCTACACACAGTTCTACATCTGCGAACCCTCAACGTTTGAGAACATTGAAGGATCCATCTCCTACACCTAGCCGCTCTAGATCGAGATCTCATATCTCTCACAGACGTTCGCGAAGTCACTCATCAGGAGACAGAGGTTCGAGAAGAGAAGGCTCACATCACAGAAGTTCGCGAAGGGATACATCTAGCAACAGACGTTCGCGAAGGGATAGCTCACATCACAGAGGTTCGTGAAGAGATGAATCTTCACTTATATGATGCATAACGACGACTTTGACTCCGTCACTATCCCTCCAATTGAACCTATATCCAAGGTACCCTCTAACCAACGTCATCCGTCATACTTCTCAAAAGTATAACAGCAAGTCAAAATATTCCGGCATACAGAAGGCAAAGGAGAAGCAGTACCCCAGTTTCAGAGGCGGCAAAGGATCTTTTCGTCGCTCATCCAGAAATTACAGAGGAAACTCAGGGAGAGGCCGCACTCCCAGAGGATCCAGAGGAACTAGACGTTGATATCGTGGTTCGGAACGACTGGAGTCTTCCACCCCCTGCCGTTCCTGTAAAACCATCAACAGTGGGTGGACGTCTACAAAGGTACTGGAAAAATTGGGGGATACAAGAGGACGACTACGTCTCTCAAGTACTAAGAGAAGGATACAGAGTGAAACTCAAGGCCACACCTCCGCTAACTCTCAGCCTGATGGTCTTCGATTACGCAGAGGAACAGGCAGACAAACTACAAGAGGCCATCGACTCACTACTTATGAATGAGGCGGTAGAGATAATAGATCAGCATCATCTCACTCCAGGCTTCTACTCTACTTGATTTACAACATGCGCAAATTCAACAAAGACTATCTACTGAAACCAGAGAGGTTCAGAATGATCCACCTACCTCAACTCAGACTACTCGTCCGTCCAGCAGATTACATGGCCAGCATAGACTTGCAGGATGCGTACCTTCACATCCCCCATACACCCGGAATCAAGAAAGTATCTACGATTCCTATTCAGAGGGCAGAACTTCCAATGGAACGTCCTATCGTTTGGAATATCTTCGGCTCCGTGGCTATTCACACGAGTAACCAAGCCTATAGTCGCATATCTACATCATCGAGGTCTACGCAATGCCTTCTATTTGGACGACGGAATTCAGGTTCACCAAGATGTCAGTCAACTCAGACTACAGCTGAACTTCACAATCAAGTTGCTCACTCAGCTAGGTTGGCTGGTGAACCTAATGAAGTCAGAGTTGGAACCTAAACAAGAAGCATGTCATCTTGTCCCAGTTGACGGGATCGGGTGGTCAGGGTCGCTGACATGGTTGAAGCATGTCATCTTGTCCCAGTTGACGGGATCGGGTGGTCAGGGTCGCTGACGTGGTTGAAGCATGTCATCTTGTCAGTTGACGGGATCGGGTGGTCAGGGTCGCAGACATGGTTGAAGCATGTCATCTTGTCCCAGTTGACGGGATCGGGTGGTCAGGGTCGCAGACATGGTTGAAGCATGTCATCTTGTCCCAGTTGACGGGATCGGGTGGTCAGGGTCGCTGACGTGGTTGAAGCATGTCATCTTGACCCAGTTGACGGGATCGGGTGGTCAGGGTCGCAGACATGGTTGAAGCATGTCATCTTGACCCAGTTGACGGGATCGGGTGGTCAGGGTCGCAGACATGGTTGAAGCATGTCATCTTGACCCAGTTGACGGGATCGGGTGGTCAGGGTCGCTGACATGGTTGAAGCATGTCATCTTGTTGACCAGTTGGGTCGCAGACATGGATGAAGCATGTCATCTGGTCCCAGGACGGATCGCTGACGTGGTTGAAGCATGTCATCTTGACCCAGTTGACGGGATCGGGTGGTCAGGGTCGCTGACATGGTTGAAGCATGTCATCTTGGTTGAAGCATGTCATCTTGACCCAGTTGACGGGATCGGGTGGTCAGGGTCGCTGACGTGGTTGAAGCAAGTCATCTTGTCCTAGGTACGTGGGTCCCAGTTGCGTGGATTCTGTTCCAGACCTAATATAATTATTGACAACAGTCATACATCTACCGTAATGCTGACTGCGACGTTAAACCATCAATATTTTACGAATGTCCCATTCACTCCATACGCCTGGGGAGGTCCCGTTACGGCTGTATCAACATTTCAACCAACGCCAAGGTAGGTGAACGCTTCGTATGTCGTGTGTATTATCAGCATAGGTTAGCTGTACAAGGTGAGACAATAAACCACCAGGAGGACAGCATGGTATGGAGGAACGTATAGGAAAGACGACGGCACACCAAGAAGGCAACGTTGTTGTCATTCACCACAGAAAGTAACGGGTTTCAAACAGTACACTTGCTAACACAATTTCAGTATACTAGTATTACGAATGTGCAATTCACCTCACGGTTCACGTTCCTTCCACCACGTTTACGCCGAGTCCTTGTGAGATAAAGTTGCCTTTCCTTGGTAATACAACGTGGTTGCCCGGTTCGTGGTTGCCCAGATCGTGGCGCGGAGTCTGAAGTAGGTGCCACTCACACCCCTCTCACAATAATCCCCAGCATTCAGCTGTCACGTGACGCAAGGACACCATCCGAACATGAAGCATTACTGCTGTACTTTGGCAACCATGGGAGTATGTCTCATAGTCTACCTCAGTTACCATGGTAGTATGTCACATAGTCTACCTCTGTTACCATGGTAGTATGTCTCATAGTCTACCTCAGTTACCATGGTAGTATGTCTCATAGTCTACCTCAGTTACCATGGTAGTATGTCTCATAGTCTACCTCTGTTACCATGGTAGTATGTCCATCATAGTCTACCTCAGTTACCATGGTAGTATGTCTCATAGTCTACCTCAGTTACCATGGTAGTATGTCTCATAGTGTACCTCAGTTACCATGGTAGTATGTCTCATAGTCTACCTCAGTTACCATGGTAGTATGTCACATAGTCTACCTCAGTTACCATGGTAGTATGTCATAGTGTACCTCAGTTACCATGTTACTAGTCTACCTCAGTTACCATGGTAGTATGTCTCATAGTCTACCTCAGTTACCATGGTAGTATGTCTCATAGTCTACCTCTCAGTTACCATGGTATAGTATGTCTCATAGTCTACCTCCTCAGTTACCATGGTAGTATGTCTCATAGTCTACCTCCCTCAGTTACCATGGTAGTACAGTGTCTCATAGTCCATGGTAGTATGGTAGTATGTCTCATAGTCTACCTCAGTTACCATGGTAGTATGTCTCATAGTCTACCTCAGTTACCATGGTAGTATGTCACATAGTGTACCTCAGTTACCATGGTAGTATGTCACATAGTGTACCTCAGTTACCATGGTAGTATGTCACCATCCTCAGTTACCATGGTAGTATGTCTCATAGTCTACCTCATGGTCTCATAGTCTACCTCAGTTACCATGGTAGTATGTCACATAGTAGTACCTCTACCTCAGTTACCATGGCCTCAGTATGTCTCATAGTCTACCTCAGTTACCATGGCAGTATGTCTCATAGTCTACCTCAGTTACCATGGTAGTATGTCTCATAGTCTACCTCAGTTACCATGGTAGTATGTCTCATAGTCTACCTCAGTTACCATGGTAGTATGTCACATGTCATTTAGTATGTC